GTCCGAGTTATTGTTGTCCGAGTTATTGTTGTCCGAGTTATTGTTGTCCGAGTTATTGTTGTCCGAGTTATTGTTGTCCGAGTTATTGTTGTCCGTGTCCGTGTTCGAAGTGGCAGCGGTGTTGGAACTGGCAGTTGGGTTCGCGCTATTGCTGGCTACTCCTTGAGATGCTGAATTTGATGCTGAAGCCGACGCTGAAGCCGACGCTGCTGATGTCTGATCAGCCACCGCAGCAACCACCGCAGCAGTCGTTTCTGAAGAAGTCGCCGAACTGGCGGAAGAAGATGCCTGAGACGATTCGGCTTGAGATGCGGCACTTGACTGTTGGGAGTTCGTGGCACTAGGAGTGGCCTCGCTTGCAGAGGTCGCAGCAGTTTCGCTAGCACTTGATACAGCACTCTCATTGCTAGGTTCCGACGGGCTTGCACTTGTGCCTGGCTGAGCAGACGACTCCGTAGCTGCGCTCGCTTCTGAGGCGGTCGCTGTGCTACTCTGAACGTCAGAATCGGAGGTTTGGGTTGTACTAGCCACGGTATTGGGATCGGAGGTAGAACTAGCAGGCTGGATACCACTAGAAGAGTCACTCGATGTCGGTGTCACGACGACACCAGCTTCATCGGTCGAGTTGCTTTCCGTAGACGTGGACGTGAGCTGCGAGGTCGTTGATGAAGTGGTTGTGAAGCTAGTAGTCACCGCCGAATCGGAGGAGCTGAAGGAAGTGCCGGAAGACGTCGTTGTGACAAAAGATGGCGAAGCTGAGAGCTGTGAAATCGAGGTACTGGTCTCGGCTTCGATGATGGAGGAAACTGAGCTAGATAGGATGGTAGAAGTAGTCAGTGCAGGAGTCTGGGTAGTCGTTGCCTGTGAGTCTGTAGATTCCACCGAAGAGGATACTGTGGTTGTAGTTATTGTTATAGCTTCATCGAAGGACGATACGGAAGAGCTAGACGTCGCTGAAGGAGCAATGAACTCAGAACTCGTGGAGTTACTGTATAAAAATGAGGGTGTCGAAAATGCTGTACTGCTTGTTGGGGAGAGCAGCAGAAGAGCTTGTGAAGTTGTAGGGCTGAAAGAGACAACTGACGATGCTAACGAGCTTGTCGGTGTCAAGTCAGTCGACATCGATTGTGACGATTGTGATAGTGTTGTCGGTACAGTGAGTGATGTTGTTGCCGATGGTGTGGAGAAGCTGGTGGTCGTGGAGCTGGGAAGAGTCGATGAATACGAGTCAATTGGCAACGAGACTGTCGCAGTGGTCGTACCCGAAGACATTGTTTCCGTCGACAAGTCGTATGAAACCGGGGTGTTGCTGACCGATGCAAACGTGGTTGCGGTAGTTGAGGTGGTGGATGTGTGTACTGTCGTGTGGGTGGTGCTTTCTTCCACGCTGGACGATGCGGCGGGAGCCGTGGAGATCGTCGATGTTGTTGAAGAGACTGCGTCATTCGTCGAAAGGGTTTCAGTACTAGAGGTGTAGGATGTAGTTGAAGTCAGTCCGGCGAGCTCGGTCGTGCTGGTAACCGTCGAGCTGCTACCGATCATGGTGGCTGTTGTCGAAGACGGTAGCGATGTGGTGCTGCTTGATGTTGAAGTTGAAGTGGCCGAGGTCATGCTTGAACTGCTCGTGGAGCTCGAGGTTGAAGAGCTTGCGGCCAGTGGAGGACCCAGATTAACGCCACTATCGTAGCCCTGACTGGCACCGGCATAAAGTGCGGCCGTCCCTGAATATAAGATACAGCTCGGGCTTGAAGTGGCTGGAGGACCAACGAATAGCATTGATATACAGCCGGAAGAAGTCGAGCACAATTCCGCACATGACGCGTAGTCGGAGCCAGGAGCATACTGAATCACATCATAACTGTACCAGTATTCGCCGCAGTGCTTCGCAAATTGGTCGCCATCACTCACGGTGAACACATCGCTTTGAGCAGTGCAGTTTCCCGTCGCGGTTGGGGCGCTAATTGCCGTTGTTGTAGATGCTTGGCTGGCGAGTGGAGGAGAAGAGGAGCTGTCCGCTTCGGATTGGACGCTGGAGAGTGCAGTCGAAGTAGTTGTTGTCGACGTTGCAGGTGTCGTCCCGCCCGAGGACTCTGTGGCTGTTGTCGAGGTGATAGCCATCGCAGAAGTGGTGACACTTGAGCCCTCACTCGCTGTTGGAGAAACGACCGTCGAAATACCCGTATCCGACGCAACTGGTCCGCCGGATGAGGTGACTGAGGACTGTGTTGTTGTATCCTCAACATCCCGCTTCAGTCGCCGATGTTGAGTATCGTTTCTCTCATTCCGAGAATTGACGGGTGTTCCGCTGTTGACAATGTTTTGCAACAACACAAAACACAGTATGACCGTGACCAAGAAGACCATTAACACAGGGGCCGTGGTCATGAAGGGCCGGTATTGCTTCCTCTTGCCTGGCCGCACCCTTCCGGGTAACACCAACTGATGCTTCCGCCATCTGAACGAGAACATGCTGGCCGATCAGGCTTTGAGACCCCCAAGATCAGTCCGCGGGGACTGCGCACACGTGTCTGACCCGACGCCGTTCACCGAGAATCCATAACACTGAGTTGTTCACAGGTTGTCGCTTAAATGAGAATACGTGTGATCGTATTTGTCGGTCGTCCGGGCGAGATGTCGTTGCAAATCTGGCAACCTTTCGTGTGGAAGTCGAGCAACGCAGCCCACGAACAACAGACTCCCGCTGGACTCTTATAACAGGATCCATATTTTTGGCTTCCACTTGGTATGATTTGCTTTAACCCCCTTTCAGAGTTTCGACAGCTCCCGGCGCCATCTTGGTTTCCACAGCGTTGGACATGAAGGCGAGTGCCATTTGTGGCGATTAGCGATGTCCGGAGCAAGAATTCGTCGCCACGGTTGAACGACAGCCAGCCGCCACGAGATCTTGTCTCACAAGCGCAAAACTCCAAACGAAACTCCGTAGCGGAAGGGTGCAGACTTTGCAGCGCAGTGCCGGTTATGGAAGGGCAGTTGACGAAATTGGATGAGGTGTAGATTGGGGCTCCACGGTGCGGCGTGTCATGATAGGATACATGGTACGGGAGAACCGTGAAGGGGGATATTGTGCTCTACCGGGGTAGGGGCCAGCCACGTGGAGCACGATAACGGCATCGAGATCTTAGCGACGTTGAGAGCAACGTGGCGGAAGAAAGGCCTGGAACTCAGGTGGCTTGTTGTGTGTATCTGCGTTAAGCCGTTTTCAAAAGTACACCAACAAATGGAGAACAGGAAAAGTGAGTGACGGCGAAGAGGGAATGCATGCAACCCTCTGGTGATTGATTCTTACCAATTGCGGCCTGTGATTCACTTTTCAGCAGGCCTCTGGCTCGGTGTACAGCTTCGCTGGCTTGACATGAAGCCTCGCAGGTGAACAGGAAGTGAGGTGAGGTTGAGGAGAGGAGAAACGCAGGGGCACGACTTTTGGCGTTCTGGCGTGCCTCGTGTCGGTCTCGCCGACTCACTAGCGAGAATTAGTGCCTCGGCTAAAGCTCGCCGGTGGAGACCTCAGGCAGCCTCTGGGCATCCACTGGAAGACGCTCAAATTGACGTGAGATGCCAGAACGGTCCTCCGAAGATCTCCGGCGGAGCACACGAGAGAGTCAGGAACATCTGGCCAGCGCACACAGGACAGGTCGCTGTCACAGTGGACCACACTGTCGGTACACCACTGAACAAGGTCATTCTGCTCCCTGCCACCTTAACCACATTGTCGGTACACCACTCAACAATGTCGCTCTGCGCAGGGGCTGCAGCAGCACCTGAGCGAAAGGTCAACCTCCCCCGCCCGCGCGCAGCACGGTAACGTCAAGATCTTTCCTCTGAATCTATCCTCATTTTCCATTCTTCAACCTGAACATGTAACCTTCCTACTCTGTACTGAAGATCAATTTTGCATCAATATTAGAGCCAACAGAAGGGACGCTCCACTGATTGGATGGGGACGTCGCCTGGTAACTCGGTTTTCGTGGCGTCGACGTCCCAGGGCTCACCGCATTTATTGCATCCACCTTCAGCCTCAGCCGTGCTTGACCGCAATCATGGTGCGTTTTCCTTGGTCAGGGGCATGCTTTGCCTGTAGAGTGCGGCGCAAAGGGGTGAGGAGATGTGCGATTAAACACGGACGGGGCTGAAATGTACAGTGCGATGAACGACGTCCCGACTGCTCGCAATGCAAGAAGCGAGGCGTTGTCTGCCCAGGATATGACAAGGACAAGAATCCGAGCGTTGTCAGATTCGATCCAAGCCGTAACGTAATCCTTCCGCCACAGAGTCAAAGAGACAACGAGTCGTCTGCCAGCCATTCTACTTCCCATCAAGCACCGGTGCTGGTTCTGGCGCCCGTTCGCCTTTCACCCCCATCGCTGCCGCGGTCATGCAACGAAACAGCGTTCCGACTGCAGGCTTGCGGCCTTTTCCTTGCGGCGTACCTTCCACGTCATTCACAGGAATGGCCAAGGCTGGAGACTGATCTGTCGGTCGCACCGGCGACGGGGTGGCTCCGGTATGCGGTCGAAGTGGCGACAGGGGATGGCCTTCTCAACGATGCACTATCCGCGCTGAGCGTGGCTCATCTTGAACGCCTTGAGAAGAGACAGAATAGCTATCGCAGCTCAGAGTTGTACAGTAAATCCGTGAGAGAGCTTGCCAGGAGGATCCAGAGCGCTGACGCCCAGTGTCTTAGTGATACTACCCTGGCTGGCGTCATGGCACTGACCACCTACGAGGTGCAGACAGGTACGACGACGAAAGCGAAGAGCTGGCTCTTCCATGTCGAGGGCGCCGCTTCTCTCGTGCAATTTCGAGGACAAGGAAACTTCGCAACCAAGTTCGGCGAGCATCTCTTCCTGAGCTCACAGTTGAATGATGTAAGTCAACTCGTCTTATCCATGCCACAGGGCCGTGCCTTTATCTGACAATATTAGCTTGTTCGCGCCATCGCGCGGCGAAGAAGGATTCCAGGCCGGGTGGACTGGTCCAAGATTCATTACCGCTGTGAGAAGCCTTCCTCCATCCGGCTGTTCGACATTCTCCAAGAGCTGCCAATCCTCATGGAACACGCGGACGCCATCAAATCCAGCAAAGAGGGACACATGGACGAGGACATTCCTAAGCACATGCTGGCCTGGGGTGCTCGCGCTCGGGCGTTCGAAGTTCGGTTACACGAATGGTACGCGCGGCTCGAGCACCACCAGGCCAGGCAGCGCGATCCCTTGCTGTTCTGGCCCTCGCGATCCACGTTGTACCAGCGGATACCGAAGCGTCATGCTGGCCGCGTCTTTCGTCATTTCTTCTGCTTTCCCAACATCGCCGTCGCGGAGCAGATCGTTCTCTACTGGGCCGCACTTCTGTTCATCCCGCGACTGCTCGACCATACAAGGGATCGGCTGAGAAGACGCGGCGAATGGCCCCGGGAGCCACGGTCCCCTCTCAATTCGAACCTCCGTGGTTTCACATCCGTCACCACCGACCCGGTTGAGATGGCCACCAACATCGCACAATCTCTCGAGTACTTCCTGCACCCCGACGCAGGGTTGATGGAACTGAACGCGATCGCATTCCCCATGAACATTACTCTGGCGACTTTCGTGTCATTGCGAATCAAGGGACTTCCGTGGTTCCGAGTCATTCGTTCTAGGTTGTGCGAAATCAATACGGGGGTCGGGGATTTCCTGGAAGAGATGCTGCATGAGGGAGGAGGCATGAAGGCGTTGCGACTGCTGATCCCTAAAGTCGCGGACGGAGAGTCTCACAATGGGAGTCTAGAAGATGTTGCTGCAACCGCTTCCGCAGAAGCGGTGGATTGTGCAGTCACTGATGCTTCCATGCATGGTTCGCAGCGGCCGCCCAGGACGGACGCCCGGTACGACGAGTCAGCGCAGGCACTGGGGAGCTGAACTACCACAAACGTCTCGGGCAAAATAGTCAAAATCTCGTACTTGTGTATCACTATATGGGCAGTCAATAGGCGTCGCATCTGCGGATCTCACACGTGTAAGTTGGGTTCCGAGCTCTACCGCGTAACACCTCGCTCGCACCACCCCTGGCAGATTGTATCCGAGGCAAATCAGCCAGAATCAGCCAAAGAGTCTCCAACGAGGCCCGAGATTAATGCGGGGAAGGCCGCGACAGTAACTACCTAGGTACGGAGTACAGTAGGTCCATACTCGTCGTTCTGGGGTTTATGGCTTCGCATCAAGCGTCTTCCGCTACAATAACTAAACAGTTGAACAAGTAATTAAATGTACTTTATGACTGCGCGGGTGACTGTGTGACCAGATCCCAAAGTATGGCCAACGAAGCATTCACCATCTCGCGCGACAAGCTCACCGGCCCGCGGGACAGCACCATCCTCGTCACGGGGGGCAGTTCGGGGATCGGGCTACAAACGGTAATACTGCTCCACGAGCTGGGCAACAATGTCATCGTGGTGGACAGGGCACGACCCTCCCCGGCGGCGCCCGCGTCGCTGACCTCGTCGCCCCGCTTTCTGTATCAGCAATGCGACATCACGTCGTGGAAACAGCAGCGCGCGGCCTTTGAGGCCGGGGTGCAGAAGTTCGGGTCGATCGACTGCGTCTTTGTCAACGCGGGGATTGCCGAATACAAGGACCAGTTCTTCAAGGACGAGCTGGACGCCGATGGGCTGCTGAAGGAGCCGGATCGACGGGTCGTCGACATCGACATGCACGCCGCGAACGACACGGCCAAGCTGGCCATCCACTATATCCGGAAGAAGGGACCGGAGAAGAAACGGGGCGGTAGCATCGTCATGACGGCGAGTCTGGCGGGATACCTGGCCAGTGCTGGGGCTCCGTTGTATTCGGCGGCCAAACATGGTAAGTTAATTACTAGCAGTTCTATGGTACTGATTACTACGGGCATGATTGAAGAGATTTGTTGTTCCTGCGTCGGTGCTGATGCTCGCTCGAAAACAGGAATCGTGGGCCTCATGAGAGCGCTGAAGAACGATACCGCCACGCTGGGCATTGCTGTCTCGGTCGTGGCGCCGGGCATCACTCTGACGGACATCATCTCCGGGCGTAAACCCGGCGAATCGCTCTCGGACTGGGCGCAGAGGATGAGGGCACTCGGGGTCCCCATCAATGATCCCCAAGAGATCGCCAACGCCGTGGTGTATCTGATGAGCTTGGGCATGGAGGGGAATGGGAAGGGATTGCTGATCCAGGCTGGACGAGTCGCAGACCTGGAGAAGGGGATCGCGACGTCCAGGAAGATCTGGATGGGGACCGAGATGTTGGATCTGTTCCGCGGCGGCCGTAATGCGCCACTGTTTCCGAACAAACTGTGATTGTGGATTGTGCTGTGGACAATCGCCTCTTCGCAGGAGGGAGTAGGACAGATCTGTCCCATCGTAGATACTGTGGCACCTCACCATCAAGGGCTGGGTGCTGGTCACTTGCAATGCGGCGCGCACCATTTCACCCACATAATTGCGCCTCATAATGTAACTCATTTCGGAGGACATGAGGAATCCTGTGGTGGTCTGGGGAGATGCGTGACTACGTAGGTATACCCTTACCGAGGGCTACGCACCTGGACAATACCATATCTTCGTAAGGGGTACGGTTCATAACGGCCCGTGGCGCTGTCAGGACCACCCTCGGGTAAGGCTACCGTGGTAACCTTCCAAGTCACACCATTTCGCTCACACAGTCGACAGTTACAAGTCACGTTCATACCTAGGTAGTCAATGATCACATTCACACAAGTCCAAAAGATACCCTTCTCACCCATTTCAGACACAATAACGTTCTCTCCGCCTAGCTCGTCAGTAGACTAGTAATGTTTTCAAAGAGATGAATTAGGACGAGGACGTAATCTGCAGCAGAAGGTCAAAGGCCAATAGGCCGTCTAATTACAATGTGCATGAAAGCGACTAAGAAGGGCGGCTCGACGAGGCAACCGCAGCAGCAAACGACATCTAGCATCGAGCCCGCAGATTGAAGCGTTTGAAGTGGACAAATGGCCGAGCCAAGCACAACACATCTCAGTGAGATGCTGGAGCAACCAGTACAAACAGCCTTCGGATGTAATGAGGAAAGAGACTCCCTGCCTTCTTGACTCTGATCTAATATCCCTTCTTGATCTTCTTCTTTGGCAGCACTCCAGGGGAATGCCCATGAAGCAGCCCTCACTGGTGATCTGGCTGTGGCTCCTCGTGTGGACGTGGCTCGTGACGTGGCTGTGGTCCTCGAAACGGCAGACGCGCCTGTTGCCGCTGATGCGGCCGTTGGGGCCCAGCGAGAGGCCGAAATGGAGGAGTGGACCCAGATTGTAGTTGACGGACAAGGTCTGGTCGAAGTTGGGAGCCGCCAGTTCTGCCTGGCCTTTGTCCTGGAAATGGCTCATCCGGTCTCTCCTGAGGCGCCCGGGGCGGCGGCGGGAGTGACTTTTCTCGGTTTGGCGGCAACGGGGGTGGGCCTGCAGGAGGTTCGTCATCGAGGCCTGCATCTATATCAGGTTCCGGAAGTGGCTTGTTTCGGTTCGGTGGCAACGGATTTGAGCCTGGAGGAGCGCGGATATCGAGAACTCTGTCCGAAGCTGGATCTCGGCGTGGAGCTCTACCGGGTTCACTCGGTGGTGGCCCTTGGGGTGGACTTAATGGTCCGGCGTCGCTATCATTCCAAGGGTCCTCAAAGCCTGGAGCCTTACCTACGATAGGATCTCGCGGTGGAGGAGCCTTTCGGGTGGAACCTGATGGAGCCGTAGCGGGTTCATTCGGTGGTGGCCCTTGGGGTGGACTTGATGGTCCGGCGTCGCTATCATTCCAAGGGTCCTCAAAGCCTGGAGCCTTACCCACGATAGGAGCTCGCGATGGAGGAGCCTTTCGGGTGGAACCTGATGGAGCCGACGATGTCGAAGGGCCTCCATCGGGAGTGGCTTGTCGGAGCACTGAGGGTGGTGGGAAATATGCCGGTTTCTTCGCGCCCCTATCGTCCGGTCCTTCTTGAGATTCTTCATTGTCGCTCGGTCGTTCTTGGGACTGCGCAGGAGGAGGGTGGACTGCCGCAGCAGCAGGATTGGGTGGGAACTCGGGCGTTTCTTCCCATTCATACACATCACGACGGACCTGAACTTCCAAGGGAGGGTGGGTTCCGGCTGGCTGACGGGGCCCACGTCTCAAAATCTTCTTCATCGTCCTCACCGGGCGCACGTGACGCGGGATGTGTCTGAGCAATCGAATGCCCTGTGGGCGAATGTCTTCTCAAAGAATTGCTGATGTTTTACCGAACAAATCTCAACGGAGGTGAGGGCAGGCCTAGAAATCAGGTAGAAGACACAGCAGTTTGATCTAGCTTGTGTAAGATACGAGGTACAGTACCGTTGGTGTGGAAGGCCTTTATATGATCCATAGGCACCTCAGTCTCAGCCTGTATTCGCCAAGTGGGTGAACATCTCGCGGGGCGCCGAAGATAGAGGCTGAGCTGAGATCTTACAACGATACTGGTTTAAAGAGACACAGAAGGCTGGCTCGCTTGCCGAAGAACAGTCTACCGTGTACTAACGACCATCATTAGCGGACTTGGGGTCGATGAATACGAATCATGGAACGCAAACCGAGAATGTCCGCAGGGCTGGCAGCCACGCGGTAGTACATCCTTGGTTGCTATTTTCCTGCCCAGAGTGAGAACATAACGATTGGGGAGTGCAACGGATGGAGCTGACGGTAAGATTCGTATTCTGGAGGAGGGCAGTTGAAAGCCTCAAGAGCGCGGAAACCGAGTTTATACTTATTCGGCAATAGGGAGCTCTTTGGGGGTGAATACCCGGCATCCTCATCCTGTATCCCGAACCACTGCCACACTGTGTCAGGGGTGATGTGAACACTGACAAGTCAAGATGGGTGGGCCGATGGTGGATCTGTTTGTGGAAGCAGCTCGTGTGACTATGTTCGGAGAACGTGTGTTCATACTCGTAGGGCTCCATGGGTCCGGGTAGATGATGACTGGGGGCCATGGGCACACAGCGGGCAGGGGGCTTCGGCCCGGAGTACGGAGTAAATACGGAATAACACGGCGCTTAGCGTTAGCAGGACAGCCCTCGGGTGACCTTCCCAGCTGCATACGCGCGCCTATTTGGCTTCACGTGACTCACAAGCACTTCTTACCCATCTTCAGTCGCCAAGCACCCAAGCAATATCTGGCGTTTCGTATGGCGTCCTTCTGACTGCTTCCATTCACAATCTCTACGGAATATCCATGGTAGAGCCAGCAAGGCATTACGCTGCCGAACCCAGTATCAGACTCAGCGACCACAACTCCCACGCAAAGGTCACTGCGCTGCAAGCTACGTACCATCCACAAGCCAACGCTTAGCTTGTCCAAGTCAAGAACACATTGTGTTGACACGAATCTCCGCCGACCACGTTTGACCCGCTTTGGATTTACTTGCTGAACAGGGTGATCTTTGTTTGACCACTGCACAAATTCTCTATTCTTGTGCTGCTGGGGTCTCTGGAGTGGGCTATGGCCGCTTTCGTGCCTGGATATTTGAAGAACCAAACAAGTACACAAAACCCTACTGTGCCTGCAAGGTCACTATGTCTACCGTTGTGTCGCCCGCTACAGTTCATATTGATCCTCACGATGGTGGGATCATCAGAGTGGCTGTACACACCTTGGGGCCTACAGGTCCAACCATTAGCGATGACCACTGACCCATATATCGACTGGTGATGAGGTTAGGTATGGCGCCGGACCACTACAGTGAGGAAGCTGGGGGCAGACGGCATGGCAGACAAAGGAACGGAGACAGAAGAATCAGATTGCGTCCACATGGGCTGTTCCGAAAGCCCTCCATTCACTCTATTGCTTCTCTCCAGCGGCTCAGAATCCTTCTCCAATATCATGGCATATCCTTTCGATCACCGATTCGTGGCGGACGATATACCAGCGTCTTCGATCTGCATACATATTTAACCTAGGTTTGGCCGGCCAGGTGACTACTCACCTGAGATGTCCTGTCGATGCTCGAAGCGGGATAACACAAACGAAAGACCGCACGCCACCGGCTCTTCGCCGAACCGTTCGGAAATCTCGACGGGAGGATACTACTCGATGGCTAAATAACCGGTCCCCTACCGGTGAGTGCCTGGGTCCCATTGATCATGACGCCACCCAAAAGAGGGGTCAGGGGGGTCAAAGATTGGGACGAAAAGATCTGTCACCGCGAGAACGAGCTGTCATCTGCACCGAGATAGGCTATAGCCGGGCTTGATGGCTATAGCCTTGAAATGTGGCCAAAGATGGAGGAACGATTCGACCTCGAATTCCTATTCTTCGGGGTACAGTACCTCAGTATGTCGACGGTGATGCGGAGTTGCGTCGGGGAGTGGCCGGTTCAGCTAACTAACCTCGCTAACTACTTTCCCCTCCCCAGTTACTGGGGTACATACCTACTTCACGCTTACCCCAGAGGCACAGTTCGCTTCTCCCAACCAATCACTTGGCCGGCCCGTCCTGCCGTGCCGTGTGTCGTGCGAGGTTCTCCCCGAGTCATGGCCTTCTGGACTCGAAACATCTGCCATAACTTGAGAAATGCATCTACCGCTTTGAGCGCGGAGCCTCGACTGACTTGTGGCTCCGTGTTTAGCCTGTTTCCCCTACCTTTAGCAGATTCGTCGTAGGGACTTCACCAGGTTTCGAGTCCCCACGACCAGTTCGGTACAAGGTAGGCATCATCGATATAACTCAGCATCTCGTTCTCTGATGGAGCTTCACACAATCCATTCCTGTCTCCCATCCGTTCACACGTTCTTGTTTACCCGACTGTCGCACTCTTGGTCACAATGTCAATTGAGAAAAGCGGTCTCGAAAAGGAGATCGGTGTCACTCAACTTGAGACGGCCGATTCCAACGTCCACAATGAGATTGAAGAGATCCAAGCCTTCGGCAAGACAGCCAAAGTCGTGCAGACCCAGGATTCCCGCTTCGCCGCTGTCATCGCCCGGCACAAGGATGCGGCGTCTCCGTGGTCCAAGTCGCTCCTCCGCCTGTACCCCATCCTGTTCGTGGCGTTTATGAACTCGGCGGCCAACGGCTTCGATGGCAACACCTTCGGTGGCGTGTCCAGCGTGAGAGAGTTCCAGAAGCGTTTCGGCACCAATGTCGCCGCGAACAATGGCTTCCTGGCGGCCTTGTACATCTTGGGCAACGTGCTCGGCAGTTTTGTCGCCGGCCCCCTGGCCGACATTTTCGGGCGGCGGCGTGGCATGTTCATCGCCAACATTGTCGTCATGATTGGAAGCGCCGTCCAGGCGGCCGCCATGCGTCGGCGAGACATGATCGCGGGCCGAATCGTGCTTGGCGTCGGCTCTGTCATGCTGGGGCCGTCGGCTCAGTCGTACACGGTTGAGATTTCCCACCCTGCTTACCGAGGCGTGATGATGGGACTATACAACGGATGCTATTTCATTGGTAAATCATCTCCTTGTACCTTGAGTCTTGAAGCTCCTTGCTAATCTGCCCGGCCGACAGGCGCCATCGTTTCGACCTGGCTCGAGTACGGCATCGTGAACGACACCAAGGGTGAGCTCAATTGGAGGTTGCCCATGGCTGTCCAGGCGGCTCCTTGCATCATTGTGCTGGCGTGCATATTCTTCTGTCCGGAAAGCCCGCGCTGGCTGATGTCTCGTGGTCGCGAGGAGGAGGCCCATGCCATCTTGACCAAGTGAGTGGTGGCTTTTTCTGCCATCAGTCGAAGCGTCCGGAACTAATCACTTCGACACAGATATCATGGCGAGGGCGATCCAAACCACGAGATTGTACAACTTGAGATGGATGAGATGCGCGACCGCGTCAACACAAGCGGCAGCGACAAGGTGAGACCCTTCCCTTTGCGCTTTATCATGGATGAGTGGTGATGCTGAGAGTCCCTGCTGACAATGCACTTGCTGTGACGACAGCGCTGGTACGACTACCGCGAACTCTTCAACTCCCGCGGCGCCCGCCACCGGATGTTCCTCGTCCTTTGCGTCGGCTTCTTCGGCCAGATCGATCTCCCACCTACCTCGTATTACATGCCGCTCATGGCGCAGAACGCGGGCGTGACCAGCGAGAAGCAGCGGCTCCTCATGAACGCCCTCCAATCGCCCATCATGACCATCGGGACCCTGCTGGGGGTCAGATTCATCGATATTGCTGGTGAGTTGCCCCTTCCCAGACCATGCACGACGGGGAACTGCTAACACTCATCTGAGGCCGTCGCCCTATGCTCATGGGCTCCAGCAGCGTCTGCTCCTTCTGCGTACTGATGCTCGTGATTTGTTCCGCTTTGCAGAACCACCATCACGCCCTTGGCCTGGTGGGCATCAGTTTCGTCTACGTCTTCCTTTTCGCCTTCGCCTTCGTCTGGACCCCGTGTCAGGCCCTGTACCCGGCCGAGGTACTGGCGTACAATGCCCGCGCCAAGGGACTCGCGATGAGCGGCTTGTGGTTGAACATTGTCAGTTTCATCAACACCTATGCGGCTCCAGTTGGGATGACGAATGGCGGATGGAAGTTCTATATCTTGTACCTTTGTGTCGACGTCCTGGGGATTGTCTTCATCTATTTGTTCTTTGTGGAGACCAAGGGCCGCTCACTGGAAGAAATCGGTAAGCAATCCCTCCACACCCTGCTTTCCGACCCTCGATCTCGACAGCAATACTGACTGAGAATTGTAGACGATATTTTTGCCGACCCGCACCCGGTTAAGGCTTCGCTCAGGAAACAGAAGGTCGTGGTGGCTGTGGAGCAGTGAGGTTAGCTAGCGGGGCCAGCAGCAGAGGTGTCCGTTGAGAGTCGGCGTTGTTGATGAAGGCGTTGTTCTATCCATAACTCATGGTATAGATTGTAGTGCAACCCGTAAACACCGAGTCCAATGTGAAAGACTGACAGAGTACTCGTACTTCTTAGGTTGGATGAAAGTTGAAATCCGTCCGGCGGGGTAGGCGAGTCACGTGGCAAGCTTGAGACCCTCTCTACCGTGGAGCCTCGGCTAGAAATAAGGCTGCAAGTGGCCGTTGCAACTGAAGGTCGAAGCGTGGTGGAGCCCGTTGGCGCCGGTGGCCCCGGTGCCTATCGGCGATCTCAGGCACCCGACGATGGGTGGAGGGTGCCCAAAGGGCAACTCCAGCCTGAACCTGCGCAATGGCGGTGATGGGGCGCATGCAATTTCGCTTCGTCTTGACAATTCCGACTTTGGCTTCCATTCCAACTCGTACCCTTGTGCACTATCTCTGTGCCTGGCCCGTTCTCCCTCTGGGCCGTGGGCCTCCGCATCATGACGAATGAGTCCAACTGCCCAGCTAAGTGCCAGGCGAATCCAGTACCCAGTACTCCGTACTTAGCGGGGAACTACGTGCTAAGTCCCAGTGCATTCCTCTCAGAACACCAAGTCCTCCTTGCTGGATGCTGGATCCCAGCGGCAATGGCTTTCTGTGCGGTATCTACCTGAAACCCTCGGCATCGCGGGAATCCTCCATGTCTGTGGCCGTGAAACACCTCAATGCCGATACGAGCTTTCTCCTCACATTCTCTCCCAAGCCGAACTCTCCCACAAACGAAGTCGCGTCAAGTGATGGCGCATTCTCTGTGCTTATTGACCCGTGGTTGGATGGACCTTCAATCGTGACCGCGCCATGGTTCGCAAAGACCGAGCACACAATCCCCAGTGCGGTCCAGCACCTCTCCGAGCTCCCAGCACCTGATGTTGTCATCGTGTCGCAGAACAAGCCGGACCACTGTCATAAAGCCACTCTCCTCCAGCTGCCTCCGGAGGGAAAGACCATCATCGCCGCCGAACCGGGCGCCGCGAAGGCGATCAAGAGCTGGAACCATTTCGACCCGGCCAAGATCCGGGGGCTGCGTAAATATGGCCCGTCAGGAGGATCGTTGCGACTATCGATTCCTGCGTTGTCGCCCCACGGCTTCCCAGGAGAAGTCCACATCTCTTTCATACCGGCCAAGCACTATATGACCGGACTACACAACGCAATCGGGGTCACATACCGGCCGCCCACGCGTACGAAAAGCATAGTGCCGATAGCGACAGTTGATCTACCCAAGACGACGAGGTACTTCCACGTTCCGCTGAGTCCGATGACTGTCCCACCATCGAGCCCTCAGCCACCACTAACTCCTCTGGCCAACCGACCCATGTCTTTTGACCAGCCTGCTCAGGTCGACGATGTCATCCAAGGTGTAGGACCATTCGGTTTCAGGGGGCATCGACCACGACTGTCCCGGTCATCGAACACGGCTTCATCCGAGTTCCTCCCATCGACTGACAAGCCAGTCATTCGTGTCTCGCCGGAGTCAGAGCGCGACGAGGGAACTATTGTACACAACATCGTGACAATTCCCGTTCGGTCTCCGCCCGTAGGCACAGCATTCGACTTCAAACTCGGCACCTCGCCATTCACATATCTCAACAGCCCACCAACGCCACCAGACTCTCCGGCGTGGGAGCCGCGTAGTTCGCCCTCTAACCCTAGAAGTACTCCTACATCCCCTAGGCCAACAAGCACACTGTTCCACCAGCGGTGCATTTCCTCCATCCCCTCCCACCAACGCTCGCTCTCCAGCGTCTCCTCCATGCCCAACCTCATCACCCCGCTTACACCGGCCCGGCCGCAGGCAGTGTCGATAATCTACTCGCCACACGGCCTCCCGCTGTCTGACTTACAACCCTATATCCAAAATCACCTCGTGCGACTTCCCGGCGCATTACCTCTGACGGTGCTATTCCACTCATTCGACTACGCTCAGAACCCATGGTATTTAGGCGGGAATATCATGATGGGAATGTACGGCGGTGCCGAGATTGCGCGGGCCGTGATGGCACGATGCTGGATCTCGGCGCATGACGAGCAGAAAGACGACCGTGGACTTTCTGTCAAGAAGTTGCGTGTGAAGCGGATTGGTGCCGATGAGGTGAGGAAGCATCTGTGGGAAGGCGAGCATGGCGAATGGCTTAGACAGAAAGGGTGGACGTGTGATGTCAGGCAACTAGAGGTTGGGAAAGAAATATTCATCGGGCCGCTGAGGGACTCGTGTTCCGTTATCGAAGGGAGGAAGGACAGTGCGCCGTTGAGATGTGGCATCCAACTGTGACTTGGCGACCAATGTCGTCCCATCTTCTGCTGCAAGAAGCCAGCGACAGCAAGAGTACCGGAATTGGGTCCTGTCCTAGACTCGCCCGTGTTGTAGATATAGATGTGCCAACAGTATACTGTAACTGTGGCTGGTGTTGTGTCTTCTCCCTCCACGATGCTGAGTGGCGGCTGCGCTTGCAACGACGTCACCATGACCAGCGGCGCGACTGTCGCAGTCCTCGTCCTCGTCCTCTTCCACAAGTCTCAATCCTCCTGCCCAAGCCACGATCAGTCGCCGAGCACGTACCAGTCGTCCCGATGGCCGAAGTGCCGTCCCCGTCCCAGACTGCGGCGCTGCTCGACATCCTGACCCATTACGACACCTACGCCCAGATACGAGAGTTCCGCAGACCCGGCAGCCTTGCCAGGTATGGCCCTCCGTTCACAGCCCAGAAGGACACTCCATCGAACTCGCCGGCTCTGCAGGCGCTTGTGTCACGGTACTTGTTGAACCTGCCCGGACTGAACAACCTCCCCGAGAAGTGGTGGACCGTGCAATGCCACGAAATCATCGAGAACCTGGAGAAAGCGAACCTGAGCGAGAGCTACGACAAGGGCGTCATTGGCAGCCGCAAGACGCTCGCGGCCGCCATCTCTGCTCTGATCGAGTATCCCGTCCGAGGCACCTTTGCGGGCTTCCCACGGATCAAGGACCGAGATGAGAACTACGATCTGACCAACGCCGAGGATCTGCGCCGTGCCTTTCGTGACTTCCTCCACGAATCTGTCTACGGAGATATCCTGGACCAGATGGTCGAGAAGACGGCTACGACGGACAATCTCGAGGACCATCCGCAGTTGACCAAAGCTGTGCACGAGTTTGTGCTTGTCAAGTGAGCTCGATTCTACCACGCGGTGTGTTGCCGTCTTTCGTCCGTGCTGACCGTGTACCATGTAATCTCAGCCTCGCCTCCTTGATGCACTACACGCTCATCTTGTCGCCCAAGGGACAGTATCTGCTGAAGCTGGTGGACAATGCCAACAAGCTCGTCCCTTACATGGTTCTGCGGCAAACCCTCAAGATCGGCAATGTGGCCACCATGATCAACGCCATGGTCAAAGTCGGGCTCGCCAAGATGAGCGTTGCCAGTGTCACCAACTGGATGGGATTGACCAAGGATCAGGACGAAGGGAGCAATCTCATGCAGACGTGCGTGATAGTGCCTACTTTTACCAACACGGACTGACCCCAGCACAGCATCATTTCCACCGTCCTCGGCTGGGACATCAAAGACCTCGAGTTACGCGGCTCCAGACTCGAACGAGAACGTGCGCAGCTCGGCAAAGAACAACTCCTCGCCCTAAAAAAATACACGACCAAGTCGCAAGACGAGCAAGATCGAATACGCAAAGAAAGCCAAACGCAGTCCATCTCCATCGTCACCGCCATCTTAAAGGACGCCAAATCCCCGTCGACCGAGCTGACCGACATGCACCACAAGCAGGCACTCGAATATCTGTCCATCCAGCTCTCGATTCGCGACCGCAGACAACTCATCCAGGTCCTCTGCAAATCCACGCCCGATCATCTCACAATGTCGGTCCGAGAAGTGGTCGACGCCTACGAGCCCGTCATCCGAAGGATGCACAAGGCCATCGACCTGGCCTCGACGCTCTCGGACTTTGAATACTTCCTCAAAGACCTGATCAAGCTCGCCCGGATCCGCACCGACCACAAGACGAACAAGGCCGTTGTCCCGACGGTTGGCGACTTTGTGCAACTCCTCCGCAAGCACCAGCGGTCATGCCACGTCTTCATGCACCAATGTGCCAAGAACGACAAGGAGCTCACGGGATGGTATCTCGACTGGGCAAGGACCGCGGCGTCACAATTCAAACAAGACCCAGACGACGACCACCCCGGGCCCGAGACGACAGCGAAGCACGGCAAAGGCGGCGCCGGCAATCTCACGCCGGCGCTGCACAGCCTCTTCGCCTCGCTCGACGAGGCCACCCGATCGCGCATCCTCCCCATCCTCGACTCGCACTCGGAATTCCTAGAGGACATGCACGCGCAGTCTCTCTCGCGGCTAGCGTTGGTCCTGAAATCCCCGCCCTCGAAGAACCCGCACATCGCCAAGATCTTCTCGTCCGCGCCGACTCACTCCTCGTCGAGCAGCCGTCCATCGTCGCGGCCACCGTCCCCAGCTCCACCTCCCGAGCGCAGCAACAATGGCAACACCAGCGGCGGCACGGAAACGCCAACCCCCACGTCCATTGTCTCGGAATCGCAAAGCGACACGTCGCGCGAAATCAAAGAACAGCCCACCCCAACGGAGGTGTCCTCGAGTCCTGGTCCCGGCGCGTTCTTGGCCCGCTGGCAGGCCTTACTTGACGCCACGCCCATCACGCCGCTCACCCAGCACGGCAGTCTCAAGGCCGCGAGCAGTCCCGAGGTCGTGCAGTCTAGTGCCACGGACGTGGACGGATCGCGCCTCGTCGACTTTGCTGCCAAGGAGGCGAAGGGGGAGAAGATCAGGGTGGAGGATCAGCGGCGGAAAGGAAGCGAGCAGAAGGCGGAGGAGATTAATCAGAGTCAGAATCGAGACCACAAACCAGACGAAGTAGGCATAGGAATGGATGCTCGAAAGAGGCAGCGCGAATTGAGAGCCGTGATCGACGCCCTGGGGAGGGAGTTTCGAGACTTACTCGCCAAGAGGGGGTGTTATTGGTAGGACGGGCCTTGGGTAGCGCACAGAAAGGACTACCATTTCCTACCCTACCTGTATACCTAGTATCGATTCATCCCGTGGTGGTGGGGAGACTCCAAGTGCGTATGTACCCCGTAGTGTTCGGCGTCGATTACCTACGGTGGCAAGGGGAGGGATGGATAGGAGGAGAGGAACCGTCAGAATCCCTCTCTCTCGCTCGCTCACAAGATCCTGCACAGCTACGTTCTCATTGCCAGCAGGATATGTATACATACAGCCCTCCGTATAACATCTCATATCCCGTGCCAAGTATGTGGTATGTGGTGTGACCTACTGTATAGTAGCATAACTTCACACTCCCTTTTCGCTTTTCCCTTTTCACCCTTCTTCTTACCGTGTTATCTTTTCTTTTTCTTTCCATTTCGAGTCATTTCGTTTCGGTTGATTTCACGTCATTCATGTTTCCACCTCCATGTTTTAGTGGCAACATGTCAAAGATGTTTGTCAAGGGTGTCCTGGTGGTTCTATGGTTGGCCGTTCACGAGGTAGTGGTTCAGTTCAGTCTTCACGTAGATTCCAACCTACATCAGGAACGGTGCGATGTCTGCAGCTGAGTGGTGTGTTGTCTGTCCTGTCTACGGACTACTAGAAAGAAAAAGGCAAAACAGAAAAAAAGGAAAGAAGCGCAGCCTTGCGCCAAAGCCTCACTGATCACGGCGCCAGATTGCTTCTCTGTATATAGGGTATGCGTACGGAGTACAGGCACGGGAAACGGCGGCCTTAGCAAACCACCACTTCATCAGCCCCATTACACTACCACTGCTACCACTACAACAACAACAACTACTACTACTACTACTACCACGCGCTCGCACAAGTAACGGCAGTGGATTTGCCCCGATTGATTCCATTGCCTGAACTCACCCGGTACTCGCACTCGTACTCATACTACATAAGTACCTAGTCACGACCCACTGCTTGCTCCTTGCTCCTCGCCTCTTGCTGCTCGACTGACACCTAGGCTATAATTATACATGCACAGTACATACATATGTAAATGCACAAGTACCTACTATCAGGTACCTAGTTACTGACCAAGTACAGTACAGTACAGTACATACACAGTAGAGTACATCTGAACCAGCGGAACAGGGAACAGAGGCCACGGAACACAGGCCACGGAACACAGCCAACTTTTACTCTCTATACAGGACATAGCGAGACGGTACCTAGGTACCTAGGTACCTACTTAGGTAGGAAGGAAGAACCCCATACCATACGGTATGTAGTATGTAGTGGTGGTAGTTAAGCACCAGCACCATTATGTTAACATAACCGCAAGGATACACCTGTACATATATATAGTGGGAGATTGACGACGCCGCATGCTACCGCCTCATGCTCCCTACCTAGTAGGTATGCACACAGTATGTGAATCGTACACAGCACACAGCACACAGCACAAGTACACAGCACAACTACTAGCATTGTAAAGCATCACCACCATCAAGATGCCCATTTTCACTTGTTTTTCATTCTTCCACCCCTCTGGTAGTTATGAAAAGGGTGGACTGCAATCGCTAGACAGTAGGTACTTTCTTCTTCCTCTCCCACCAAATCTGTCTGTAGGAGTCCGTCGATGAAGAAGCCGGCCAAGGCACCCAAATCACGTCGAGCCTTGGGCGAAAACAATGTATATATGCTTGAAGATGTCTTCCTCTTGTGGTAGATTTTCGAGATGCTCCAATCTGGCCAGACGCTCGCTTGAGCTCGCATATCAAAATGCTCAAGACATGAGAAGTGAACTGTCAGACGTGAAACACCCTATGCTGAAAATTGCGAATCCCTGGCCAGGCCTGTTATCGTGATATGCCCCTTACTCCATCATCCAACGCCAAAAGTGGTGAGTCGATTGTGCCCCAAAACACCTTGTTCGTTGCCCGGGTACAGTAGATTCCTTTCTCGAACAGCAAGCGGGTATCTTCATACTGCTATGCCCAACGCCGCTTGAAAACAGCAGAACGAATCTTGATGAAACTTTTTTTCTGTTCGTCTTCGTCGTCATCACATGCAATCAATCAATCATCGGCCTCGCATCTGCATCATTCGTAACCTCCTCTCCTCATCCTGGATGGAGTTGACACTGGGGTGAGAAAGCGAACCCCTGGGCACCCCGTTGATGGGCGAGTCCGGTGATTGTGAGCTCACCGTGATCCTGCCCGGTAGCCTGGGCGATGTACGAATGTGCGCTGTCGGCGGTTCCGCGAGCGCCGGCGGACTGGGAACTGTCACCGCTGCCCCATAGGATGGCAGAGATATAGATTGATCTGATAGTTGTCTGGGCGCCGGTGTTTTGACTGCGGTCGAATATGATGGCACCCTGGCCAGGTCTTCCATGTGGTCATATTGAGGGAACGGCGTCCGGGCGCCTGACATCTGGCCGTCCTCTTCCTCAGATGTTCGTCGTGACATGAGATTGCTGGGTGGGTAACTGGGTGTATGGGAAACATTGCCTGAATTTATTCCTGCTTCGGCCGGACTGATGCGAGGATGCGTGCTTCCGTTCGAGGCATCGTGAGGTTGGAAGTAATCGTCTGTATTTGCGCCGGATGCTGAGTTTCTCCTAGAACGTACTTCGGCGGGCAGTCCAAGGCTTTGGATCTCGCTATCTTCGTACCCTCGCAGATCTTGAATGGACGAATCCCGTACCCGCAGATTTTGAAGCCTTGTTTGCAGAGCGGCGGGAGACACGTAGTTTCCGTTTGCCATCGCCGCGAGACTCGCGAGATTTTCCGACGACGCATGACGGCTGTGTAAGTACGGCGTGCCCGGAGTCGAAAGGGCGGTTCCGGGAGTCCGATAACCAGTCACGTCAGAATAGAGAACGTCAAGAGTATGTTGGCCATAGACCGGCGGGGCTGCATTGGCCAGATCATTCGCGATGGCCGCCCGTCCCGCTTGAGGTGTTTGGTCGACAAGGTCGTTGTTTTCGTTGATGGGTAGACTCGGTGAAATGTAGAGGGAGATGGGGAGATTGGCTCGTAGTTCGGAGATGTGGCCGTCCGGGTTGTGCAGCTGGACGTTGAATTTCACCTTGTGCCGGATCTTGATGCCTTTGACGTTGCAGTCCTGCAAGCATTGATTCAGCGACTTGGGCAGTTCGAGATATCGGGAGAATTGGTATCCTTCGGCAACCTCATCGATGACCTGTTCGTCCAGCGTGGCATCGACCTTGTAGAGGTCTGTCCCAATGATCCGGTCGGACTTGGTCACTCCGTTGTTCAGGGCCGATACGGCCCATTCTGGGTCGACGGCAAACTCTTGCTCTTCTTTGATCTGGGTCGAAACGTTGCCGATCACCAACCCTTTGAGCAGCGAGATCAGTTTGAAGTCAACTTGCACGAAGGAACCAAAGGCGACGGCCTTGTTCGGAATGCTGATGGAGTACTCGATCTTGTTCGGCCAGATGTTCTCGACAGACTGTCTCCAATGTTAGTGAATGGTCTGCCTCCCCATGGTAAGTGCCTCCTACCATAGCGTGAGACAGTTCCAGCGCACTCGAGTCGAGGGTGCGGACCACACGGAGGGGTTTCCGAATGACGATGTCCCTCCCCCTCTTCCGGCTGATCTCGGCCTTCAACCGGTATATGATCCACGCATCTTTCAGGCCCTCGACGCTCTCCGGTAACGACCCTTCCAGGATGGTGCTAAAGGGCCACTCATAGTTGTCCGGCTGCAGCACTTCGGTCTTTCCCTTGCCCGCATCTCGGAACGTCCAGCTCTTCTCGAAGAATGTCTTCTCCTTGTAAGAAGTGCGTCTCCCGGACATGGAGGATGTCGAGGTGGTCTGCCATCTGCCCCAGCGTCAGTGGGAAAGTGATCACGCGAGGGGACCGGGAGCCGGAACATCCGCGGGGTACATTTGACTCACGACATATGCACAATTCCACTCAATGTCAGGTCGACGTGGTGGATCGTCATGGGCTCCGTGAGACACAGCACCAGAGAGCCGGCGAGATGGGCACTGGCAGCCTCGTCCTCGCTGCCGCGGAACACAATGTAGTCATTGTCGAGCCGGATGTCGAAGTACTTGACACTGCTGCTCGAACCCGAATGAGGGGTATGAGCACTCAGGAATTTGAGCGCCATGGTTTGCGGCTTGGAGGACGCCGATCCGTGAAGGTGACGGTCCGCTGAGGCGGCCGAGGAAGAACTGGAAGGGCGATTGTTCAAGGACGGGCGCAACACTGGCTCATGTTGGGCGGACGCGCATTCAGGCGAATGCTTGCGGTTGAGGCGTCGGAATGGCCTAATCTGCTGTTCGGTGTAAGACCATCAGACGAGAATGACTGCTGGGAGAGACACATGTGATAGAGACAAGGAAATACGGGCGTGAGGCGGTTCCTCACAGTCTCGACTCATACGCAGCGGCCCTCGTGCATGGAGAATTTCGAGGTGATGATTGCGAAAGAAAAAGATAGTGAGCGCGATGAAAAGGATCATTGGGTGGAACGGTGGCACCGGTGCAGGCGGTGGACAGAGGGTGTCCGAGAGTGGACTTGGGCGGGCCCGGTGTGTTGCTTAGGCAGGCCTGGTGGATTGCTTAGGCGGCCCGGGTGGGTGTGCTAGGCGGCAATGGCTGAGATGCCGCCCTGGGAGTGGCTGACGGGAAAAACGTGGGAACTTACTGTTATCAGCCGTGGGTCCCTATGCGAATCCACACCGGAAGATGATGCTGATGTGACAGGTGCCGATGTTGGCCCTGTGAGCTGCTGAGGCGTCCTCGTCCTCGTACTGCCCGATAGCGACACCGATGACGCCGAGGCGCGCAATTGCCCGCCGGTGCTGGGCCCGAAGCTCAACCGTGTTCCTGGCTCTTCCGCTTCTGCTTTTGCTTCTGCTTCTGCCTCTGCCTCGACACGCTCCGACTCCACCGAGATCGCTGCTTGCCGTCGATCCTCGGGTGCGGGAATATTGATCCTTGTCTCAGTGACGGTGATGGTCGGAATCGAGCTAGAGGACGACGCTGTGGTCAACACTGAGGACGTCGTGTGGGATCTGCCTCGACCACTGCTGCTGATCTTGGTTGTTGCTTCACTCTGCTCGTCAGGTTCCACGAACGTCGGATTACTCGCCGAGGGAGATTGCACGTGGTGCTGTCCTTGCGACCCAGCTGTGGGATCCTCCACCTGTGCTGCTAAGGGCGCCCGTGCTTTGACCTTTGCTCGGATCTTTGCTGTGACCTTGAGATGAGAAAGGGCACCCAATGGCCCATGTGCTGGTGCTGGCACTGAGACTTCTCGTAAGATGGCACTTGTTCCCGCCGATCGTCGGCCTCCCAGCGTCATATTTCACCTGGTCTTTGTTTGTCTTCCAGTCTGGTTTGCTCCTGGCGGTCGATATGTCTGCATTGGCCGTCTTTGCTGGCCCCGTTCGATGTAACCGGCCAATCCGCGCGTGGGCTGTGTGATTCTCAGGACGTCCTCTGCCCAGAGAGAGAGAGAGAGCGCGCGATTTATTCCGATATCTCGTCACCTGTACTGGGGGCACATGGGCAGGCGAGCGATCGGAAAGCGCAGGGTCAGGCTGACGAGGTTTTGGATGGCGTGCCGGCGCTGATAGCGGTAATGATATCGATAACTCTGATAGCGCGAGCCGTGAGTCTTCAGGCTGATAGTGACGTGATGTTCCCTTCGGTCTTCTTCAGTCCGTCGAAACGAATGGCGTTGTTTGCTGCTACCTACGGCCACTGGTGCGATTGCATGTGCAACAAACCCGTCCAAGGCGACACGGTCGAGATGATGACACGGATCGGACCATCTGACAGAAAATGATCTGATATGTACCCTACTCACACTCGGAAAGGAGAACGAGGGCGCATCCCCTGCAATCAGCACACGTATCACCTCACCCCAGGCATCAGGCCGTCCCTTTAAGCAAAGCAGACCCCCCAAACACCTGGATTCTCGATTCTCCAACGGCACCGGGCCCCCGGAGCAGGGAGGATCTCTCGGGGCTGAAAAAGGAATCTTGCCCCTCGCGAGCTGATCCCCATCGCCATCTTACAAAGCCCAGCGGCCCTCTCACTGGTCACGGACGGGTGCACCGAAATGCACAGTAAGGCACAAAGACAGCTCCCGAGTCGATGAGGTGACCACCCATCGCTCCTTTCTGCTGCCAGGTGAGCCGAACACGGAGTGTACGCGCGTGGACTCGAGGACACCCCTGGGAATTCTGCATCTGCCATTCGCCCAACCAGGAGTGACGAGATTCCCTGCAGAATGTGGCTCAACCGCAACCGCAGCTGCCGTCTGCCATCCCACCCTGCTCGCCTTTCTTGGGCAGCTTTGACTGCCCCGGGAAAGTCTACTCGGAGCGATGGTACCTCAGTCGAGGTAGCCCGCTTGGCCTAATAGTGCCTCCGCGCTCTTCCTGAGAGGCCGACCTGAAGAGGGACAAGTGACACCTGAGAGCAGCGCCAAAAGTCGGAAGTACGGTGCCGATGAGAAACTCTGTTCATCCTATTACCCAACTATTCCGTAGAAGCACCACCGAAGCAGGCTAGAAGGTTGGCATGATCCTCCACCCGCTCGGTGGTTCGGCACTGTCCGAGAACTGGAGCCAGCTACAAACTGTCTCGCTGTGCACGCTTCTAGCAGATGGTGCTCGATTGATAACACCAGCCATCTGGTGTTGTGTCTGCCATGCGGACGGACAATCGCGTCGCGGTTTTTACACAACGCCACCATGGACGCTTTCCCACGATGAAGGCTCCTTGAAGGTTTGAGCGCCGTCCAAGGCCGAAGCGGATCTGATGGCGTGCTCCCACCTCCGCCCAGCCATAGCTTCGAAGCAAGCGACCAACGTGATCTGGTACAATAAGGTTGCTACGCTCGCGTCTCGATTCAAGGCCTTGGCTTTTCCGATAGGTCTATCTGGCTGCTGTTGGGTGCTTCCCGGGGTCGGTTCCAGGTACGCAAGTGCCCTACGACCTAGTCAGTATACGAAAACACGGTTTCTACAACGTTGAAGAGCACATACCTTCATTGCAGGATGTAATGATGCAGTCCTGTTCGAATGCAAGACCGCTCAATGGATGATCATCGATCTTCTTGGACTGTCGACGCCGTGTTAGGGAATACCAGAGCAACAACCGGTTCGGCTATATCAGCACCAACGTACCATTACAGGAGGCAAAAGCGCTGTTCGAGCCCTTGGTTCGACAGGATGATTCAAGAATTCAGACTCATCCACGATCTCCGCTTGAACGAAGCTCCCGGTTCGATTGGAATCAGATCTGAGACGGTTGACAACGCTCGTGCTTTCTGTCCTTTGACGCAGCAATGACATGGATTGGGTCGAAATACTGCCTCTGGTCCTGGCAGTGACCTGGATCGCCCGGTTAGCCGTGCCAATCATTCCCCCCTGCGACAGATGGACTTACACCTTTCGGGCGGTGAAGCATGCCCACACTAAAGTCCCACAATAGGAGCTTACAGTCGTCGCCCACGCTGCCAAAACGGTAGGTCCTTTCGTCGCAGCGCCACGGGTCGAACGCCACGGCGGTGACCCACGAATCGTGGCCATGACATCGAGCAATGATCTGACGTTCCGGGAGGGACCAAATGGTGACAAGATCGTCTTGGCCTCCGGTGAGCACGTATTTTCCGTCAGGAGACCAGCATACACAGGTAAATCCGCCATAATAGGACGAGAATAAATCGGTGAGCCTGGCGAGAGTCAGTCAACCTTCCAATAGCAAACAGAGTTCACAGCAACCCGCCTACCGTTCCTGGGGATAATCGATGATACGGAGAAACCCATCATCTCCAACCACAGCCAGATGTTTGCTGTCGGGACAAAAGGCGAAGTCGGTGATCGTTTGATTGGAAATCTTCCAGCACGCTACAGGGTTGGACTTTTGATTCGACGAATTCACACTTTTACTGATGACCAGCGTTGACTGGTCCTCGTCTTCGATACTGATCGCCTCGTCTATCAGCTCTTCCGAGACAAAAGGCGCATCTTCCTTCTCCTTGTCGTAGACAATCAGTGTCCCATCCATGTGGGCGGCCAGAAACAGATTCTCGGATCCAGGAATCCATTTGATGGTCGAGACTGCCGAGCTGTTGATCATGCCATTCTTATTGATGCGAGCATATTTCTGCGACATGGGCTCGTACCAGATAATGTCACTAGCCGAAGATCCCATCACAATGTCCACATGCGTCGAGTGCTTGGTCAAGCTGTTGATATCATGGCACAGCATATGGGCCTTGGTGAAGAGGATCTTGGTCATCGGGTCCTGTTTCGAGCTGGAAGAGAGGTCCAGCCACTGAAACGCCCGGTTGATGTTGACAAAGGCGAACGTTCCACCCTGATCTCGTTCTTGGAGCTTCTTGGCCAGGGACTCGTGGGGAATCACTCGGGAAACAAAAGAGGAATTGCTTTTAATGATGTTGTTCTTGGGTTTGCGACGTTTGAGCCCATCTCGTGTCATGAGCGGAGAAAGCGCGGCGTTGCCCTCGCCAAATGGTCTGACCGTGCTCGACTTGTTGCTGCCATTCTGAGATGCCGCAGGATTGCTGGTATCGCTGCCGCTCTCAACGGATATCCTTGGCTCTTTCTCGATCTCCTTGACCTCCTTGACCTCTTCCACCTTCTTGGGTTCCTTGCTCTCTTTGGAATTGTTCAACCCCAGCGATCTCCATCGCAACAGGCTGCTCGTTGCTGTGGTGGTTCTGTATAGGTCGGTATTAATCTGTTTCGGGTTCAACGACACCAGCGACAGCTTGACACCACTGGTCGGAGGAGCGACGCTTGTCGAGAGCGGGTTGGGATTAATAACAGGAGCTTCCGAGGGATGCGGAGGTGGCGTCGCTAATTGCAAGTCATCCCGTAACACATATGTGCCTTCGCCCGCCTGGAACGTGTATTCTGGACCTTCGCGAGTGGTCAGAGTATTCGCAGTCTCGAGGGTTGTCGTAGCCAAGCCGCTGCTGGTGGGATATCGTGGTGGAGGGGGAATGGCACTGCGCTCTAGCAATCAGTGAAAAGCCCGCGATAATGGGTGAGTGAGACCAAAACATACAACATGGCGGACTGTGTCGATTGAGTGCACGGCCGTTGCCAGCGTTGATGGCGCAGCTCACTCGCACGAGGTATCGACGACTGTTTACGAGCAAGGTGGAAAATGGAAGATGCTGGGGGTGGCGGAGTTTGGGGTGACAAGTAGCAGTTGCAGTGGTAGTGGCAGCTGTCCAACCACGCCCCCCGATAGGCGATAGGCGCGCCTCGGCCACCGCTCAACGTTCTTCCGGGCCTGCTTGGAGCCTTTCCTCGGTGGGTCGTGGGCCCCCAATTTGATGCGGGGGCGCTGCGGTGCTGTGTCCGCACTTGATCCAAACAGTTGGAGCTACTTGCGTGCGTGCGCTTGGTTCAGTTTGTGACGGGCAGCTGCCGCTGAACTCGCCAGAGAGAGTGGTAACCCTGCAGCTGCTAGTGTAAGACACCTGCATTCGGCACTTCGTTGCTCTGAAGCATTTGTCCGAGAGCCCAGTGCATAGAGCAGCAGCTTTAGCTTCCACGTTGAGGGTCGCGGGTTCAGCGTGCTCATGTGCTGTCGGCGACGGCCACCGTTATATATCGTCCGGCCATCTTAAGGCAGACAGTTCAGCTCTCACGGCATTGACAACTTCCTGGCTGACACTTTCGAGCTCATCCCGGATATGCTGTGTCTCAGTATCTCCTTCATCTCCGTTCTCTTCTCCCTGCTCCTCGTGCTGTCCCGAACCGTTGATAGCAGACTCGTCGTGGTCGGAGGCATGTCCGTTCTGCAACGGTGCAGTTCTCTTGGGTTCCGGCCCAGTCACGCTCAGCAGCACACGGTCTGCCACGGGGGTGATCACAGATATAGCGCCGTTGTTCTGGGCTTCAAACACGAGGGTCTCTTCGGAAGCTATCGTATAAGCGGTCGCCATGGTCGTAGATTGCGTGCGAATCTGCTTGATCTTGGGAGTCTGCTGTCTATATGCGTAGGCGAGGATCGACCCATTCGCGGCACAAACCAAGAGCGACGATACATGCTCGCTCCAAGAGAGCGCCTCAGTCAGAAGCGACGAGAGGCGGCCCGAGTCGAGCATAAAGACCCGATTCATTGTCAGTGCCGGCAGTGACGCTGCAGCAGGGGTTCTCGCAGTGGTACCGAGTACATATGAAGAGCTAATTATCGAGAAGTTGACAGCTGCAGCAGCGACACGCCCGTCCGACGTCAGTGAGCTTCAGGACTCTCCGCACATGTGCCGCTTTAGATCTCCTGTATCCAGCACGTGACCAAATCAGATCCTGAAACGGATCGGCGATGTTATGCTCCGCCGTATGAGTATGTGTACGGTTGGCGCTACAACCTTATCGCGCCAAAACTACTGCCATGCCTCGACAACGTAGAAACGTCCTGGACATTGATTCCCCCAAGCCTGCAAGTACTAAATCTCTTTTTAATGGGATCTAAGAACGGAGGCCATCCCAAAGTGGCACCAGGCACGTTTTAACGCCAGACTGCTTTACTGTGACCGAATTCGACGCAACCCTCCCATAGCAAATGGGCAAAAAGACGTGGCTCCGCACACTCAAGGAAATGTCGACCTCGCCGATGGATGGATCGGTGCACATCACCAACTTGACGATACTCCGAACGAGGACGCCGGCAGAGTAAACGTGGCTCGATTTATTCGAGACTGTGATGGACAAAGACATCGCAAAGCCTTGCGGTCTTCCAGTTCTTCCAGCTCGTCGAGTCGAGCGTGGGAGGCTTTGGATGAAGTTGATGCTTGAAGCTGGCGTGCTTGATTCTTCGAGACTGCTGTTCGAAGCAACGATGCATTCGCTTGTGACTTAGACATATCAGTGAGATAGTGGGACAAGAAAACGCAAGGGCTCAAACCCTTCGCCGCAAGCAATGCGAACTCGAATATATCTCTCCACAATCATCAGCAGTCCATTGGCCTTAACGGTTTGCGTATGTCTCATCATCAGGCTTCCTTCGGAATGGACAGACTTTTTTCGAGGCCAGGACCAGGATCGGCCAGGATCAGCCATCATACGCTCAAGCAGGGTAAGGGTCGGTACGAAATGCCTCTACCTCGTGACTGTATCCGTACCAGAGGGAGGGAGGAGAACAGTCAATGGAAGAGGCATTCATTACAGCTTGGTACAATTTGAAGGCATCGCTTGCCCAAACAGACGTGCCAACTCAATCGGGTTATCCGGCAACGGCTGTATGGTCGGTGATATCCCGTCGTCCAGCTGCGTGAAAGTCGGGCTGTGGAGGCTGCAGAGGACTTGATTTATGATGTGTGAGAAATCTATCCTCGCTACGAAATAGTTCTCGATCCAGGGACGCCCTTCTGACTCGGCAATTGTTGTGGCTGTACCTGCTTGATTCGAGACCGGCACAGATGCATTGTCCGAACGTGGCAGCGGCTCCTTGAAGTCTCCTTGACTTATGGCCGGCGGTCTGCTTCATTGTAATGCCTCTAGTCGGTCGAGAATATACAGACTATTCCATACATGGCGTCGTGCGCCTGGCGTCCAAGGCAGAATTGGACTCGGTCTCACCACGGAGTCTCCTTCGACGTGCAGTCCGACGGCTTGGGCAAAGCAGATGACAAAACCTACCTGAGTCCAGCATCTATGATCGAAGTCGGTACGAGTAAGATTGGGTGTGTGGTTGCAGAGGGCTTACAGGTCTTTCTCACTGGTCGCCAGCAGATAGAAGCAATGTGCAAGCAGTGCGCATATATATTGAGAGTCGTCTCAGACTGAAGGTGTTGTGAGATTTGCAAAGCCTCTTCAAAAAGGGTCTGATGTTCTGGAGCCTCAGCTGGTGGATAGCCGGCATCTGATTTTGAGAATGAGTCGTAGCAAGCAGCGAGGGCAAGCATCGTTACCGGAATCTCAATGTGGGCGATAGAGGACCTATATTCGTTCACTTACATAAAATCGACAGCTATGGACCATGGAATTTGTCGGGGGGCCCATTTTCCGGAATCCCTCGTACTGTTCCTGGAATGCTTGTCGCCAGAGCCGTCTTCGGCCATATTTGCCAACGTTCCGGCTGTTCTGCATTTTTAAATATAATTAGTGGAATCTCACTCCGGAGATCGGATTGAAATGCATCCTGCATTATCATGTTAGCCCGGTCCAGCTATATTAAGCCGGCTGTGACGGCAGCAGCTCGTTCGTTCCTACAGTCCTGCTTTCTTGCGGTCAGTGCAGAGGTTTGTACTGGGAAGTACCGAGTAGTGGCATTCATGAGGGCCCTTGGTCGCCTTTAATATGCGTGCAACGCGCCAATCGTAGCCATATCAGCCAGCCCTCGGGATGGAGACGTGGTGGCCTGGCCCAGTAGGTGCCCAGCTGAACTCAAGGAATAGAAGATATGGAAATGTATAATTCCTCCTGACGCGCTGATCGGGACGCGCAAGTGATGCGTCTCGCCCGAAGTAGTACCTTAGTGCTGCTAAAGATTCACCGTATTCTGCCCTCTACTGTCAACCATAGTACTGTCTCTCGCAGATGTCCCATACGCTCCGATATCTCTCACCCGTTACTCGTACAGCACTCTGGTCTTTTATGCCCTTGGATCAAGCCAGCTTGAAAGCGCACACGCGGCTGATGGCAATCATCGCCTCCCCAACCCAGGGCACCAGACATACTCGACACTCAGTTCATCGCTAGCTCATACCATCCCAAGTCAGCTCGATTTGTTCGCTATTTCATGCCACACTCCTGATATACACAGTAGGCAAGGGGAAGGGGGAAAAGACTCACCCGTCGCCCAATCCCGACTGACCCAGTCCCCGCTCGCAATCCCGCCTCCCTGCTTCCGATACATTGCCTCAACTTCTTCCTTGTGCTGCTTCAAGTACGCCTTGAACTCGCCTTCACCCATCGTGTTCGCCTTGGCCATGAGTTCGCTGACCAAGTCGTGCTCTTCGTTCGACGTCGACTTCATGGGCTGGCCATGCACGAGTGGGTCCTGGGACGTGGTTGACGCCGCATCTTTGGCCGGGAGTTTCGAGCCACGCCGGAAGATCCTAGAGAGGAGGCTGGTGTTGTTGGACTTGGCGGTGTCCGTGGTGGAGGACATGGTGATTATCCTTGCTTTGTCTTTCGTCTCCTTCGCTTCATGGAAATTGGCTATGTACTTGTACGGTAGGGATCCTTGTCGTGCCACCTTGGAGCCGAAATAACTTTGCAAAATCGGCTCTCTTGGGTCTGGGGGCGAGGGTCGTGGATTACCTTGCCGGTTACAATATGCAGGGCTCCACAGGTCACGGGCTCATTGTGTCGCAAGTCAGGCTCGCGGAGCATTCTATTCTTAGCTGGCACAGTCCCGTGCTGGGCTTTATGTACAACACTGGAGGAGAAGTACGGGGTAGGAGTATTGTGTATGGCCGTGGATGAACAAGCTTTGGACGCGCAATGCTTGGGGAATGCTCGTGACGCACGTATGGCCTGTTCATTGAGCTCGAATGCCGTACAAGCACCCAATCCGATCGACGCCATGAGCGCCTAACGAGGAAACTTGGGCTTCTGAGGCCTTAAATTAGTACTCACGTTTGCCTTACCTAGGGTCATGACGAGCACGTACTTTGGATCTGCAAGGTGGATCGAGGAGTAATTTATGGACGTGGCCAAGTCTCGTTCGTGTGCTCCAAACCACGTGTGCAGTACCCTCACCTGACAGGCCTACTGTCTGCCACTTCCGCAGATGGTGAGTACGTATACGTGAAGAAGTACCTCATCTTGCAACATGAATGTGTTGATCGCTGCGACGCCTGTGTCGATTCAGCATGTAACGGTGGGCTTCAGAAGCTTGTCATCAGGATCGATCAACGTGCTCTGTTGGTGTCCTCTACTGGTTTTTGGGAAGTACGATTGTGGTGGGTCGTAAGAATAGTTTCATTTCCGAGCATGTGCTTCAACGGTCACTATCTATTTCGCGGTCAGTGCAAAGCTGAAGCCCAGGATGGCCATACCCAAGAAAGCAAAGGCGATACAAGTCCCCTTGTTGTGACTCAGCTGCAGGCTCTCGGCAAAGAGCGATAAGGCAACACTGGTCATCACACCGGACGTCACGGCGAACATGCCACCATACACTCCTTCGGTAGGAGCTCCCAGACTGCTCCTGTTGGCCAACTTGAACCACAAAGCTGCAACGCCGGCTCCAAGTGGCTGTGAAACGCCGCCTAAGAAGGACGACCATGCTATAGCCTTGACCCTGGAGCCGATCGCGAGGTACAAGGGCAGCGACATGGCAAAGCCTTCTGTGATGTTGTGGATGAATAATGCCATGAAGACTGCAAACCCCAGAGTGGGATTTGCATGGTTGGTTGCATACGTGATAAAGCCCTCCGGAGCCTTATGCAAGGCGATGGCCAACGATGTCTGCAGGCCGATGGACATGAATGCGTTGGTGGGGACGTGGTGATGGTGTTCTGCTGGTCCTGAGAGTGAGTGCGAATGGTGTGATGCTCGACGATGAGGCTCGCTTAGACCGCCGTGCTGGTGCTCCGGATGATGGAAGTGATGCGTTGAAGATTTCGATCGACTCATCGCAGGTTTCGAGCCTCTTACATCGACCTCGTGGGTGGTATGACGACCAAGAAACGACCCGTTCGACGAATGGTTCTGCTCCTCAACTTCTCCAGCCGTCGAAACGCTACGCCATGTAGGCGAGCGCAAGAATGGAGCATGGGGCGGTATAACAGAGCCTCGCCTTTGGGCTGCCTTGAAGCAGTCCTGGCCGCAAGGATCGGTGAAGCCCATACATGGACCGGTTTCATCACAGTTGGCCTTCTGACCACTTACGTACTTTGTGAGCGTCCGTGTGAGCGTTCTAGGCATCAGGGATATTCTCCGAGAACGTGCGGTGTGGAAGGACGGGTCGTGGGCCTCTCCATTTTCCGCAGGGCTCTCTTGTTGAGGCTTTCTAGGGCTCAGGCTCGTGGTGCGAGACAACAGCGGAGTGTCTTCATGGACCTCTGGGATGGGGTCTGTCCGGCATTTTGAGACCGAGAGACCATTGGTATGCTCATCGTCATGCGCATGTTCTGACATTTCTTCCTGGTCCTTAGCCTCCTCTTCATCGTGAGTGTGGTCACAGTCCACGACGTGCGACGGAATGAAATGGTGTAGAACGCGCGACACCAACTGAATGCCGATGACGCCCGCTAGAAACAGTCCGATTAGGAGGTAGGACGCTGCGTGGGGCGAGTAGCCTGCGTCCTTGAAGTATTTCTTGGACTGCGGGAGCATCGAATACAGGGCCGAGAATAACTGTCACCGTCAGCTCTGTTGCTTTCCGAGGTGCAATGACTCACCATGACTCCAAAACTGAGGCTTAACGAGGCAGAGAGAAAGGCATCACTTTCTGATATCGAAAAGTTGCGCCAGCGGTGAACCTGCCGCACGGGTATGTCGACGCAAATGATGGCAGCGCCAAGGACACAAGCTGGTTTTATGCGGTCAGTGAACACTGGGACCCCGATAGGAAGATAGAAGCTACTCACCGACGCCGCTAATACATGTCATGATCCATCCTCGAGTATCATTGTCGATGGCCATCGTGCCGAGCGTTGACCTACCCGCAAACAGCTGGTCATGTAGAAGTGTAGTCTGGAGATACACCGCTGTTCGTAGCAACGTAGTCGATACAATGTTTGAATGTGTTCTAGGTGAAAGCTAAGGTAACGGTATGAGACTGTGATGGAGTTACGGTAAAGGTATGAATGGTGGCCAGGTCGAGACTCGGTCGCACTTGCACGCCGCGGAATGACGTTTATCCCAGGAACTTCGTTAGAGGACCTTAAGGACTGGACGCTTGCGGTTTAGGCGCCACCGAGCGCCCCCACAGGCCACCAGCGCCAAATGATAGGCGAGCCAATGCCTGGATCAGCAGGGCCGGTAAGGCTGAGAGTCTCAGCCTTGCTGGACTGCGCACATGCATGGTCATCCATGGTGGTCATGCGCTGATTGGCCTTGTCAGTCGCGCCTTTTCCATTGATCTTCGAGATCGAGACGCGTCCTTGACGGCATTTTCCTGAGATCTCCCTGATATCTTTCACCCCGCGATCCATGTCCAAAACCACTATTGCCATCATTGCGGCCACGTCTGCTTTCGCAGGCGCGTCGCTCACGGCTCTGTTGCTTCCCCGGTCGCGAAAAGATGAACTCAGACCGACGCCAGCATTGAACGAGCCGTCCCTGTCAGCGACACCACCTTCTCCAGCGGTTGCTTCACCACCCGTTCCCATCCCTGTACCGGTTCCAGTGGCTGTACCAGCGCAGCCTGCCGTATCTCCTCTGATCCCGCCCGTCGATCCATCTGGCATACTGCGATATGGCTTCCCCGGCCCTTTTGCCGACACGTTGGCCACTCCCTCGCACCTCTCGTCGTTCAACAGGTTTACCCGAAATCCTCATTGGGTGGCGGAGCACTTTACACCCCAATCGTTACTCATGAACAATGCATCTCGGCGACATAGCGTTTTCTACGAGGATCTGTCCGTCCCTCCAATGTTCCGAGCGAAGCTTTCGGATTACTTTCGAAGCGGGTACGATCGAGGACATCAAGTCCCAGCAGCGGATGCAAAATGGTCCCAAGAAGCGATGGACTCTACGTTCGTATTGAGCAACATGTGTCCGCAAGTTGGAGAAGGCTTCAATCGTGACTACTGGGCACATTTTGAGGATTTTTGTCGAGGCCTGGTCAAGAAATACCCCAGCGTCCGAGTGGTCACCGGCCCACTATACCTGCCCAAGAAAGACGAGCGAGATGGCAAATGGAGAGTGTCATACGAAGTGATTGGGAATCCTCCCAACGTGGCTGTGCCTACTCATTTCTACAAGATCATCTTTGCAGAGGAGGCAGCTCACAGCCCCATTGGATCGGTGGCTCTTGGTGCTTTCGTCCTGCCTAATGCCGAGATTCCCAATTCGAAAAGCTTGCGAGAATTTGAGGTGCCTCTGGAAGCAGTGGAACGAGCCAGTGGGCTGGTCTTCGCAGACAAGCTCCCTGTTGGGAGGAGAAAGCGACTTTGCAATGAAGTCACCTGTGAAATCGTTGTTCGCGAGTTTGATAAAGCTCGGCAGCAGTCGAACAGCATCGGGCAGGTTGCGAGAGGGCTTCCCCAGATTCAACAGCCTGGAGGCCGGTCGTGAAGACCGAGATGATTCATGCTTAGAGGAAGCTGCTACTCACACGACATGAACGTAGAACGCGCAACTTGGGGTGTCTAGAAGATCCTTGAGATCCAGCATTTCGGCGGCATGTGTTATATATTGGCGGTGCATAGCATGGGATGGGACACTGCTCGAATGCCAACACAGAGAAAACCTGCATCTGGCCAGACTGGATATGCGGAACAGGGACGGCTTTGCAGTAACACTTGGCGACCATCTTCACCTCCCTGTATACCGCGGAAGGATTGTGAGAACGGGAACACACCTCAAGGCACACTCGCAACCGTGACCACCCCCCCCCCCCCCCCCCCAACAAGCGTCGACCCCTTCTGTCTCGAAGCCAGCATCAAAGTGGCCGGATGTCATTTGTCTACCTTAGGACGGCACAATCTCCTCATTGGTCCAATGGAGGCCGATTGAGATCAGCCTGCTATTCATTGACCGTGCACTCCAGAATCTCACGGGCCTTTTCCAGATTTCGACATCAAATCTTGTTCCCTTTTGGTGGAGACTCGCTGTTCAGCCACGCGGGTTTCGACCACGAGAAGCGCAGCCTTGTGCCTAGAACCCTCATAAGCAGCGACGTCTCTTTCAGCATTGAACCAGCGGGGCGAAGCCCACAAGGCCGGTTTGGGCTGATTGCATCTTCCGAACGGACACATAATAGAATCAAGTGAGACGACGATGGCGTTTCAGGCAAAATGTCACGCTCCTCTGAGGTTTCTCCCCACGACACAGTGCCTTGCAATTTGTATAACTTTTCCCCTCCTCTCCTTGTTTACCAGACATGTCCCTCAGTCCAACATCTCTTTCAGCTCGTGCTAATTATCGTCATTTCCCCGTTACTGCCAAGATGTCTGGCGGACAGAAAGTCCCAAAGAACTCTGACGAGGCTGAGGTGGGCGACCCGGAAGTGAACGACGACGAGCCGGAGGAGCCGGCAGTCCCCCAGCGCAGCATCACCAAAGTCAAAGCACTGTACGGGAAGCAAGACTCTGAGGTGAGGTATCAGTCGGAGACCGAGGAGCCAGTCGATGCCGCCGAGAACAAGGAGACGGCTCGGTATGCGTTTCTCGTCCGCAAGCTGATATCATACGATAGTCGCAAGAGATACGAGATGCACCCCATCATCGTCCAGTCACCGTGGTTGAAGAAGGCGCTCGGAGTGATTCTCGAAGGTTACCCCCAATATCACCACGAACCTCGACCGCCTCGTATTTGCCGCGCCTTTCCATCCATTCGTGCATCGGTGGACTCGGCTAGTTGACCTGCCCGAGAAGAACGAATTCGAAGAGGGATGTCGAGCGAGAACACCTCCAGCTCTTTCACTATGTCTTGTTTGAGGAGCTCAAGAACACCATCGCAAGCAAAGACCGACCTGGTCAAGAACGGCGGCATCACCTTCGAGTATTTGTGGACCATCTTTGAGCCACAGACGCTGGTCTACAGCGTGGCTGCTGGAAAGGAGTGCGTGTTCAAGCTCGACACGTTCCAAAAACCCTCACGCACCAACGAGGAGAGCTCGATTTCATCCAACTCGGTGTCTGGTCGATCGATTGGGATGGTTTCAAGTTTGGAGCAGCATACGACAAACCTTCAGAACCACGAGTCCCCCGGGACGACTTCGATCAGCTCGTTCCACGCAGATACTCTTGGAATTCCATCCTGAAAATGAACAGCTCATGGCGCGTCTCGTCCTCCGCGGCAAACTGTTCGAAAGCTGCGCCGGCTACCATTACAAGGTATACCGAGAGTGGCTCTGGAATATGGCCGTTACGGCATGATCCGGCACAACACCGAGTCATGGATCATCATCTCGACTGTGAAGCACATAATCGATTCTTGCCAGTAAGTGCGGTTTACTTCAGCCCCCTCTTCCCAAAGACAACGAAGCCGCCCAAGGTCGTTCCGGAGTCTGACGACAAGGCAGAAGCGATTGACAACTACAAACATGCAGTGGGCAACTCCGTCGATGACCTCGACCAACTCGGCATACCGGCAGAGAGGACGACGGGCCCAAGCCCGAGCGCCGCCCACTTAACGACGAAGAACTCCTCATGACTGTCTCCATATGTGCGCGGGTACGCGATCAAGAGCAAGAAGTGGTTGTGGTTCTTTGTGGAGAAAGTTGAAGAGATCGAGTTCGCCAAAAATGCGTTCGGATCGAAAGAGCAGAAGTCCTTGATCCGTAGTTTTGTCGAGTCAGGCGTCAAGTACAAGGATGACTTTGACGATGTGATTGCAGGCAAAGGCCGCGGCATGATCATGCTCCTCTCCAGTCCACCCGGCGTGGCGAAGACTCTGACGGGTGGATCTGTGGCCGAGGACATGCGTGTCCCAGTCTACGTGTAAGTTGTGCCTGTAAAGAAACGACGACGGAGGGATTGGAATGGTTGGAGCTAACAGCAAGTCAGGATGTCGGCCGAAGATCTTGGGACCGACCCATCGAGCATTGAAGTGTCACTCAATCTCGTTATGGACATGGCCAGGAGGTGGAATGCTATTCTGCTCTGGACGAAGCCGATGTGTTTTGGGAAAGGCGCTCGTTGATTGATCTTGAGCGCAACAAGATGGTTTCGATCTTCCTGCGAATTCTAGGTAAGATGGACCGACTCACGCGAATGCCAATTGTCCCTGATGGCCACTTGGTCGCGCCATTGGTCTGACATGTACAACGTCCAACAAGAGCTCCTCATCCACTTCACATCTGACGTTCAAGACATACAGCTGACAAGATTCCCGCAGAGTACTACGACGGAGTCCACGTTCCTGAGCACGAATCGAGTCAAGAGCATCGACGAAGCCTTCCACTCTCGTATTCATGTCACGGTCAATTACCCGAGCCTGTCGACCGAAGCCAAGCAGCATATCTAGCAGACCTTCCTCGTACGAAGTCATCCGATCAGCGGTCGGGATTTAGACCGGTTTTGCCAAAGTCGACCTCAATGGGCGACAGTCGTGAAGACGGCACAGATGTTGGCACGCAGTCAGGACAACCAGGCACCGGCCACTGACCGGAAACGTGGTGTCAGAGTGGAGAGGCGGCACCTGGAAACCATCCTGGCCATGGAGCGAGGCACGTCATGGAGAGTAAAGTGAGAGTGATTGGATGGGTTTCCAGGGACTGCATGCATGGTGTTCAATGTTCAGGTGTCAGCGTTCCGCGTTCAGTGTGCAGTGTGCAGTGTGGGCCAGCACTGTGAATTCTCACACAGCACACACACAGCACAGCTACTCAGCCGGATCGAAGCTAACCTCGCCGTGTCGGATGGGGTAGAAATGTGCTCATGCCATCATACCAAGTAGACCATAGACCGTAGAAGAGGTTGACTAGAAGTGTACAGTAATGTCATGGATGAGCAGAGACATGCCAACAACTCGGTGGAAGTCTGGAGTCTGGGCTTTTGCTCATCCGCACAGTAACTCATGCGGGTAGACGGAGTCAGTACTATAGGACCGGCCATCCTTGGACCTGGAAGTTGTCAGGCCCCAACGGCAAGGCGAGCTGAATGGTCAAGTCTTAGCATCCGTACGCACGCACCCGACAGGGTACACGACTGCCCATCGGTGTCGATCCGGAAAAAGCTTGGACGCGAGGGCCTGTCTGCAGGTAGTAACACGACCACGACCACGACTGACTACCAAGGGCGTACTCACACACTGTGCAAGTAGTGGTTACTGTAAGGCTTTTCGGCAAAACGAGGCCCTCCGCTTCTCGCTTGTAGCACCTTGACGACCTTGACGACTTGGATGCGGATGTGTATGTGGATATGGATGACTTGGCTCTTCTTTTCTTATCCCATTGTCTTAGTCGCACAGTATGCCTGAGCACAGGACAGGACAGGACAATAAAGGAAGTGAGCGCCGCCACGATTTTCGCCACCGACGTGTCTCAGTTCGGTGATGGTTCATAGACGGTAGACAGCACTGTCACAGCACGAGTGCGGGAGTGCCGTCGGGCCTGCCTGGATGCAGTGCTGTGCTGTGCTGCCGTTCTGCCGTGCTGCCATGGTACATACGTGGACGTTTGGGTTTGGATGTGGATTTGGATTTGTGCGCCTGTGCCTGCGCCTTACGAAGACCGTGTACCTCGTACCTCGTGGCTGTATCCAGTGTGCCAGTATGTACGGAGTACCACAGTATGTCACTGCACACCCACCTGTCCGCTCTTGGGTCGCCCTCCACTGCATGCCGGGACGAAGGACGGATGTCGGATATGCGGATGCGGATGCTGATGCTGATGCGGACTCGATGCAGACAGTCGTCGTGACACCTGAAGGAGAATTTTCGTCCTGTGGTGTGACATTGACATTGCTTCTCTGTCCCTGTCCCTGTCCCCGTCCTCGCTGTCCTCGTACCCGGTATTGACCAGCTCACGAGCTAACCCGGCCGTGCTTCTCCTGCGGGTGCCACCTGCTGTGCTCCTGCTCCTGCTCCTCCCTCTCCTCGTACATCACTGGTCCGGAGGTCGGCTGCGATGTCGGGCGCAGAATGCAGGGACGATGAAAATAGTTGGTTGCGGGGCAAAGAGAAGCTTCGAGCTGACAATCACGAATTCTACTCGTACTGGGTACTGCGTCAAGATCGTCGCCTGGCTGCATATACCTTTTTCTTTCTTTCTGGAGCCGGTCCGTGCGAGGACAAGTATGCACAGTTCCAGGGCACAGCTGGTTTGTTGCCGCGTCTGCCGGGTGCGATGCGGCTCTTCGTATCGTACTCGTACCGTATACTGCGTGCGAATTGGTATTGTGCATCGCATACTGTATACCATGCAACGCGGTTACTGGTGATTTGTCGTAGCGCACGAGATGTACTGTAAGCGACTTATACGACTGCGCTAAACAAGACCAAGGTAAGGTACCGGGTACGTATCTCTAGCTGCGCCAATATATATATTATGTCCCTGTAGTATGTAGTATAGAGTGTGTACCTGTAGTATGTAGTATGGAGTGTGTACTACTAGGTAGATTATAGGTAGTAGACAGTAGCCAGTACAGAAGTACACTCCAGGTACCGTAACGAGGACGTCCACAGCAGCGCAGTGCTCACTCCGACCTTGGACCTTGGATCTCAAGCCTTCCATCTTCGACCTTCCATCTTCGACCTTTGGCTTCCAGCTTCCTTCTCGGTGGAGCTTCACGGCTTGGGAGAAGGAAAAAATTCCCAGTCTCCCGCACAGGTACGAGTAGAGGACCCAGTATTTACACCTTCGCGTGGTGGACGAGCACGCCACCTACGGGACTGGAGGATGCTCGCTTACTGACGGAGTGCTCGTACTGGGTACATCACATCACATCACATCACCTCACCTCACATTACGAGCTATTCACATCTCGTCAATGTCCCGTCCGGAAGAAGCGGATCACTGCGGAGTCCCTCGCATGGCTACAAAGTCTGGAGTATAGAGTACTCGTACCTCGTACTAGTACTCTGGATAAACCGCCCGCCGTGGCATCTTCGACAAGAGGTCCGGTCGCGAGTGGGTACGAGCTCAAGTACAGTACGTACGGATGCTGGTTTTCAGCTTCGATGTTCTTCATGCTTCGAGGGCCGTCAATGTGCGGGGAAAGTGGAAAATTTTTCAAAAAAGGCTGCAGCACCTCGTATCGATCCTCGATGCCGTGGTTGTCATGGCTGCATGTCTGCGTGTCTGCATGGCATGGTCTGGGCGTCTCGGTTCGAGTAACCACTACGGTGCTACATGACTGTGATTAGCCGACCATGACTACAAGTGCCATCACCATACGAGGTACGAGTACTCATTACGGACTGGCGATACTCTGTTCGGATGAGAGCTCATTTGTCTGCATGTCCACATGTCCACATGTCGTACGAGTTAACACAATATTGGGTACTGTAAGTGAGCTGCACCGTGTACGAGAGAGGTACTGTAAGCGAGCAAAGCAAGCTGGCCGGGCAACTCTCACAGCCCTGACTGCTCTCCAAGCTCCAGCTCCAGCTCGAGCTCGGCAAGCGCGGCGCCACCGACTCCACCGGCTCCACTGCCTTCAGTGACTCCATTGACTCCACTACTGTGTAATGTGTCACTTCTCACGTCAACGCCGAACGTTGGATGCTCAGCTGTTGACTGGCAACGGAAGACGCCAAAGGTTGAAAGGTGGAGCTGCAGGTTACGGGCTACGATCGCCTTACTCGTACCCACACTCCCACACGACGACAGGCGAAGGATAATGAAGCGAGCGAAAGGTTCGTGCTGTGCTTGTGTCCCATATGCGATCCAGGTGCGAAAGATGACATGACGGCGGGAAAAGGCACTGTGAGAAGCAAAGATTCTTGCATGTTCGAGAGACTGGTTCGCAGCGATATACGGCAGACATCGTTGCAACTATGTATTGTATGTATATGTGTGTAGACTACTAGTAGTGATTACCATGATTGTACTCGTGCGCGAGTATCGTCAAACAGGGGGGGGGAAGGTAGAATTAGATCCCTTTTCGCTTTTTGTCCCTTGCCTGATACCCAAAAGTCGACTCCATTGCTGTGGTGGTGTGAATGTGAACTCCCATGACAAGACGGCATTGTCGTCGTGATGATCGTCGGAGGGTCGTTGATCCGTTGCGTTGGACAAAAGATGAAACTGAAACTCGTGGACCCGTGTCATTCGTCGTCGGCGGCGGCGGCAATGCCCTTTCTCCCCCTGCCCTATGCTTGCAGCTCCTCCATTTACCCCGGGCTAAGCTCGTGCCTCTCGCTCAGGGCAAGCTTAGTTCCAGTCACCCCAGGTGGCGGCGGCAGTCACGGTCACGTACGCCGTCTCGGGGACGGTGACGTAGGCGGTGGTGACTTGCCAGTCACCCCACTGGGAAGCGGTGATGGTGGCAGTGGAGTAGATCTGGGATAGTCTGTTAGTCTCACTATCTCACATAGGAGCACGAAGCAGGAGTCAACTCACGGTCGTGGGCACGGTGACAGTGGTGGGAACGGTCTCAGTCTTGTAGACGGTGGTAGGGACAGTCTCGGTCTTGTAGATGGTGGTGGGCACGGTCACGGTGGTGGGCACAGTGGCGGTCTTGTACACGGTCGTGGGGACAGTCTCGGTCTTGTAGATGGTGGTGGGCACGGTGGCAGTTGAGTAGATGGTCGTGGGGACGGTCGCGGTCGAGTAGACGGTCGAGTACTCGGTTGAGTAGACAGTCGAGTAGACGGTCGAGGCACCCCAGTCTCCCCAGGTGTTACCGGCCGGTTCACCACGCTTGACGGCAGCGGCGGAAGCGCCAGCAACGAGAGCAGCGGCAGCGAAGAACTTCATGTTGATGGTATTGGGTTGTTATTAAAACGATTGGTTGTTTTTGTCTGGGAGCGAGAGAATGAAACGAGAGGCTTTTTGTTTTGAAGCGAAAGGCTTTGGATGTGTTTGGTTGTTGTGGTTGTAGTGTTGCGAGGCTGTCTGATGGAGGGAGAGATACACAATCGAGAGGGCTTTACTCACCACTTTATACCTCGAATGTGAGGTGACAAGACACCTACCGAGATATCCAGCCTCTCGTGAGCTGCCTTCCCCAAATGTCTTACTCGGCTTCCGCAACGGGGCGGTGGTGGAGGGCTGGCAGTGAGCAGTGTTCATGCTGTAACCAAGTTTTTTTTCTGTCGTTCCTCAGCCGACGGTCGCTGCATTGCTGAGCGGGGATGGCTAGGCGAAGCAGCGCAGCAAGAGGTTGGTCCTACCGAGCATCACGGTCTGCTGAGCTGCCCGGGGCCTTACGACCAATTCGCCAGTTTGGGGGCCCGCTCGGCGTCCTCCTGCACAAGACAGTGTCAATCCTTGCCGTGCCCAAATCCACTTCGGCTGCCCGTGCCTGGCCCAGACCTGGTCATTGTTCGCTAGCTGACCACCTGCATGCACCCAGCCATGGCAACAATAGAGAACCTTGGGCCAATGCGGAGCGACCGTGTGGCCGTAGCGTTGAGTGACACCCGTTACCGTTTGGGCGCCCGGGGAAGGCTGGGATCCACGCTTGTGGCGGATCTGACTGCAACAGCCGAAACATGGCGAGTGAGAAGCCGCATGCCAAACACGAGACCGCAGACCAACCACGACGCCGACAGCGTGCTTGGGAGCAAGATGGCTGGCGACGCTAACGCGTGTGACGAATAACCGTCGGCGGCCGTGCTTTGCGGGGAGGGAATAGCGCGAGGCTAAGCATGGCGCCAAGACACAGCTAAGCTATGAGCTAGTGCCCCGTCGGGAAAGGTCCACAGCTATTTTCGAGTTCTTCCGAGAAAGCGTACACTGCGTACGAGAAACCTCTGCAACCATTTCCGTGATGAACACTCTGGACGCAGTACGAGCTAGCGTTCCTTCGCCTCCTCTCGCATGGCATTTTTGGGACTCAGTTTCTGTTTGTCATGAAAACAGCCCTTTTCGACGGACGTCGTGCAGATCCTCCATAATGTGGCCCGTGGCCTGCGTACCGTGTCAAGCATGGCATCAGGTACCGAGTACTCCGTACACGGCCAACACAGCCAACCAGCCAGCCAGCTGACCGGGTCCCCTCTTTTCCGACTCCTGCCGTTTCCGATCTCGTCAGCCAGCCCTTCATGACCCATTGCCTCACCCGGGTTAAATGTGGTCATTTCCGTGAGAAAGAGGAGGCCGGACGATTACATCTTTCCTGCGGAGGCACCGGATACGCGGAAGCCGAAGCTCAACTGCCTTTGGTTCCTGCTGCCGTCCTGCACAAAGGTGGACGAGTGATGGCAAATGTCGAGGCACGTTCCTGTGCCTGTCCACCGAACCAATGACGCTCTGCTGTCTGGGGCCCAGACGGACGTCATTGTCTTGCACCATCACACACCACCACCGCCTAACATGCTGCGTGTGTGATTGGCTGATCGAAGACTACCAGCCAACCTGGCGCGCTGACTCTCGCTTCCATCTGCCCAACAATAGCTTGAAGGAGTTGTCCAGGTCCAGCCATCGACCCAGGAGCTGGCGCTGCCACGAGCAGCAGGCCGAGAAGAGGCTCTCGTCAGACGAACGCCAGGAACCAATGATGGGACGAGTACGGAGCACAATGCCGACGTGGAGCTTGCCGGTTCGTGTGTCCATGGTTGAGCCGCTGCGGCTCAGGTTTGACACTTCACCGCTTACGGTGTACGGAGTACAAGCTGCACAGCGCTCCTGCCGTCTCTGGCATGCGTAAAGCCATTCCATCCATCCCGCCTCTGGAAGCAAGGAAGTGCCATATGCGGGACAATTGTTGTTGTTTTTTTGCCACCTTCGGCTACAATGAGCTGCAATGACAATGCATCGGGATTTCCTTTTCGAGAAGAATCAACATGGCGAGCGCCAAAGACATGGCTTTGGCCGGACCTCCGTTTTCTGCAGGTGACCTGCAACACAGCTGCCACTTCTGCTTCGAATACGAACGCCTCGTCGACTACCAGCGCTGTATTTCTCCGCGCTGCCTTATTCCAGCTACTGTGAAGAGATATTTCTCCGCCTTGTCCTGCGAGCTCACATTTTGACGTCGAAAGTCGCTGGCTGGAAAATCCATCACATTTCTGAATGCACGCCGGAGCCTCGAAGCACTTTCGTCCTTAATGTCGTGGCACATGAGGATACGGCTGTCCGTAACCGGGGCAAAGGGACTTCCTACGTTCCCGATTACAATGTGCTCAACGGGGCTGGATCACGATTCTAAATTTCACAAGTGCTAATTTTGTCAGGCGTGCCTCATCCACCGTCACCGCCAGCCTCTCCCAGCGAAGTCCTCAAAGCCTTTCGTTTTCGATGCCCGACATGTCCCAGCTGCCGTCCCTCACTCGTCCTGATGACCTCCTCTCACCGGCGGGTCAAGGTCACTCGATCGCCTTTCCCCTCTCACTGCTCACTGGCCAGCTCGAACAAGGCAACCGTCTCGCAAAAGTTTGCCCTGTTCACACTATAGGGCACCACACTCGTCCCTTCATAGCTCACCATGAACTGGCTCCCCTTGGTGCTCAGCGCCCATAGATATATGTCCGTGCTGTTCCGGAAATCCACCATGCGTTCTTGACAGCTCTCGGTGCCCAAGCAAGCCTGCGTGTTCCAATTCTCAAAGAAGTTGTACAACCCGCCGCCGTACATGAAGATGCTGCTGGAATTGACAAATCGGACGGCCCACGTGCGCGCGCAGTTCGCCTTGGTGCAGTCACTAAAGTCCGGGTCGTGCCAGCTGGCTTGAGGCGTGAAGGGGACGAGCGCGTTCGGGTTCCCCTGGAAATACGCAGTTTCGTGTTGGATGTGGCCCATGAAGACGTTCTTGGCGTTGACGAATTGGTAGTCGTACATGACCGAGTGTTCTGCCGCCGTGCCATAGAGCCAGACGGGCCCTTCGGCGGATTCGATCAGGAAGCCACTGCGGAGAAAAGTCAGCCATCATGACGGACGTCCGGACGCCTCTGCGTAGGGGGTTTGTGTGGAAAACGGTAAGGGGGGCAAACAATCAATGCTGCTGCCCTCTTTTCTCACTCACGCTTTGTTGAAGATGTAGATCTGCTGCCGGTCGTCCAGGTCCAGCTCGTGATCCGCCACCCAGCCCCAAGTGTTTTCGAAGTACCCGTCGGCCTGGGGCGTGACGTGCAGCAACAGGAAGGCACCCAGGCACTGGGTCAGCACGGGGTTGTTCCCAGCAATGGGCGTGGCCGGCGTCTTGAGACATTTGTCCTGCTGGAGGTCCGTGCCTGCCGTGCCGCCGATGCGCCAGTGAGCGTCCCACATGCCCGCCAGCGCCGGCCCAGCAGCCTTGATGTTCCACTCGATGATGATGGCACCCGGGCATGGACCCCTGGTCTCGAACATCAGATCGGAGATCTCGACGGTGCCTGTCTCGCCGGGGTTGCCAATCTTCCACACCACCTTGGGATTGAACTCATCGCCAAAGTACGGCCCCGTGGCCATGATGATGGAGAGCAGTTCACCCGTGACCTTCAAGTCGTTGGGGACGTTGATGGTCGAGGTGACGATGTAGGCGCCTTTGTCGAAATAGACGACCTTGCCGGTCTGGTGGGCGAGATCGAAGAGAGCTTGCATGGCGACCGTGTCATCTACAAGGGGCCATCTCAGTGAGCTTCATCACGGACACCAGGGGGTGCGAGGGGCCTCGGATAGGGCGAGAAGAATACGCACCTGCTGAACCATCGCCAACCAGGCCATTTGCCTTTGCACTCAGAAAGTTGTTGTTCCAGTCGAGGTTTTCATACTGCGGCTTGACTCGGTAGATGTACTGCCCGTTGCTGTCCGTCAGCACCGAAGGCCGCGGGATGGGTGCCAGTGCTCTTTGGATCGTGGTCTCCTGAGCCGTGTATGCGGTCTGGCTGGCGTTTTGGTACGTGCACGTGGTGCCGTTGAAATACTGTCCATTCAAGGCTGCACCAGCGGTGGTCCAGGCGTTGCCCTGAGCCCAGAGGTCGACAAACTGTTGGCCTGCGAGGACCGTCCGTGCTTGCGTACCACCTGCAGCAGAGATGGCGATCTCACTGCCGGTAAAGTCGACCATTTCCAGTACCATGGTTCCGGCAGCTTGGGGCGAGCTGTAACCCGGCGCATATGGTGTAATGATGCCCTGCGTGGCTGATATCGTGCTGTCAATTACCACGAGCGACCCGACGGCCAGGTTGGAGAAGCCGCCGCTGGTCATGTCGATGCCAATGTCAGAATTCGTGATGCTGATTTGGGTGAACAGCCACAGCCAGTCAAAGTTCATCTTGATCGCAGTGGCGCAGCCGTCGAACCGGATCTTGCGCGTGGTGAACTGCTGGTTCCCAAGGTAAGCTCCGATGGAACCGCCGGTAATGATCATATCAGAGAAGAAGCCACCGGATCCGTTTTCCATGTAAATACCTTGTTGCTGGTTGTTTACGACATCCTTGGACACCATGTTGATCACAATGTTCTGCATGCTTGTCGCTTGAGCAACTTGCCAATGGATACCAGCCGTCTTCAAGGGCGCGTTTGTCATGTCGATGATGAAGTTGCGCATTTGACGGAAGAAGTTATTCTGGTTGGCGTACCACTCATTGCCACTGCCGGATGGAATGTAGATATCGGCGTCGAAGACAGCGAGACCGATGATGTTGGTGAAATTCGAAGCAACTCGAATGGTAGGTGGATTGACTGCGTCGCCCACCATCTGCGTAGCATAGTACATGATCAAGGGTTTTGACACGTTGTAGATGCCTGGCGGGAAGTACACAAGCGCCGGCGTGATGGTTGACGACTGACAGAACGATCCATAACTTGCATTGCCACCGCCACAGCGGCCGTCGAGTCGCGAGGTGATGGTGTTGAGGGATCCTGGAGCTGAGATGGCCCGGTTGATGGCGTCGCTGTCGTCACGGCTACCGTCTCCTACAGATCCCAATCAGCAGTCTGCGAGTCACCGGGACAGGCTAAGGGACTCACCAACGGCGCCATAGTCCTTCACATTTCGAAACACCGGGTAGGTTGGATCTTGAAAAGCGATTTTGCCCCGAGCTGGCTTGTTTGCGAGCCAGTAACTCGACTGGGCAGCTGATGATCTGATGAGAATGACAAGTTGTAGAATGGTCAATAGTAACGCTGAACACGGGAAATACATTGTTGCGATCGAGCCACTTCGCAGAGGTGTTGAGACTTTCCAGTATGTCTCGGGACGAATATATGCAGCGCGAAGCACACCGGTACAGGTCGGAAAAGAAGAGATAATGGACGCGCGAGGGCGAGCAGGGGCTGGACTGTGACGCGTAAGGGGCCACAGCTTCATCCCTTGCGGAATGTACTTGGCAGGAATGTGGTTTGAGACGCAAATTCCGCCAGCTAGAAATAAACTTGCTGAGCGAACCTCCCAACATCAAACCAACCCTGACAAGTACTGCATAACCTTGGTTCGACACGTCTGGCCGTCCCAGCCATCTGTAATCATGAAAGTCGCTACTGCACTCCTGGTCGCTCTCAGCGTCCTTACCAACAATGTCAACACGCTCACGATTGAGAAAAGAGATGAGTACGTGTAGCCCCTGAGACTGACGAGCCTGACTTCTGAGATTGACCGCTGTGCAGCTCAGATGATTTGACCCCCGTCCCGATCGAAGACAACAACGAAGGCAGCGTCACTTGCAACCAATGTTCGAAGGATGCCGGCATCTGCTGCCCTGTCGAATGTCCAACTGACGGCCATTGCCCAAGCGATGCGATTGCCAACGCTGGATGGTAAGTATAGTCCTCGCTCTTTCGCCTTCTGGCTGGCTGCACATGTCTGGGGCTTCTTGAGCTGCCTCTCGCTCTTGCGGTGTTAGCTATGGTTCTGTCCCACCTCGTAGACGTGGGAGGCCAGAGCACTTCAGTGCATTGCTGACGCGTACACGCAGGCTCATAGATGGCATCAAGATCACCAGTAACCTGAAGAGACAGAAGCGCTGATACTGGAGCTCCTTGTATCTTGACGGAGGCAGTCTGTTCAGTTGAGAGCAAGATGAAGATCAGGGCGACGATTTCAAGGGCACGTGGTCACCACGTGATATGCTCTTGGCATTTTTGTGGCTCATTTCGGAGGACCACGACGAATCGAGAGAGGGCGAAGAGAGGCCTGCTTAACCCAGTAGAGTCGCGGCGGACTATGCCAATAATAAAGGCGTGATGCAACGCGTTATCCAGCTGTCTAGGGTCATACCCTTCGGATAACCTTCCGGTCATATTTTGGTTTGTTTCAATGTGAGCCCATGGATGACCGACTTCGTTCAAGGCAAAGCTGAAGACATCACCCTTTCATTCCTCCATCTCGTGGCTAGGTTTGAGGTGGGCATGGAGAGTCGCGGCGAGATCGATGATAAGCTATGCCTTCAACCATCCTGTCCCTCCCCCTATAGTGACGCTGGTTGGCGCTATCTCGAGATCCCGACAATTGAAATGTAGAAGGAACCTGACCTCATAGCAGATCCTATCTCGGTCAAACCCAGCGTTTCTCGGGCATCGAACCCGCTTGGTTAAGGTACGTCTCTACGGATGGATGTTCTGTTGCCTGTGTTCCGACGTCTGCGATCCCGAGCTAGAATCACCGGAGAATCCGCTTCTCCCAGGGCTCATTTTGAAGATCAACAACGGCGACTGCGCTTCTGACTGGTCACGTCCGAGTTAGGAGTACAGAGTAAGACTGGTGCCATACCAATAATCCAAGAGATTCGCGTCAAGGGAAAGCTAGAAGCACGTCATGGAGGCGCCGTTGAAGACCAACAGTTGCACCATGCGCGCCGACGAGCCGCGATAGATTCGTGTAATGTTCTTAGACGATGAGGGAGAGCAACTCGGTGAGCGACTTTGCTCTTTAGCTCGCGCCGAGTCTCTTGTTGGCAGTGATCAGGTAGGAATGGGTGGTCGATGGTGAAACTGGGCTTTCCGTCACGATGTTGCACCTCATATATTGACGTCCCTTTGGAGGCTGTCGTGCAGTTATGAACTGGGGAATAGAGGCTGATCAGGACGCTAGTCAACACTACATTTTGCAGGATATTATCAGCAACAGCAAACACTAACACACTTCCTGCCCGTCAATCTGCGTAGGTATCATCTGAGTTTGAGGAAGAGCATCTCATCAACGGAGTTCGAGCAGAGGCGCCCCTTCGTAATAATGTTGTACAATTAACCACCGTAGGCCTTCTTGATCTCTTTCTCGTACCGCTGCTGGATCTTCTTTCTTTGGACCTTTTGGGCGGGCGAGATGAAACCCTATCCACGTCAGTCAGCATGACCCTCTTCTAGCAATCGGTTCCACTTACATTTTGAGGGGTCCATTCCTCGTCGGACATGACGATACCGTCAATGATTTCGATGCCCGCAAGACCTGATTCACGGCCTGCCTTCTGTACTTCTTTCAGCACGAGGCCATTGAGCTTCTCGTCATGCACCATCTCCTCCAGTGACTCTCCTTTGATGCCATTGGCAGCTGCGATTTTTTGAAGAGTCGCCTCGACCGGCACGATGATCGCAATCGGCTTAGCCTTGTCTGGGGCGGCAAAGACGCAAATGTTTCCGACCACCGGCGCCGTACGGTAGGAGGACTCGAGCTTCTCAAGGGCAATGTATTCACCATTGAGAGTCTTGACCAAGTTCTTCTTGCGATCAATGATGCGCAGGTGGCCGTTGGCATTGAATTCCCCGATATCGCCGGTCTTGAACCAATGGTCGTCGGTGAGTGCCTCCTTGGTCTCCTGTTCGTTGTCCCAGTAGCCCTCGGTCACTGCTGGTCCGCGGATCCAAATTTCGCCCTGAGGAGGCTTGTTCGTCGAGAAGTATCCCGCATCGGGGAAGTCAACCAGCTTGATTTCAATACATCCTGGGATATCGCCCAAAGCATGGGGATCCCACGCCAGAGGATCTTGGATGCAACCCATGGCGGACGTTTCGGTGAGACCGTAGCCAGAGATCATGGGCGTCACGGCGTAGCTGATGAACTTGATGGTTTCTTCCGAAATCGGCCCACCGCCGTTAAAAGCGATTCGTAGGCGTCCGCCAGTAGCATCCTTCAGTTTCTTGAAGACCACCGCATCCAGAATGCCAGCGCCGGGCAAGCGTGAGGAGAGAAGCATTTGCTTCAGGGACATTGCACCCCAGAACATGTTCCTGACAACGAATGAGCCCGCATTGACCTTTGCCAAGATGCCCTTCTTGACGCTCTCCCATACAGCAGGCACGCCAATCAGGATGGTGGGCCGGAATTCACGAATATCTCCCTTGCAGTTCCGGACAGAGGTGTCAGACAGAGTCTTTGGGTTGCCGTAGCCCATGGTGCCACCCCAGAACAAGCATACATTCTCAAACATATATTCGAAAATGTGCGATTGAGGGAGGTAGGTGAGAAGTGCATCGGCTGGCGAAATATATGGCGCCACAATACTCTGTACACCAGCCATCGCAGCAACAACAGCCTTGTGTTTGATTGTGACACCCTTTGGCGGACCTGTAGAACCGGAGGTGTACATGATGCAAGCCAAATCTTCAGGGGACGGGGGCACAGGATCCGCCGGATTGTCTGCGCCTAACTTTCTCAGCTCATCAAAGCTCAGCACTCTGAGATCAGGGTTGGTCGACTTCAGCTTGTCAAGGTCGGCCTGCTTCGCCTCGGGTTCCGTGTTGTAGATGACAGTCTTCAGGTTCTTCGCGCCCCCTAGTACCCTGACCAAGGTGGGGATGAGATTCGGGTCGAGGAAGATGGCGACTGAGCCAGTCTGCGCCAGAGAATGCCTCAGTCCCTCTTCACCCAGCGAGTCGTACGCAGTCACGATGGGAATCGACTGCGAGGCGGCAGCGTGCGACATTCCAAGCCAGTGGGCGCTAGATTGGTCAGAACGAGATGAGCGGGGAGAGGAGACACAATGCTCACCTGGTCGCTCCATAGAGATGCATTTTGTTCTCTTTCGAGATTCCGAGATGCGCCAGAGCCGAGCCACAGTCAAGCGCCAGCTTTTCATATTCGATGAAACTCATATACTCGTAGCCACTGAGCTCAAAGTATGTCCATTTCTTGTCGACCTCTTGTTCTTGACCATCGACCATCTTCTTGACCTTCTTGACCTCTGTGTGGGTCTTGATGATCTTCCTCGTGCCAATGGCCTTTGCATTTCCGAACTTGGAGGCTGCTCGTTTGAGGTTGTCATAGATGGTCTTGACATCGTCCGAAGGCTGGACGATGAGCTTGTCCTTTGCCAGAGGATTCCGTCGGGGGATTGTTTCACCCTCTTTCTTGTCGTAGCCGGAAGCCTCTACCGAGAACGGTGGTTTCTTGGTCATCTGCGGCTGGACATAACCGTCGAACCGGGTACGGGGATCATGTTCGAGGGTGGCCATCATGGGCTAAGAGAGATGATTGAGAGGTTACACGATTCGGTCACAGTCTCCGAAAGTTGGAGACCACTGGGTGCGTGCGCACAGGCAATCAACGGCCTACGTGTTGGTCGGATTCGGTTGAGATGTTCAGAGGGAAGCAACCGAGATGTTGGCGGCGGGATGAGATGGGGGGACAATTAAAAGGATGAAACGAGAGGGAGGATGCATGTGTTGCGACGAATGGGATCAGTGGTTGTGGCGGTACGAGGTCTTGAGTGTTGAGATGCCTCGTTTGGAGTCGGTGTCAAATGTGTCAGAGCCCAGCCTCCAGCCTCCCGTCGGCTTGACTTGAACCTGCAGCTGCAGCAGTCACTCAGTAAATCAGTGGCCGGTCAGCGAGGAGACGGATAATCTGGGGTTGAGAGCAGCCAGAGAAGAATGAGCTAACTCCGTTACGTCACTCCAGGCGACAGCCTGGTGCACCCAAGAGCTGGACGAGCTGGGCTGTCTACATAGGCAGCCGCGCACAGGTCACCGGGCCAGTGATAGCCTGTTCTTGGGCTGAAACAGACGTGGCGGAATCGAGGGTGCGACAACCAGGAGAGCTCCTGCTGCCTGCACTGGACACAGCATGTGGCAGTGCGCATTCTCGTCGTGCCCTCACTCCATTGGCTTGGTCTGGCGTGTCTGGATGCTCCGGATCATTGCTCGGCCCGTCAACCTTCCCACAGGCAGATCCTCGCGTCTTTCACTCCGCTCTCAGACTTCTCTCACTTTGTCCTCTGCTAACCATAACCGTAGCTTCAAGTGTCAGCTGGGTCTCCTGCTAAGTCTATCGGCTGTTACTATTATTCATCACTTCTCGCGGCACCATGCTTCCTGCTGCTTTTCTAGAAGACGCACCCTTCCTGGCGGCTTGACAATCGTGTGACCCGGCCGCCATATTCACGATATGGGTTGTACGTCGGATCGCTGGTAGAGTGGACGCTGAGTACTCAAAGTCCAGATCAACCTCACAGCTCTCACTTGTGGATTAGCGGTCCCATTATGCTGATGTGAGGCCTGCTCTGTGCTGCACGCACGGCTCCCTCTATCGGTCGCTGTCTTTTCCTTTCCCGGATCATCAGCAACAGCAATGTCATCACAGCCGCTTGAAGCCGGCTTGGGGCCCCCTATTGAGGATGCCAGTGAAGGTACTGTATCCAAAACTCCTTCGGCATGAAATCAACCCCACGTATTTTATCTGCTGACATTAAGGCCCAGAAACCTTCTATTGCTTCAGCCATAGAATCCCGAGCAACAATCTAGGCTTCGTCGACTCCAAGACTCACGTTTTAGAGGTTGAGATTGCTGGGCGCGACTACACCATCAGACAATCTCCTGGCCTCCTCAATTCTCACCGAGAGGAGGGAACCACCGGAGCTGTTCTGTGGAAGATTACTCCTCTTGTTGCTGCTTGGCTGGCTTCCACCCCTCCGTTACTAGCTGACGTTCTGCACCAAGATGCAATAGTTGTTGAGCTTGGTTGCGGTGTCGCTGGGCTGATCGGTCTGGTCCTTGCACGATTTGTGCAATGCTATATCCTCACGGACCTCGATTATGTCCTGAAGCACGTGAAGGAGAACATTGCCGCCAACGCAGCCACTTTAGGAAACAAGCAGAAGGCAACGAAGAAAAGAGGCGGTCAGAAAGAGACGGCGGCGGACCATGTTCTCAGAATGTTGCCCCTGGATTGGGAGCGTGACAACGCTCGAAACCTGGAGACGGTCATGCCTGCTGGATCGGCAATCGACCTTCTACTGCTCTGTGACTGCGTCTACAATGAGTATCTGGTCACGGCGCTGGTGCAGACCTGCGCTGATGCTTGCCGGCTGGGATCTTCGCGGACTAAAGCTACAGTCGTCTTGATCGCTCAGCAGCTCCGTGCTGACGCCGTGTTTGAGCTGTTTTTGGACTCGTTGATGCGGGAATTCGATGTATGGCGGGTGCCGGACGCGCACATCTCGGCCGAGCTGCGTCCTGGGTCGGGCTACGCGGTGCATCTGGCCATGCTGAAGTCTGCGGACGCCAATTGATACACGATAGACACGCTCGATCATGTATGTAGATGCTGTAGCGGTGGGTGCACCGGGCCAAGGGGGTGGCCGCCAAGCCCAGTAGCCCCCACGGTTGTCGAAAGTACCATGGCACTGCATGTTTGGGCGGCGTGTTGCTTCGATTCTTCGCTAAACCACTTGACACTGACACCCGCACCTGCATCTGCACAGAATAATATCCTGGTATCCCTGTCCTTATCCACACTGCCATGAGCCATCTGTGAGCGTCCAAGCTGTTTTGTTGTAGCTAGTTATCGGCCCTGGCAAGGGCAGCATTCTTTGGCGGCAACATGGATTTACGAACCACCATCCAGTCGACTTTGTCAGCCGACGCGACCGTCCGCACCCAGGCCGAGACGGCGCTGAAGCAGGCCGAGCAGCATGCTGGCTTCATCGGAGCCCTGCTCGACATCCTGCAGTCCGAACAGGATCCGGCCGTGCGCCTGTCCACCGCCGTCTATCTCAAGAATCGAATATCGCGGGGATGGGCCGCAGAACATACTCCCCACCAGCCCATCTCCGAACCCGAACGAAAACCCTTTCGAGACCGTCTGCTTCCTCTTCTGTCCTCGTCGCCGCCGTTGATTCGAGCCCAGCTCATCCCGATCCTCCAGACCGTCCTGCAGTACGACTTTCCCGCAAAATGGCCGGAGCTGATGGACATGACCCTTCAGCTGATGAACACCCAAGATGCCAACCAGGTCTACGCAGGATTACAGTGTTTACTGGCCATCTGCCGCACATATCGCTTCCGCGCGGGCGAGGAGAGGCAAAATCTGGACAACGTCGTCAATGTGGCCTTCCCGCCACTGTTGAGCATTGCGAATCGGCTGGTCAATGAGACGAGCCTGGAAGCGGGGGAGATGCTGAGGATATGCGTCAAGTGCTACAAACATGCCGTCTATTACGGCCTGCCCGTGCCGCTCCAGTCGCACCAAGCGACGGTCGACTGGTGTACCCTGTTTCTGACCGTCATCTCCAAAAAGCCGCCCGAAAGCGCCATGGTAGACGATGCTGAGGATCGGGAGCGCAACCATTGGTGGAAGGCTCGCAAATGGTCATATGCCAATCTGAACAGGCTTTTCGTGAGGTACGGAAACCCCACGATGCTCTCTTCGCAGCAGGAGAAGGAGTACGGCGATTTCGCCAAGAACTTCATCACGAATTTCGCCCCGGAAATCCTCAAAGGCTACCTCGGCGAGATTGAGAAATGGGTGGGGGGAGATCACTGGCTGAGCAAGCCCTCCCTGTCGTACACTTTGATCTTCCTGGAGGAATGTGTAAAGCCGAAGGTCATGTGGGACAAGCTCAAGCCGCACATGGACAGCCTCATCAAACACCTGATATTCCCCGTCATGTGTCTGTCGGACGAAGATCTGGAACTCTTCGAGGACAACCCAGCCGACTACCTGCACCGGAAGCTGAACTTTTACGAGGAGGTCTCAGCGCCGGATATGGCGGCAACTAATTTCTTGATCGCGTTGACCAAATCGCGGAAACAGCAAACCCTCGTCATCCTCTCGTACGTCAACGACGTCGTGTCACGATACGAGTCTGCCCCAGATGATCAGAAGAACCCACGAGAGAAGGACGGCGCCCTCCGTATGATCGGTGCACTTGCGTCGGTCATCTTGGGCAAGAAGAGTCCAATTGCGGATCAAGTCGAGTATTTCTTCGTGCGACACGTCTTTCCCGAGTTCAGGTCTCCCCATGGTTTCCTGCGCGCCCGCGCCTGTGATACCATGGAGAAGTTCGAGCAGCTCGACTTCAAGGACCAGAATAACCTGATCACTATCTACCAGAATATCATGGAATCAATGGCTGATCCAGCACTGCCAGTCAGGGTCGAGGCCTCATTGGCCTTGCAGCCCCTTATCAGGCACGATGTCATTCGCATCGCCATGCAGACGAACATCCCGCAAATCATGCACCAACTGCTGCAACTAATGAACGAAGTCGATGTGGACGCGTTGTCGAATGTGATGGAAGATTTTGTTGAAGTATTTGCCGAACAGTTGACCCCTTTCGCGGTGGCGCTTAGCACGAATCTCAGAGATACGTATCTCCGGATTGTCAAGGAGATGCTGGAACGCCAGGAGGCCAGACTGGCTGAGACTGGGGAAGGCCACAGCGACTATCTGGACGACAAATCCATCGCGGCCCTGGGTGTCTTGCAGACGATCGGCACTCTCATTCTCACGCTTGAGGCGACTCCCGATGTCCTGGCTCTGCTCGAAACCATCCTCATGCCGGTCATCACCATCACGTTGGAGAACAAACTATACGACCTCTATAATGAGATTTTTGAGATCGTCGATTCTTGCACGTACGCCTCCAAAGCGATATCAGAGACCATGTGGCAAGCCTTTGAACTCATGCACAAAACTTTCAAGGATGGAGCGGAGCTGTACCTGGAAGACATGCTGCCAGCACTCGACAACTTCGTGTCCTATGGCCAACAACGGCTGATCGAACACCCGCCCTATCTCGCTGCAATTGGTGGTATGGTACGAGATATATTTGCCGACCCTAAGGTGGGAGGCGTTGACCGTATCTGCGGGTGCAAGCTCGCGGAGGCTATGATGCTGAATCTCCGTGGGGGTCCCCTCGACAGCTACATCCCCACGTTTGTGACACTGCCCATGGAGGTCTTGGCTGGAGCCCAGGCAAAGTCGATTGTCAAGAGCTACAAGCTTCATCTGGTAGAGATGGTGATCAATGCTCTATATTACAACCCGATCCTGGCATTACACGTCCTCGAATCCCATGGCTGGACGAACAAATTCTTCTCGATCTGGTTCGGCATGATCGATAACTTCCGTCGTGTCCATGACAAGAAGCTTTCTCTTGCGGCCATCTGCTCACTTCTCACGATCCACGCTGATCAGGTGCCTCAGTCTGTCCAGACCGGGTGGCCCCGCCTCCTCACTGGAGCAACATACCTCTTCCGAACTCTTCCAGCTGCAATGAAACAGCGAGAGGATGCTGTCAAGGCCTCGGACGGCATCTCCGACACGATATCAGACTATGGGTCTGAAGAAGACACGGAAGACTGGGCAGACGAACCTATTGCTGAAGGTCTAGAATGGGGCCACGTCGACGCCGCAACACTGCCGGATACCAAAGGTGACATCAAAGACGAGTCGCAAGCCTATCTAGACTTTCTCAGCGAGGAGGCCAAGAAGTTTGGAGCGCTGGCTGATGATGATGATGATAGCATGCTTGACGATGACAGTCTGCTGGAGAGCCCTCTCGACAAGTTTGACCCCTATTCGGCGTTCAAAGACTCTCTCGGCAAGCTGCAGGCCGAGCAACCTCAGCTGTATGAGAATTTGACGGCGATGTTGGAACAGACCGACCGAGACGTTCTGCAAATTGTCGTCAACCACGCCACTGCTGTCCAGCAAATACAGAACCGGGAATAGAATGGCTGGATATGTATTGCGGAGCAGTTCTTGGCTTCTCAATCTCCACATCAAGTGGGCGACAAGCGGAGAAAGAAGCAGGCCTTGCGCACGATGCAGGTGGAGAAGCTCGTGGCTGACCAACTGATCGCCGACGCCATGAACTTGAGCGCAAGATCCAGATCTTAGCATTTCTGTCGAGGAGATTCCTACGAACGGCCTGGGGCAATGAGAACGGCCTCTTAAAGACCGAGCCCCTCCATCTGCTGCCCCTGAATGGGCGAAGACAGAGTTTTCCAAATGCGTCTCTGAGGTGGGAGATGAGGGCCATGAAAAGGGGGTATCGAAGCCGAGCGGAAAGATTGTCCAGCTTGGGGGTTACGCCATATGGGTGCGGCGGTCTAGCGCGTGCTCACGATCCCTCCTAGACTACGTATCCGGAGGGGAGTCAGAAATGGAGGCACTTGACGAGGTTGAGGTCGAATGAACAGCGGCGAATACTTGGCTACGGAGCCCGTGTGTCCTCTCGAGAATGATTCAATCAGACCTCACAGGCCGCCAGCCGACACGAAATATCACTTTCCTCCTTGGTCCGGATGGGGTCTATTGGGCAAAGGAAGGGGCCACGGCAGGGACAGAGGCTGAGGCAGAGACAGAAGGCGACAGGAACAGGGAATGCGGCGACAGAGAAAGAGAAATGAAGCCAGGATCGGTAACCCTCAAGTAATCAACAATTCTCCTTGTGTAGATATTTGGTTCTTCCCCCGAACACAACCATCCAACCCAACAAAGCCCCCCTAATTATACCCATGCGTCAGATACTCGATTGTATTTACCAGCCGCGACCACCTGTGAAGCTCAGCTCTCGCCGTTCACTGGAACGAAGTAACCTTGATTTCCTCGCTCGTCGACAACAACGAGCTCGATTCACTTGCTGAATCCTCCATGATCGCACTCCCAAGCCATATCGGCACGGACAAACCACTGAGTTACGTACGGGAAGAGACTAAACCAGAACTACATGAACTCTGTAGACGACCTGCAAAAGCAAAGTTGGTCGGTGTCGAGGCTTTCGTCAGTCGGCTTTGCTCTGTGGTCTCTCTGTTATGCTTATGCTGGGGAAGATACATCCTGACTGTACCTCGTACTTTGTGAGGTATGTGCTAGTACGGTATCCTCGGTGTGTATCCGTCGTAAGTTAGGTGGACACATTCAGGGTATGAGATGTCTTGGGGCGGGAATGCTGCGAGGACAAGGCCATGATTGACCGTCGTCCACCGGGCAGGGCCGGCAGGGTAAACTGGTGGCGAGGGCGGCAGCAACCACTTCATTGATGACCTTGGATATCATTCACGATTAACTTGTCCGCCCCAGTATGATGAGAACTATCCCTAGCTACTTCGCCCTGGCATCGTCTTGCTCTACTGCCGAGTGTCAGCGTCCGGCATGAACCTTCGAGTGGATGGATCAACACCCGTAAACACAAACATATGCTGTCTTGAATCGTTTCAAAACAACGTCGGCGTGCTGTGTTTGGATCCTAGTCCACTTGTTCTGCTCAATGCCATACTTGATACTCTCGACCACTTTTGCCATTTTCCATTCCCTTGGTTCCACGCTCCTTCGCTATGCTGACAATAGCTCATAGACAACAGCAACATACACATGACAATGTGCAGACCGACACTCCTGACAACACATAGACATCCCTGGCTTCCAAACAATTTTGTCCTTGCCTTGTACCCGATGTTTTCTCTAGGCCGCCATGTTCCGTTGTTGGCCACACATTGTACGATTCGTCGCAGTCTCGAGGACTTTCGGTATCCCGATCCCCCATGAGCCTAGCAAAACAGCAAGCCAAGTCCTCTAGGTCGTCCATCATATGCAAAGACTGTCCCATTGCCGTCGCTATCCCGCAAAGGCCAACCTCTGGAACAACCAGCCACCAGCACCGCCCGCCAGTATCCACAAAAGCTAGTAAACAAATGTCCGTTGATTCTGCAAAGAGTCAAAGCACACGAAGTGGGAAGAAAGGTAAAACACTGTTGCTCAAACATGAAATACGTCGTGCAAGTCGTTAAGTGGTCAATGAGCGAACTCCAGTGGTATTGAATCGTGGATCCGGGGATTCGGTTATGGTTGTTGTGGTGTTTAGGCCGGGCTCTTCGCACTCTGAGGGCCACCATTGCGGCGAGAGTGTTGTGAGTCTTCAGTACCAAGGCCCATGTTCTCCATGCCAGTCGAGAGAAAAGCGAACGGGTCCGCGCTTGGTCCATTGCTGTAGAAGCCATTGTGTGGGACGTTACCAGGCGCATTCGTGTCGGCCGCTCCACTGAAAGCAGCTTGGGCAGCAGGGCCGAATGAGGAATGAGACATGTTGCTCGGTGCATATCCAGGAGTCATGCTGCCCATCTGAGGGAATGGAGCCGTCGGTGGGCCACCCATGCCAGAGGGCACGCCGTACTGATGTGGCGGTGGTTGACCGAAAGCGGCGCCAGAGCCGAATGCGGCAGCACCAGGCCCGTAAGGAGCAGGTCCGGGGGTACTGGCCATTGAACCTGGCCCCATGCCATACTCTGATGGTGGTGCCATCGGGGACGGGTAAGCCGAATCGACCACAACTGCGGCACCAGCGCGGGGAGCACCACAGCGCAGGCAGTTAACGTTCTTCGCAAAGTTGTGGTATTGGCACCCCTCAGCACCGCATCTCCAGTCACCAGCTCTGAAAGGAACAATGCCAGCTCCACCTCGTCCGTGATGTCCGTGTCCATGGTGTCCCATGTGGTGATGATGGCCCATCATGTGGGGAGGTCCGTATCCAGGATACGAGTTGTAATATGGGTCGACACCAGGGGCGCCTCCAGCTGGGAATGAGCATCGGAAGCAGGCTGTGCGGCGTTGGAAGTTCGAGAAGCCACACGAGGGACAATTCCAGTCACCCGGTCGGGGACGGTTCTTGCTTGGAGGGAAAGGCGTCAGGATCTCCGCAGCACGATCGAGGACTCGGCTTGAAGAAGGCGAGACCTCGATGGCCTTCTCATTGAGGGCACGACCGTTCATGCAGAGACTTTCCGCTGCCTGTACCGCCATGATGTCAGTGTGGGATCCGAATGTCAAGTGAGGTTGAAGTGAGGTGGAGGTGAGGTGGGATGAGGTGAGCAAACGAGGCAGCATGTGAGGTTGAAGTGAGTGCGGGCAGAGGTGAAAACTGGGAAATGAAAGTGAGACATACCTCTTCATGGGAAGAAAACACGGCGAAACCTGAACCTGTAGGCTTGTGCTGATCGGGCGTCCGAAGGGTCCAGAAAGCGATGGGCCTCCCCCCGAACTGGGTAAACCAGCTTTCGAGTTCAGACTGGGTCGTGTCGTGTGGCAAACCGTTCATGTGGAGTACTTTACTCCGTTCCTTCAAAAACGCATTTACATCGGCTCTAGCATCCATTGGGCGGGTCAAGACGTCGGGATGCTCGTGAGCGGGCTGAGACTTCCGAATGAGGCCTCGCAACACCCTGGCGAGCGTGACGGCCTCTTCCATGGCACGACGGGGGGAGGCAGGCGCCAACGCCTGCAGGTGGAAGGGTAGATTGTGCTTGATTGGAGCCGACGATTGCACAGGTTCCACCTCTAGGGCAGCACAGATGTTGGCCAGGGAGCTGGGGCCGAACGGCAGGGACTCTGGATGGTGTTGCTGCCATCGGGCATACTCTGAGCGCAAGTCAAAGGTTCGGGAATGTTGCAGGTAAGCCGGTAGGACGACTGCCTTGTCGCGAGCTTCTCGGGGCAACTGGACGCGCAAGTCCCAGGAATCCAGTGTGACAAAGGAAAACTCCAGATTCTTGGAAGTGAGATGCTCCTGAGCGAAATGGTCGAACCGAGTCACTGCATCGCGGAAGGACCCGGCATTGCGGACATGTTCCCAGGTCAGAGTGGTGAGGCTGGCTGTAATTGCAAGGTCAGTTCCTGCGAATCTCCGTCTTTCCGACACAAAAAGTACTCACTGCAAAGAGGAGTGATGGGAGTGTTCACGGGTTTGACAAGGACACTTTCGCGGTAGATCTGGCTCTTCCGTTAACTGAACCATCCTGTTTCATCGACCTTCTGTGTTTCCCTCCTCTCGGTGGTATGATCCTCAGGAGACATACCTCGTCACAAGTCTTACTATCGAGCAAGATCCAGCCCAATTCAATTACTTCTGCAGAATCTTTGGTGACATAGACACCGTGCTCATCGCATGTTGTCGCAACGTGGATGACGACATAGCGGTCGAGCTTGGGGACCGGAGTGGCCGGGGTCGTCATGCTGGAGGGCGTCGGGGTTTCGGTATAAACGACCAGGTGAGCTCGAGGTGAGGGAAAACGTCGACACGGCAAGCGGTCAAATTATCGTGCTATCAAGATTTGGAACTGTACTGTGGATGGTCAGCCACAGGCCCGAACAGATGGCCGCAGGCCGCAATATACCAGGCAAATGTCGAGCCAGAAAAAGCAGAAACCCAACCCAACTCCACTTGCTTGGGACAGGTAATTGCAGGACCAGCGAGGAAGATGAATTGATAGATACAGGCCGATGTTTTCTCAACCCCCAGGAAATCAACTAGGTGCGGGTGGAAAGAGAGGGAACAGCAATCGATGAAAGGACGCAGCGGCCGCGGAAGGGAACTGGGAAGAAGGGTGAGAGAGTCGTCGACGGAGATGGAGATGGAGATGCAGTCTGGGTTGTCAACTTTGTCGAGGCAAAATTGGGGGAAGCTAAACCACAAACTCACGTTAGGACTCGGCTTTTTCTCTGCCACGGCGCTGGGTTGCAGGGCTTACAGGTGCGTATCCCACGCGGGCCGCTAGCTTTTAAGGACAAAAACGGTGCAGTCCTGCGGACCGGGTCCCTGGGTGGTTCTCGTTTCCTGGCTGGACGTGATTGTTTCCCTGCCTTTCGAGGCGCGTTTCCAGGTCTGCCACACTTGGATCCACGGTACGATGTACACAGGTACACAGTCCATCGCCCACATGCGTTGCAGATTATAGGTGACCATTCTCGAACCTCGTGCGTGGAAGTGTGACCTCGACCCCTCGAGCTGGTGGCCTCTCCATCTCTTCGGGGATTGCCAGCGGGGATACCGTGGTAGTGGTCCTCCATGCTGTCCTACGCGTGTTTGATTGACAACAGCTCGGAGAGCAGTGAGTCGACAACGGCCTGGAGCCATTGATTTCTAATGCCACCACGAAGGCGCTTTCTCTACTTTTAGCAAGTGACGTCCTATTTTACAAGGCCTCCGTGGACGTCTGCAGCAAGTGACAGCTCCCATCGTGTGCGGCTAACCGTGGCCACCCTCGCACAAAGGAACGATGTCAAAAATTAATTGTTTTCCACCTGCGTGGTCAGTGCGGCTTGTTTCAGGATGCTGGCCCTGGGCTTCCGACCGACCACCTAACGCTGGGTCGTGGAGCCCCGAGCACCGTTAGGGCATGGCTCTCGATGGCATTCCCGTGAACTAGAGCTCCCAAGAAGGGCACCACAGCAAATCCCGGAAACGTGGAATGTGCCCGCCACGTCGGCCATGACAGCGGAGCAACTCACCTGAGGAAGCACTGAGCTCACAGCTTGCATGCTCGCTTATGCTTTTGCGCTTCGGGTGCGCAACCACCAATGCAATACCTAGGTCGTGCGGATGCAGTGATCTGCCTCCGTAGCTTACCAACAGGAGTGCCACCTATGGCCGTCATACAGTACTTAGCCCGCTGGAAGACCACGCTCTCGGCCAACGTAGCACCTGAAAAGCCGAATTTGGCAGGAGTGTGTATTCCTGAAAGGAACTGGCACAAGTTGACATCCAGAACCCGTCGCTTACATCTGCCGTGCGCCTGCTGTACCTCGATTGCGGTCTTCCAAACTGAGCCTCTTGTCCCTGACGCCAATTGCTCTTCGTGAAATGTCATCGTCACTCGAGGCTGGGAGACGCCTATCCCGAGCTTCCGTGCACGAGCGACAAAGTGGGGTTGGCCATCCTCGTTAAGGGCGAAGTGGTTGGATCCTGAACCCCGCCCCTCCAATCGGCGTCACTCCTCCCTTGCCAGCCGACATCCAACCACGTCTGGAGAGCTTCAGAGGCAGTTGTGGCCGTGCAACGGCGCGGTATCAACATTTTCTCCCTCACTGCTTGCTTCCCGTGCACCTCACTGGCGATGTTCAGGATGCGAGGATCCAAAGTTGCAGAAGAGCTATGCGTTGATGCCCAATGCTGGTTGTCTACGGTAGGAAGTGGCATGCAGCGTTGAACGATGGCCCAGATACAGATCGTCCTTGTGTAAGGGATGATCTTGGTGCCCAATGCGAACGTCCATCCCCGGTTGCACCGCTGTCAGACACACTGTAAACAGACTGCTATAACACCGGAATGGGGATGAAAGCTCCTCTTCGCTCAGTTTCACCCTCGAATGCAACCACGATCGACTGATGATCGACAGACTGCTCTGGACCGCCGAGAGTCTCCTACCCATGGTATGTCACTCCCCTCTAATTCCAGGCTGATCTTTCACATCTTTGCCTGTATTCTCCAGCGTCTGTGGCCTTAGGGAGTATTCTTCGGTGACTGCCTCTTCTCCATCATGATCGTTGGCGTTCCACAAATCCAAATCTAAAGACTTGCATCTCTGCCACCATCCTCCCAGTGGGCTTGAACGCAAGACCTGCCTTTGACGCCCAACACCTGTACCCTTACGCCCGGTCTATCACCTTGTGGGACAGCGCGCCCCCAAGCGCCTCAGTAATTCCGGAAGAGGGAAGGGCAGTGGTGGATCCCCAGAGACGAAGAGGCGACACAAGAGATGTTGGGCATGTCAAGCACGGAGCGGCGTTGGGCGTAACACCCTCTGCGGTTTCAGCACAAACTGCATCATGCGACAAAATCCTCCATGAAAGCAGGGAGACTCCTTGCGCACTCAAGCCATGGCCCAGAACGAGCACCCGAGCCGCTCGTTGACAACTCGTGGACGAGGGAACCGTGTCCGAGCCGGCTACGAGGTAGACCATTCGCCTTTGCCGAAGGAGCAAAAGTGTCGGCAGGGACGCCACTGAGTCGAGGGAAAATCAAACACTGTGGGTCAGCGTTTTCACAAAGACTGCGACAATCACATCCAAGGCCGGGTCTATGGTCCGCTTTAAAGGGGCAAAGCCGCCGTACCACTCCTCCGCTGAGTCTGGCCGGCATGACTGGCGAAGGCAAAGTCCTTCGGTGCGACGCTGTCACGCATGGCGTGCTCCTCGGGTACCGCAGCGAGCAGCATGTCACGGACACGAGGACCCTTTGTTCGTACTTTCCATCACGGCGCCTTTCGTTCAGTCAATACCACGCACCTCTTTTATACGTGTGCGCGAGGTGCATTAGCGGTTTCCACCACACTGCAGGATACCGGCAAGCCCTAGCTGGTGAGGTTTACGAGTGTGGCCTTTCGAGCAAAAGCCATTCCTTTCAATATAAACCTGATGGTGTGTTCCGACAGATTCCGCGTTAGAGTGGATCGTGGTTGCGGTCAAAATTGTCGGATTCGGTGATGAAGCTAGTTACCGTTTTGGTGTGATGTTTTCCGACGTGAAAGGGGGTTTCGCCAAACCTTGAGACCTGGTCAAACACGGTGAGGCCCTGCGTGAACAGTTGCTGGACTATGCCGTTGTTATTTGGCAAGCCTTGCCCTGTTTTCGAAGACCAGACACTGCAACGACACATTTGAGGCCCAGCAGCGCTCTCATGCGGAATGGTCTCTGAGGTGCTTATGTTTGGCATAGTGAAAAGTCGCTGGTTTCTAACAACACTCGACCAGCTCTATGTCGAAGCTTTCTGGTAGATCTCGATTTTCGGCTCGTGTCGTCTGCTGGAGACGCTGAGATTGAGAGAGGGAAAGGAGACCCGGATCAGTGGTATTCCAACCACCATCTTGCAGCGTAACTCGCCCGCGCTCCCAGCCCAGGCGGGCTGACTATCGCGCAGAAAAAGTATAAACAGGGAATATCAAATGTTTCAAACCCCTTTGCTAGCGTATCCGGGAATGTTCTCTGAGATTCAGTGCCTATTTGATTAAAAACCCCCACACGCAAGCCCACGTCGGCTTAAAGCACTTCTGCTCTCTGACTAGACAGATTGAGTATGTCAACAGTCCGACCAGCACATGCCCGTCCATAACCGGGAGTTTGGCTTGGTTCTGTACTGGTCCCACGGAGAAGACTCGCAGCCGGATTACGGTGACCATGAACAGCAGAGCAATATGATGGCTGGCTGTTATTCAGTAGCACAGTAGCCCGTTGAGCGGAATTATAACACCGGATTTTAGCTTTCTGGCTCATCATTACAGTACTTTCACCGGGCTGAGGCTGGGAAGCGGCGAGCAAGACCCGGGGATCTCTGTCCTGTCAAATGAAACCCACCCGTCAACTTTCTAAAGTTGCGCCTTTCGATCTCTACTCTCCAGTAATCCTCACGCGTCCCTCACGTCCTTGCTCTCGGTGAACCTGCCGTAACATCCGCTGCAGCTCTCCACGTCCGCGTTAGCTACAGTAGGAGTACTTGTATGGAGTACGGAATAATTACTGCCTTGACGACGATCGTTCGTGGTTCGCACCATGTCTCTCTGGAGGTCAGCCGTCTCCCTTGTCTAGCCGCTTCCACACGGAGATACTGACATTGGTAGTTCCTACAAGACCCTGTCGCCCAAAACGCGTGCCATGATAGGCGTAGCCCTCATGCTGAATGCCTCGGCCATGCTACTCTTCTCGGACCAGATTGAAGCTGCGCTCGGCGTGACTCCCACGCCAGAAGAACAGCAGAATGTCTTCAAGTTGTATAGCGTCGAAAGGGAGAAGAAGGGATGAGGAAAGGCACCCATTCGTCAAAGACACTCCTTAGGAAAAGGAGGGTTATACTTACTGAGGGACGCGAGGACGATAGTACCGCATTCCTCACGAACATGGCTACTTCGACGACGACTGCGCTGAGAGCGAAGCACATCAACAGCGTCGAGCCGGGCAATAAGCCGTCAGGTCACGGATGATGAGAATTAGCATTTGCACTCGGCACTCCATGGTGCAGCTCGCTCAGGGTGATCTTCTGGTGCTGGCTTCGACTGTGCAGATACTGGCTCTCAGGAGGCGGATGATGTCGGAATGGCCGAGGGCGAAGTCCGCAATAGCTAGAGAATGGCACCCAATGGTGTGATACGGCCAAGTCTGCTACACCCACAACGGGCGAGGGAGATGCGGACCTTCTCGCGATGATATACGGAGTCATAGGGGCCGACATATGGAGGAGGTCTACATAGGTGTATTTGTCCATTCAGCATGGCCAATGGCAGGTGCAAGGCTACCCAGCGATGCGGTCGCCTCCTCTACCATTCTCAGAAGCTACGCGACGGTACTGTATCTGGGCAATGCTACCAATTGTCGATGGGTATGAACTTCAATGACCAATCTTTCTGTCGTGAGCGCAATAGATCCACAACTCCAGGTGGTCTGCTGGATTCTTTCTACTAACTTAGTGCTGGTGCTAGCAAGCTGACCAGCTGGACATTTCAGAATTGAGTAAAGGTACGGAGTACAGCATGATCACAGCATCTTCCACCTACCGTGTAATTAGAGAAATGCTTCACCATTCAGTGACCCAGGGTGACCAAGACTGGCTCCCAAAGTTACTCACCGTAATTGGCTGTTGCGATCTCGGCCCTTCAATAAGCCGAAACTCCGAGTAGATTTGCACGTCAGACCTCCTTTCGCCAGTTCGAATCACATTCTACGACGAGTAGATTGAGCTCTCAGAATAGAAAGCTTCGAGAAAGAAAAGTCTGCATGTCGGTCTAGACTGAACCTTGACGCGGCTCTCTCATCTCTGAAGACGACCGAGCAAGCAGGCTGTCCCGCCACTTGTACCTGAAGCGTGAGGCCTGGTCGAGCAGAACTAGCCTTGCTCGCCATGGGCCCACGACAATCCCTCTTTTTCAACCTCAAACACGTCCACGCGCGGAGGAAATGTCCAAGTACATGCCAGCGTCGCAACTTTGCGGCATCGACGTGCCTCTACCTCAGGACGACAGAGCTCGACGGCTCGAAACTCAGTGGTCTGCAAGTCAACCCCTCCCGGCTGTGGGATACGATCCACTCGACCGCGCAATGGACGTCCAAGACCTTCTCCAGCGACATGACGCGCGCGGGACTTTCGCGTCTCACGCTCACGGACGAGGACAAGCAGGCCCGGGACTGGTTCGTCGCCACGACGGAATCGCTGGGCTGCAAGACCCACGTCGACCAAATGGGGAATATCTTTGCTGTGCGACCGGGGTTGAACAACGACAGACCGGCGACGTTTGCGGGCAGCCATCTCGACAGTCAGCCGAGTGGGGGCCGCTTTGACGGCGTGCTGGGTGTGGCTGCGGGGATTGAGATGTTGAGGGTCTTGAACGAGAATTGGATCGAGACGGAGGGCCCTGTCGGCGTGGTGAACTGGACCAATGAAGAGGGCGCGAGGTTCCCGGTCAGCATGATGGGGAGTAGTGTTTGGGCCGGACGGATTCCGATCGAGAAGGCTTGGGCGTCGAGGAGTGTGAGTGTGGGAGCCAGGGACGCCACGGTTAAGGAGGAACTCGCCAGGATTGGATACCTGGGCGCTGTTCCCTGCAGGTTTGGAGACGAGGGCACGCCTTTGGGAGCTCATTTCGAGCTACACATCGAGCAGGGCCCGAAATTGGAGCAGACAAGGCAGAAGGTCGGCGTCGTAGAGGGCGTCCAGGCGTATAAGTGGTTTACTGTCACGATTACGGGGCGGGAATCTCATGCTGGGACTACGGACTTCGATTCGCGTGGCGATGCCTTATTCTTCGCCGCGACGTTCATCCAAAAGGTTCGCAAGATTGCCCAGAGTCTGCAAGGCCTTGCGACCATCGGGATTATGCAGGTGAGCCCCGGCAGTGTCAATACCGTGCCCGGACAAGTCACGATGAGCTTGGATCTGAGAAACCCGATCGACAGGGGGTTGAGGCGGATGGTGACGAAGGTGGAGGAATTCGTCGAGCTTGTCAACAATGGCACGGTACCGGTCAGGGAGCAGCAAGTTGGGTCGAAGAAAGCGAAGACCAGCAGCAGAACAGTACCATCTGAAGAGGAGCAGAAATATGCCCGGATGCGACAGAATCCGCTCACAAAGGTCCATGTGGACCTAAAGGAAGACTTCTCAAGTGATGCCATCAGGTTCAACGCCGCAGCAGTCAAATGTATCGAAGAGAGCGCCGAGAGTCTGGTTGGCCGGGACAAGATCCAGAGAATCACCAGCGGAGCAGGCCACGATAGTGTTTGTACGAATATGCACTGTCCTACGGGGATGATCTTTGTGCCTTGCAAGGATGGCGTATCACATAACCCGAGCGAATGGTGTGAAGAGGAGGATTGTGCGATAGGGGCGAATGTACTACTGCATTCCGTGTTAAGAATGGATCGATTGAGGAAAGAGAGCGGTGAACTCGATTGACAGGGATGCGAGCAATTGAGGGAAACAGCGAGGAACTTGCGACAAGGCTTGTAATAGGCTTACTCTCGTCCTGGCGGGCACGAGGTGCCTTTTCGAGAAGTTTTGAGGACCCGTGGGCTTGCTCCGTCCATTTTCACCACGAGGATTGGCTTTCAAGGACCGTCGTCGGCAAGTGAAAGAGCTCTTCTGCAGATTCAGCGTACCATCAACGCTTGGTAATGCCAACCGGCCACTTTTAAGAAGCGGGAGGCGCACCACGACCGCGACCAAATCCACCACGGAAAGTAGGCGCGAATTCACCGGGAGCACCACCCTCCTTGCCCTCACCACGATCTTCACGACGACGGTACCCCCCTTCGCGATCACCACGTGGGCCGCCACGACCGCCTCCACGGCGCTCGCCACGGTCGTCACCACCCATCATACCACGAGGAGGAGCATGGCTGCGTTGTTGCTTGATGTGTGTGGCAGGGACGATCTCAGCGGGCAAGTGCAGCCATTCACGCAGGTAGTCTAGGCCCTCGGGGGTGAGAGTGTAATAGTAGTATTGCCAGGAGAACTGGGTCTTGAGGTAGCCGCGGGAAGTGAGAGACTGGCAAGCCTTGATGACCTGGAATTGAACTATCAGTGTCTTGTCGCCGAGTGTTCAAGTTGAAGCTGCACATACATAGAGGTTCTTGGTGTCAATGTCGCCGTGCTTGGGGAGGTTGAAGTCCTTCTTGGCCACGAGCACACCTTCTCGGAAGATGTACTCGTGGATCTTCTTGCGGTCGGCCTTGGGGATGAGCCTGCGACAGGTCGTCAGTATTGGTGAAGACTCAGTGCGGTCAGGGAGCTAACATTTTGGCGAGCTTCTAGCCTTCCTTGAGCGGATATGTAGAGACAAAAGGGTTGGAGTATCTGTTGCCGCGAGTTCCTGGCGCTCTTCGGGGAATCGCGTACAACAAGAGCAGTTGAAGTGGGCAATATTGAGGGAGTGGCCGATCTCGAGAAATGCCTTTGGTGAAGTTCGTGGGCATTCAAATGACAGCAAGTCTTGGCGTTCTTGGCAATTTCACCGCACTCTGATTTTCGATTGACTCCGCACCTGAGAGATTTGACAACGACAACATCAACCGACAAATACCCTCGAAGACATACTCTACGTTGCCCGCTGAAGAGTCACTGATTTTTCAGGTCAGTCCAGTTTTCTGTTCCTGCTACGACGAACCAAAGGGCGAGTGTCAGGGAAACGTTTCCACCTTGAATCCCCTCCTCGACCTTTGTGCGACTCAACGCAATATTCTTTTTGGACGGCGAAACTGACAGACCCCTTCCTTGTAGTCCTCCTCAGTACCGCAATCATGGGTATTTCACGAGACAGCCGTCACAAGCGGTCCGCAACCGGTGCAAAGCGCGCATACTATCGCAAGAAGAGGTACATTTCAACCCACCGTAACCCTAGCCACTTTGGCGCGGCGAAGAAAGGCACCTTCTAACAGATTGAATCTTCGCAGAGCTTTCGAGAAAGGTCGTCAACCAGCCAACACCCGTATCGGCGCCAAGCGAATCCATCTCGTCCGCACCCGCGGCGGCAACACCAAATACCGAGCCCTGCGCCTCGAATCCGGCAACTTCTCCTGGGGCAGCGAGGGCATCGCCCGCAAAGTCCGCGTCATCGTTGTGGCCTACCACCCTTCCAACAACGAACTCGTCCGCACAAACACCCTGACCAAATCCGCCGTTGTTCAAATCGATGCCGCTCCGTTCAGGACTTGGTACGAGGCACACTACGGTACGAATCTTGGCCGGAGACGACAACAGCCAGGCGCTGCTGCGACGGAGGGTGCGACGACCAAGACGAGCAAGAGCGTGCAGGCAAAGAAGGAGGAGAGACTGAAGGCCAGTGGCAAGATTGAGCCGGCTTTGGAGCGACAGTTTGAGGCAGGTCGATTGTATGCGGTTGTGAGCTCGAGGCCTGGCCAGAGCGGCCGTGTTGACGGGTACATTCTGGAGGGTGATGAGTTGGCGTTCTACCAGAGAGCTATCCGGAAGTAAGCGCACGTCTTGACGGGACGGTACCTCAAACGGTGGTGGTGAACATGGATCTGCCCGGATGATCACCGTAGTTGTTTTGTCTTGGGGTTCAACGAGGGCGTGCCAGTCAAGCAAGGAGGGTCTGAGCAAGACCAAGTCCTGCTGATGTACGAAGATGGCGGCGCAAGAGCCCTTCGCACCGTGTCACATCAGTGCTCGAGGCTTATGTCTAGCTCATCCGCTCGCCCGCGATGTCGCCGGCTATGTTCACAACGATAGTGGACATTGCAGACGGAAGCATTCAGAAAGCAGAACAAGATTCAAGGCTAGAATTCAATCTCAATTTCATGGTTGCTCAATTCTGTTTACTTGATTGTGCCCAAGATGCCAGTGTCATTCCAGGCTGGGCAGCACAGTTGTATGTCCCTTTCACCCTCATCTCAAGCGTGTGCTAGACAGGTTGCCGACTCTGTGTTATCGACAATGATGCGCACCTGAAGATTCCGTGTCACTATCCGTGTCCAAGTTTGTGAATGTAAGACTTCCCCGTGCCGGTGACCTTGTTGATGGTTACCGAAATTTGCAAGTAATGAGCCAACCGTGGCTTGTGGATAAATGAAAAGAAATGGGGGGCAAAGGGGAAAGTGATGCCTTGCGGGGGCAAGGTACTGTGCACATAGTGATCCCTGGCTGCTGATCACCCGACATCAGCTCAGTAGCGGAGCAGTTCGATTCTGAAGACCCTCGAGTCGCTGAAACATTTCAATAAGCGATTCCATATTCTCTGGTTCTCCCATCCGCTGTCTTTTGTCACAGGAGATCCACGTCGGATGCGTCTGCGCTCGTTTGTGTGGTGAAGAATCTTCATGAGTTTGTGTTTCCCACGCGCACTTCTTGAAGGTCTGCCTGCCAACATATGTATGCTAGTCAATAGGAGTTTGGTCAAACAGGCTGGTGAGGGACTCTGCCATGTAGGGTTGGCGCGCAGGACTCAGAAGGACAAGCCGAGAGATTCAAGCTGTAAAAGCAAGCAGAGTCAGCAGTCTTGAGCAGCCACCGTGGGGTTTGAAGTCATTTACATACCAAGAGTTCTTCACTGTTGGCTTCCCCGTCGTCAAAGCGTGGGAACAACTCGCCGGTGGTGTCCTGGACGTACTCGACGACGGATCTTTCGACATGTGGTGTATGCGAGGTCAAGCCAGCCATGCCCATCTGACGATTCAGTGCGGCGTCATTGCGAGCTCGAGCACGCTGGGCCCGCGCCTTGTGTTCGGCCTTGCGCTTCGCGGCTCGCCGGCGGATTTCTGAGAGTTTGGATTCATGAAGCTCGTTGGCCTTGAGAAGCTGGCGGTGCCTCCTGGCGAATTCTCTGGAATTTTTGAGTTCGAGGAGATTTCTGGTCGCAGCGGCGTTGGCGTCGCAGAGTTGCTGTCGCATGGTAGCGGCGTACATGTTGAAGAACTGGCGTTCATGGCCCGTGTAAGTCGGCATGGTGTACTGGGCTTCTGGAACGATGCTGATGACATGCTCGCGGAGTTGACGGTCGTTGCAGTGGATGAAAAGAGCCTCGGTCATCTTGACGAAGATGTCGAAAGCAACCATTTCGGCCGTGGTCACGATGTAGCCGCCCTGGGTTTGGAGCACGCCTTTGAAGAATGAGAGCAGCTGCTTGCCTTGGGAAGAACCCAGCAAGAAGTTCCGCATGGCGCTGAGAGAGTATGGGAGGTGATCGTATTGGACTCGTGGACCAGGCTCTCCTCTGGCTTTGACGTATCGGTAGACATTGGCAAGATTATCGTTCCGAGTGAGGGGGTGGCAGTCTACTAGGAAGTGTCTCAGCGTGGTCTCATTGCCGGCGTACAGGAGGTTGAAGATCGGGTCGTCCACGAGAGAAGAAGGCTTTGCTGGTGTAAGCGGAACTCTCTGTCGAAGAGGCAAGCTAGGGCTGCTGGAGCTGAAGGACATGTTGGAATTCTGGATTGAAGACTCCATCATTGACCTGTTGCAATGATGATGATTGATGACCAAGTGAACAGCGACAAAAACCGGAGTGAAAGATTGGGATGGCACCATCCTTATATACGACAGGACGCCCAGAAAGAGGGTGGCTGGAGGTAGTGACTGCCCGTCGGCAGCAGGGGTGCGGCAGTGAGCCTGGTCGAGTTTGCGGATCGAGGCAGCGAGATCCTTTCACTCACCTCTTCTGCATTTTTCCACCAGCAGTACGTGCATCTTCAAGCAGAACAGCAGAAGTCTCCGCGTACTTGGGTGTCTCTTGGAGACAACCACCATCCCAATATCAGATTCAGGGCCTTCGTGGTGCAGGCCAGCTCTCGACATGGGCCCGACGCTTCTGCTGGTCCCCCAAGCGCGGGAGGAACATCGTCAACTCACTCGAATCTCAGACAGGGAGCAACACTATGGACTGACTCGAACCCCAGACAAGCAGATCCCACGCAAGGTCTCGACAGTGCAAATGTTTAAGGATTTACTCCTGACGCTTGCAACCTTCTATCGGAGACAAAGACCTGATGCGCCACTGCAACGAGACTTCAAACACTTATGTCAGGCAAAGCGAACATGACTTGCCTTGCTTTGATTTCCCGGCGCCATTCCGTGCGTATCGCTCTGCACCCGCGCTATGCAGGCATGAAGCTGACTGAGGTGAGAGACCTGAATAATAGGCAATGGCAGACATCTCGCCTCAGCCGGACGCTGGCAACCGGGTCAATGTGCCACGGTCTACAACCTACCTACTGTGGCTATTCTGGGAATAGGTTACTTTCAAGATTGCCTGGAATACCCTCAAGCAGAGTCAAATGCACATATGGTATGAGGAATGCCTAAAGCATTTCCCCGCCGAGAACCGTCTGTTTCCCCTGTGGTTCTGTCCCGTGGCGTACTCGTACAAATACCGGCCATGTTGTGGGTTCATTCCAAGTCCCTGCCATTTTGGGTTAGCGTCCAGACGCGGTATCCCATAGGCGCTCTTGGGCATACTTTCCAGCACCGTTCAATTCTCAGCCTCTTGGCTGAGTTGGATACCTGAAAACTCCTTGTCGTGCTGGACATCCTCAAAAGTTTTGTGGTCTTGGGCACCTCGAACCTCGTTATCACGTTGGACACCACAAACCCCTTTGCCATGTTGGACTCCTCCCACTGAGCTCTTGTGTTAAGCACCTCAAGTAAAGCGTCGACTTTGAATATAGACATGAGATGGACTCGCTGACAATGAGCTCCTCTTCGCAGGAGGGCACGTCGTCAGCAGCGCGAGCATTTTCAAAGGCCCCACAAGGTTGTCGATACGACGAAAAGAGGACAGCATTGACTCTCGCCTTCGCCCGAATGCCTTTTTGGAGAACAGGTACATGAAGCGCAAATCATATGGCACTCGCAGCTAATGCATACTCACCCACACCCAGAAGGCCAAACCCCTACGAAGCTTGGTTCCCATCTGGCCTGAAGCAAGCGCCGGTGTCCCTGATGATTTCCGCCCAGCTGCCCATGCTATGGGCTTTTGTCCGCTTCCGCAGGAAACAAGACCTCGCTGCAATGTTGCATTCCCGCGTTGAGGATTTGAGAAGGTCGTACATCTCAGCTTTCTTTCGCTACCCTGTCGGCGCTGCATACTCGACACCGTGGCGGATGGATGTCGTTACCGTCGACGTGGATTGAATGGCAGCAAATCCGCTCTGGAGATGGACGAAATGTCCAATTCTCGCCGCGCTACGATAGGATAACGCACTAGCCTATTCCGGAAAATAAAGCGTGACGTGTTAGTCAGCCGTCCGCTCCTGCACGAGTACCTCGTACTATTGCGCGTCGAAGGGCAGATTGTCCATGTCTTGTCATGCCACGCGCAAGAATCTTGGATCTACTACTTCTACTTCATTGAAGTCTCCTCTGTGCAGGAGCCCTCTAATGGATCCTTTCTGTTATTGATGACAGACCACACAGGTCAACGCCCACCTCCGGTCAGATGATGCTCGTCAAGACTCAAACCCCATCGCTACCTCGCGATACCTAGTCGAACACAATCGCGGCCTTGATGGCACTCTTGTTCCTCATCGACTCCAAACATTCGCCCCACTGTTCAAGCTTGAATGTCTTGTTGACAATGCCGGCAACCTTGACCTTGCCCTTGTCTGTTCACCTCCGAGTCAGTGGCTATGTTGGGGAAAAGCTGGCAAACACGAAATACATACCGAGGTAGTCAATGGCAGCTGGGAACTTGTATGTCTCGCTGAAGGACCCGAGGATGGTGATTTCATCACCAAAGATCTTGCTTGGCGGCCACGAGACGCGGTCTGCGTTCCCGTACACGCCGTATACCACGAGCTTGCCTCCTCTGCGGACATAGTTGATCGCGTCCTCCAGGATCTTGACACTTCCGGTGGCCTCCACCACGATGTCGAACCCGTATGGATTCTCTTTCTTGATCTTCTCGAATTGGGCACTGGGGTCCTTTCGGGACAGCTCGACATATTCGTCCGCAGCATCCAGGGACTTTGCGAGGTTCATCTTCAGCCCTTCGGGAGCGGCAATGACAACGTGGCAGCCGCCGTTTTGACGGAGCATCTGAGTCAAGACAAGTCCCGTCGGTCCTGCGCCAAACATGAGCACACTTGAGCCCATCTTGGGAGCGATCTTGTCCAGGCCGTGGGCTGCGCAGGAGGCGGGCTCAAGCAGAGTGGCATCCACGTCGGACAGGTTCTTGATCGGGAACACCCGCTTCGCCGGGTAAGCGCAATACTCGGCGAAGCCACCGTCCATGGTCACGCCATGGGCCTGGAAGTCTTCGCAGAGGAGCTCCTCGCCACGACGGCAGTAGAAGCATTCACCGCAAAGCTCAGAGTTGTCGGCCACCACCCGGTCACCGACACTGAAGCCCTTGACTTTCGAGCCCAGGGCGACAACGACACCGACGGTCTCGTGGCCGGGAATCAAGGGGAACTTTGCCGTCCACGTCAGGGCTGCCTGTTTTGAGTCTGTTGGGCTTGGGAGCACACCTTGGCCAAAAATTCTCCCTCATGTATGTGTAAATCGGTGCCACACACGCCGCATGCCTTCACTTTGAGCTATGTTCTCGTTGTCAGCGTCCTCCTGCCCCAAGACCAAGTATATCGACGACGTACGAGGATATCGTTATCACGAAGCTTGGGAAGAGGGACTTCGACGACGCCGAATTTCTCGGGCGCCTCATATCCTAAGACGCAAGACAGTCAGTGGTCTATTCACCGGCGGCATGAATGTCAAAACAATCCCATGTGAGGGGTAAACATACTGAGTGCCTTCATCTTCGTGGGAAGATCTGCAGAACCCATGTTGAGCTACGGCGTCTAGAGCTACTGGTCTGTGCGAAGTGCAGTGAATAGGAAAACCTTCCAAGGGATGACAAGAGTATTCCTTCTGAACAAAGCAGGTATGAAAGAGGTAGGGCAGGTAAAGTCAGAGGGTGGACAACGACCAAGGAAAAAGGATGTTGAGAAGTGTATTTCTGACAGCGAGCGGGCCAGAAGCGACCACGATGCGTAATGTACTGTATGTACAGGACTAGGTAGCTTGGGTCAGTGCGGCCGGGCGAGTGCGGGACGCCATTTTGTGTTGATGCTGGTTTCCTCGAAGGGTACGAGCTTCACTTGCGTCGACATGTTCCGACAACCAACCGATTTCCCAGAATCCACCAAGCTCGACACGCCTCCGATATATCATCGTGAACGCGGGATCCTCGCCGCGGGTGACCGACCGACTCACTCACTCACTCACTCTTTGCGCAGCTGCAGGCCACGTGCCCGCTCGCTTATTCGACTATGTGAACTCGTACCCCGCGCCCGCCTTGTTCAAGGTGTTATCCCGCGCTACATATGCAGCTCGCGGTTTGGGTACCGCGAGAAAAGAACCAGAAAAGGTACGGAGTATGGAGTACGGAGTACTTTTTTCCTCTCTTACTCGATGCTGCGGGTTTCAACGCCCTCGCTTACTTGGGGGAGGCGGTAAATGCACAGGTAGGTGCTGTAGGTACGCTGTATGTAGAGATGGTACATAGTACTCTATGTACTTTGACAATACCTCGTTCTCCTCTCAAACACCATATTCCACCGGGATCGAAGCATTACATATTGAACGGGGGACAAACAAACAACCCCCCACCCCACGACCACGATCCGGAGCTAAAGTACATACAGTATTCCGCCGAGCTACTCCCTCGCCTGGGCTTTTTCCTTTTTGCGCCGAAACCGACCATTTTCCGCATCCTCCCCACATGGACAAAACACAGTGACCGTGACCGTGACCGTGACCGTGACCGTGACCGTGGACCATAAACAGATCGTCAGCAGGGGGGACAGGTACGAGGCACTCCGTCCACACACAGTGCATGGACTTTGCGCTTCCCACAACGCAGTGGTGTCCCTCTCCATCTCTTGCCGTATGCAGGTGTCTCTCGACGCTCGAAGAGCACGCTTGTCACTTGTGACATGGACATGGAAAGTTGGCCCTGATCTGGCCCGGGAGCTGTCAGCTTGCTGTACAGTACATACACGGCCGAGAAAAGTCCTTGATTCGGGAGCACTTGTTGCGGTAGAAACTTTTGCCGTCCACAGTATACGGTACACGGTACTGTATCTGCTGTGCGCGTATCATACAGTTGAGGGTGCACCTGGTCTCACAGCAAGGAAGGGGACGGAGCTATATCTTGAGCACAGGCCACGTGCTGGAATGTCCATACGGTGGTGTGGCTCAAAGTGATCGAGGGACTATATAGCTCGCGCTGACAGAAGTATGAGCCACTCTGGGCGTGGTGCGTCCCATGGTTAGGACAAAGAATGGTTTCCTGCACAGATATAATGCATTATCCATGTACATTTGTAGATGTCTGTGTGTCAATAGAGATGTGGAAGTGAAGGAGCCAGATGATGGCGGTTGTCGAGCCTGTAGTACAATTCCCAGAAAAGCCAGAAAGTCCGATCCGTTGACCTCCCATCCTGATAGACGGTGAGGGCTGATATTGTCCAACTCCGCGCTAGAATTCAGAGATGTCAGGTACGTGCTTCGTGTGGGGGAGATATTCCAACTCTTTCAGCCTCCTCGCGTGCCGGTGCTTTATGTTGCCCGAGATCTTGCATCCGAACCACACCACCGCCTAGATCACGACGAAATCCAAACCTCCATTTTGCCCATCTCGCTCCTCTCCTTTCTCGCCTGACTCCGCACACTGCTCAACAGCATCTCCAGATCGTCCTGATCACCCATTGTGATCATATCGCCATCATCCTGCATCTTGATCTTCAGCTGATCTTTGATGCCAAACTTCTCGCGGATTTTACTTTCCAAGTCGCCAAAGTCTATGACCGCGCCGATCATCAGGTATCTCGTGTCTTCGTTAAAGTGGCATTTGACTCGGATCTTGCGCATGTCGGGCCGTTTGCTGCCCCGCATGGTGCCCGCGCGTGAGGGTGCGCGTCGAACGGGCTCGAATCCGCTCATGTCTTCCGAGCTCATTTCTTCCTCGTCTATATATTCGTCCTCTTCGTTGAGGTAAAGGTCTGGTTCTGGCCGGCGCTGCGTGGGACGTCGACGTGGGCTTGCGTACATGCGGTAGACGTCATCTACGGTATCATTGGGATCTTCGTACCGGTCTCGTGTGGTTTCGCGGAAGAGGGGCGCGGGGGCTCTTTGTGACATTGAGCGGTCAAGCACCTGCCGTCTTGAAGAAGGGCCCCGAGGCTCCGACGCTGTTCTTTGCGTGCCATAACGGGACCTTTCCATTTGCATCGGCCGGTCCATCATGAGCGGTTCATCCTCAGGCCAAGAGTTCTCTCGCTGTGGTGGTGGCATTCTCCCACCGCCTGGCGGTTGGTTCCCATTAACGTCAAAAGTGGCGGCACGACTCATCATTCCGGGCCGGGGTGGTTCCATCTCTGCTCTAGTGGAGTACATATTCCGCGGCTGGCGCATAGACGCGGATCGTAAGGGCAGGTTCGAAGACGCGCCACTGCCGGAGCTGCTGCCGACAGCACTGCCTGGAGCACTGCCGCTCATTCTGGGCTTCTCGATCTCTGGCGGCGGCGTGGGAGGGAAGACGTTTCTGCTCATTACAGGTGGGGCACTCTGATCTCGAGCAATCCTGCTCGACAAGTTACGCTGGACGAGGTTTGTTGCTGCATAACTGATGTTCTCGGCGGGTCGATCGTCCTTGGCTGAAACGGCAGCGATGGCCTGTCTCCTTTCAGCACCTTGGAAGCCAGTGCCAGTGTTCTGGCTGTTGGATGTGGCTATCAGGCGGGCTTTGCCCAAGTAGTCTTTCGCTTTGAGGTTCTTGACTTTGGCTTCGTTCGGCCTGTACACACAGCCGACGGGTCTGCCAGGGGATGTATTAGCTTCGAAGACGGCCACGGCGACCGCCGGCGGGACCGAGAGGGAACTCACATGCTGAACACCACGTAGCCCTGAGCCATCTCTTTTATAGCATCGTCTATCACATCGTGGTCGGGGGTCATCTTCTCCTTCTGCGCAAAAGTAAAATCTTGCAGGCCGGCCTCCTCTTGCTGCAGATAGACGTAACACAGGCCCCGGTTGAAGAGGACTTCGCAGGAGTAGAGCTTGAACTTCAAGCCCAGCTGCTCGTAGTCGATATATGTGTTTCCTCGGAGGTAGAGGAGGGTGTCGTTGAAATTGGCCAATGCCTCTTCGAAGTCGCCGACGAGGAAATTCGAGACGCCCTGCTGGAAGTAGGCGACGGCGAGATACTGGTCGAGCTTGATTGCGCGTTGGTAGCATTCGACCTGTTCTCGTATTAGTCTCGGCGAGGCTCGTGTCATTGTTCACGCTCGACGTACTGCTCGGTCATGTTCGCCGATGGTGGCGTGGATAACACCACAGTTAAACAGGATCTTGGAAGTATCGGCGATGGCATCGAAAATCCGCAGAGCCTCTTCGAATTCCTGGTTGTCATAGTGCCCGAGCGCCTCAACCCAAGTCTCGATCTCCTGCACGGTATTAGAGAGCGCCCATGCATGGGAGGGTGCCACCTACCTGCTTGAGCGACATGGCTTCGCGCCAGGCGTAGTCGCAGCTGCAGTCGACGGTGTCGAGGAGCTGGCGGTCGTCGGTGCAGGCAGATTATACAGGTGCAATCGGGGTGCAGGAGGAAGACGATCTGCGACACAAGCGGGCGGTGCCTGAGACGATATTGAAATGGTGGTGCGGCCAACGTCGGTCCCACGCAGGGTCGGGTGGCTGCGATTGCTCGAAGGCTGCGAGGGCCGGCCCTGCCGCAAGTCCTGAAGAGAAAGTGTGCGCGAGGGCCAGGGATTAAGCGCCCGGCGTGGGCGGTGGCCGTGGTGGGATTGCTCGGCGCCAACGCGTCACTGCTCGAGTGCCAATGAAAGACGCTATCAACTTGACGGGTGGTTGGAGGAATAGATTAGCGACGGCACGAGGCCGATAGATCGCGGATAGTCCGACTGGGTTGGTAAGGTTGGTAAGAATATGGGTAAAAGAGTGTGCGGTGAGAAGTGAAGCAGCAAAACCAGTGCTGGGCAGAAGCAAAAGGGAACAGAGGTGAAGGAGAGAAACGCGTTTGAGGACGACTCTGACTTCTTGAAGCACTGCTGGAGCCTCGACGGAAGGGGCGTTTCGAGGGAAAGGAACAGGCAGGTGGGGGGGTCACTGGGGGTTGAGGGAGCTGTCAAGCGAGGATCCTCAGGCAGGGGTGAGCAGGCGCGGCAGGACACGGCAAGGGATGAGTGAATGAATAGTGAAGGAAAAGTGAATGATGTGGGAAGATCTCCAGAGACCGGCAGAGCGCAGAGCAGTTTGCTCAGCATTGGAAACACCGTCTCGTGTCATGCTCCTCATTGACAGCCCGTCAAGTCCTGATCTGGCTGTGTCTGCTGTGTCTGCTGTGTCCAGTTCATGCATGAGGACGTCGCGATGCGTGACTGCCCAGCTCGCTGCATCTTATTCCTGCCTCGGCTGCGTTTCGCACTCGATCCTCACTCGTCCGAAATGTGACAGCAGCACTCCAGCGAGCATCCAGTACTCAAAGCACGCAGCACTCGATCCAACCCGCCGACAAGGTGGTCTGACTGAACCTGTCACCTGAGCCATGCACTGGATGTTCTTGTCGAATTTCCTTCCTATCCTCGAGCGTGTCACGGCCACATGTTGCCATGACGGCCTCGCTCGCCGGTGTTGAGTTTCAGTGGATCAAACTCGATAGACTGAATGTCCGTTTCAGAATCACATCTGCCAACCAACCAGCGCCGGCGACCGACTCTGAAGCTTTTCCAAAACCGCGGCCCAAGCAATCGGGTTACTCGTTTCCAATGCTCGCTGCAGGGGTGTGCTCCAGCAACTGCATCATCGTGCAGTCGCCCAGTCCGAGCCAGAATTTTCGGGATGCAGTGGAAACAGATTCACGTCAATGCAGAGTGCACACGAGTCCTCAAACTGGTGGAAAGGTTTTGTACAATGCCACGTCGTCTACGATACGTCAATGCTGAGTCCGTACTCCGTACAACTACCACGCGCTCATAGCATCCCCTTCCCGACCTGCTCTTTGCGCTCCTGCCACACCGTCTTGCCTGAACAGCTGCACACGGTCTTCTCGTTGTCCCACACTCCGGCACTCCGAGCTATGACCCCGACCAGGGTATCGGGGTCGTCGGTCTGAAACGATTTTTCCTGCTGCTGTTTCGACACCACCATGCTGCGACCGATAATCTCCCACACGGACACCGGGCGATCCAGGAATGCACTGCCGCGTCCGTCCTTACCCACCTGGACTGTGCCAAACATGCCGCGAGGCTGACCGATGCCCGTCATCTGCTTGACGGCTTCCCAGATCCCCCCAGTCGAGGCTGCTCCACGTGAGATGTCACCCGTCTCCCTTATCGTGGCATGATATGTACCCGGTGATACCCCGCGCAGCGTCAGATCCACCAGTGTCCGATTCCCACCGACTTGGACCATGCGCGCAAGGCCACGGACGGGATCTGACACGCCTTTTGCGTGGGTTTCCAGAATGCACACGCTGGCAGAGTTGGACGTCCCGCTGCCCCGTAAGATGGCGTCCCTGCCAGTAGATTCGATGGCTGACACGATTGATGAAGGAGCGGCCGTCCCTTCAATGTAAAAAAGTTGGTCTTTGAGATTGGCTTCGATTTTGGCGATGCCTAGCACCGGCCACGTCAGTCAAATGTCGCCCGGTGTTTGGGGAACATTGTCGCACGGATGTATACCTTCGACTTTCTGAAGCGCACCCTTGACATCATCGACACAGGATTCGCAGTGCAAGGGTACTGCAAATGTCGTCTACGTGGAATCAGTATTGGCATTGGCGCGACGGTTGGGGGCAGAAGATTTGATTGCTCACTTGGAATGGCTCGATCCCTACACTCCCCATTTTGAATATGGCTCTATGTATCGACGACGATCTTAGCGATGAGGGCTTGGTACGGATGTTTCTTAATGAACGTAGTACTCCGTATGGTCATAAGATATCGGGTTGAAGATGCTTGGTATTAATAATATAATATTAGAAGAGGCTCCGTACGAGTAGAAAATATGCCCTCACTGGATGCCGCCCCGCATAGCCACAGAGCAGCAGCCACAACGCCACAATGCCAAACGCGAGTTCTCCCGAGAACGGAGCCCCGGACTCGGAATCAAGATCTTCCTGGCCCGAGAGCCCATCAACATCACTCCCACGATCACACCGACAAGTATGTATGGTATCACTGGGATTAACTGAGGCCATCCCACTATACACAGCACATCTCAACACAGTACAGCACACAGTATCCGTCAAGGCAGTCTGTCTACGTACTGTACCGTAGCTAGGAAGTGTCTGGTCCACAGCCCTCGCCATGTCGTCTCGAAAGCAATAACAATCACCACGCCAGGCTAGCAAGATGGGCCAAGACACCGACCCTGACCTCTCGGCCGAACTCACAAAATGGGCGCTCTCCCACGGCGCCTCCATTGACGGCATAGCGGCTCACGCATTCCCTGGCAGGGGTCTGGGAATCATAGCGCAAAGAAGGTTGGAGGTACGTTCTCACTTAGCTGTGAAGTGAGGTGAAGTGAAGTGAAATGAAGCCACTTGAGGGCTTTACTCGTGGTGGCGCTCCAGCCCGAGCCCGATCGCCAGTTTTCCCCTGATGGGAATCTGCTCTGTCTACGATGAGACGAGCCGAGAAGTGAAGTGAAGTGAAGTGAAGTGGAGGAGGAACCAAGACGACCTGAGCCGAGCCCCGTACCGTGACATGAATACTTCCGAAGCAGTCGATCACAACCGCTAACTGACACCTCAACCTCTCCAGGCCGGAGAAACGATCCTCAAAGTCCCAACATCGCTGCTGCGCACGGAATCCAGCCTACCGGACCACCTGCAGAGCCTCGCGCAGGAAGAATGCAGTGTCAACGGCCTCCTGGCGCTGGACGTCAGCCTCGACAATCCCTCTTTCTCAACCTCCACCTCGGCACCGCACTCCCTCTGGCGAAGCACGCTCCCGTCCCTCAGCGCCATGAAATCCAGCATGCCTCTCTTCTGGCGCCCAGAAGCACAAGACCTGCTTCCCCCACCGGGCCTGGCTCTCCTGCGCAAACAACAGGCCAAACTCCACCGGGATTGGACGGCCGTCTGCGAACGCGGTGTGGTCGTCGCCCCCCAAGGCCTCTCCCTCGAACAGTATATTTACAGGTGGCTGCTCGTAAGCACGCGCACGTTCTACTACACGCCAGAAGCAGCAGCAGCAGCAGCGCCATCCAGCAAACCCAGACCACCCAAGTCGAAATCACAGCGACGACGACGACGGTCGAAGTCGAATCCGAAACCTCCCCAACCCCGCCCCGCGGATGACTGCCTGGCCATCGTGCCCTTTGGCGATTTCTTCAACCACACCGCCGGCACCCAGACGGTCAAAGCCACGTACTCGGCCTCGGGCTACGACTTTGTCATGACGGGTCCTCACGCCGTCGCGGCCGGCACCGAGCTCTTCATCTCCTACGGCAGCCACAGCAACGATTTCCTCCTCGTCGAGTACGGCTTCATCCTGCCGGACGGGGACAACGCGCACGACACGCTGCTTCTCGACGACGTGGTCTTGGCGCTGTTCTCGCCCGAGCAGACCGCCGTGCTCGACGCGGCCGGTTATCTGGGTAATTACGTCCTAGGGGCTATTACTGGTAGTAGTGGCGGCAATGGCGGCAACGACAATGACGACGAGGCCAACGACGACGATGCCGAAGTGGTCTGTTATCGCACGACGACGGCGCTCAGACTACTGTGCATGCCTCTCCGCAGGTGGAAAAGGGGATTGAGCTGCGGGTTTGACCATGGAGATGCATTCCAGGCCCCGTTGAACGACTTGGTGACAAAGGTGCTGCGGACGTATATTGACATGGCCGGCGAGAAGATACAGCACGTCTTCAGACTCGACGAGGCCTCCTTTGCCGACCAGAAAGATGTGCTGACGAGAAGATGGGGACAGATCCTCGCCTTGTTGACTGCTGCGACCAACCGAATACGAATTTAATGTCTTACTGGTGCGCTGAATTGCAAAAAACGAACGACGTGTCCGTTTCGTGTGATGCTTATACCTAGAGAGCCCGTGTGGCTCGATGCCCGCTTCCTCACGGTGAAGCCTGATTTTTATCCTTAATGTTCCCTTCCAAGGCCAAAAATGCAAATGCCACAGACACCTTCACAAGGTGTGGATGCGCGGGCCCCCGACCGATCAAAGCATGCTCCTTCGGTTGACCCTTGCTCCACCTACGCCAACGCTTATCCGACGCCGAAACATGCATGCCAGAAGCCTTTGGACCAATATCACTCATGCCAATACTCGTCGTTTGTGCAGGATGCTTTCGGCCCAGGCACCTTCGTCCAACAGTCATAATCATTTTAATCCGAAGCCCTCACTACATTGCACCGCGGTCCACAGCTTCTCCTCCAGCTTTTGCCTCGAAGCATACCGATACAAGCTCAGCGTATTGAAGCACGTCCTTGCAATGGGAAAACGCTCGCTCGGTTTGTTCGCAGGCGCTCCAAACAAGTCAAACTCTTCCTTCTCGCGGATCAGCTGGATTCTGATAACAAGATTCGTGGCACCCATGGCCGGGATGCGATCGCTGGCCGTGATGAAGCTCAATATCTTTCGTTGATCCGTAGGAGACACCCGGGCGAAGAACTCCCAGAACCATATCACCTGGGGTTGCTGCTCAGGGGGCCCTTCGGCCTTGGGCCAGCCTTCATACGTCGCCACAGCGCGCAAGCTGGCAATGTCAAGGGGCTCATCGGACCCGCGGACGAGCAGCTCAATCTCTTCTGGTCGAAATAGTGAAAGCGCGTTGCCACCGCAGACGGTGAAAAAGCCACGCTTGAATGGTTCATACTGTCGCGCCACCGCCGTGTCAAGCAGATAGTGCACGTATAGATCCACGAATTCTCTTCGGTTGGAGTTGGTGACTGCTCGTTTCTCGCCGCCGGGACACAGTGGGACCTGGACGATTTCCCCATAGCGGTCCATTTCCGCAACAAAATCGCGACAGAAGGTTGCCTCGACGTCTCCCTCGAATTCGAGGAGTTGCCTGAGACCCTTGGCGAGGACGGGCCGGAACTCGGCCAAGTCCTCCAATGCGTAACCATGGGCGACTTTGGGTGTAGATGTTAACTTGTCTCCCGTCGAAGGTGCTGAAGCCAACATCTTCTTGAACACAAAAGGTGGAAAGGCCACGTCCAGAATGGTCGAGTTGTAGATGGCCAGTCCTAGCAGCACGCCGACCAAAAAGAACTGCTCGGATGATTCGAAGCAGAAGGGATTGAAATAACAGTATTGTGAGTCATCGTCGTAGACGAACAATCCATGATAGGGATCGAAGATTTCCCTGGTCAGTAGCAGGAACCACTCTTTGCGCAGACCCCCTGCATCGACGCCCTCTTCTCCTTGGAAGTCGATGCGCAGACCTTTCTTGATCTCGCTTCCCCCTGACCCGACGACCTCTGAAACGCCACGAAGACTGTCCTCCACCAGGCAGTCGCGTCGAACCTTGAGTATCAGATATTGACTCACAGCTCTGCGGCTAAGAATACTGTCGAAAAAGGCTTCCCTTGCCTTCACTTCCATCTGTCTCCTGGCGTCGTGCTCGAGAATATGTATCTTGGCGTAAATGCTGAGGAAGAAGGGATACTGACAGAAGGTAAACTTGGTCTTGGTATTCTCCCAGGTCTCGAAGTCAGCCACGAGATCGGCATAGTCCAGCATCGTGTTGTAGAAGTTGCTGATCGGGACAATCTGGCCGTGCATATACGCTCGATATTTCGCATTCAGGCCTGGGCTGTGCAGTCTTTGCTCATGTGCCGCAGAGGCATCCCTCTTCCGCGCAACATGACCCACATTCGCTTGGAACAGCAGAGCCATGACCCGTGCAGCGACGCGGATCTGCCAGTCTTCGCCATAGGCAGTCAACTTGGGCTTTTCCTGGGTCTTGCCTGTGGCTGTGGACGCAGGCCTGTAACCTCCAAGGGCGGCATGGATCTGGGATGCGTGATGCATGCCAGAATCAGAGAAGCTGGGAACAAGCCCTTCCGTGGGATTTACAGGTTCGTGCACGGGGTTCTTCTGCTGCCTTGACAGCCTATATGTGACGAAACTGCCCACCATCTCCACCGTCCGCTGAAAGTGACCATCCGCATACCTGGAAAACCAGGAGACCAGATACTGATGGTTCTCATTGGAAAGATTGGCCATCAGACCTAGAATTCGCTTGATGATGCCAGAGTGGTGGCCTAGGCTTCCTGGTCGTCTGCCGCTGCTGGGGATACGCTTGGAAGGCGAGTCGCGCGTTCTCCCCTCGACCTGCAGTCTTGCGGCAGGGATGGGTGGATGGGGCATCGTCGTCCCGAACATCTTTCCGGCCTCGAGTCGTGCTGGGGTCAGCAGTGGGTTTGCCAGAAGAATCAGTAGGAAACGACAATCCTCTGCATGCTTCAGCGGCTGCCTTGGGCGCTTCAGTAGGTTCTCGGACACTTTGAGCAGACTTCGCTGCAAGTGTATCCGCGACTCGATGATATCTCGCTGAAGGCTTTCCAAAGGAGTGGAACGCCAATATTGCTGGGCTCTCGCGTCCGAGAGTTTCGGCAATAGTTCGTGCCATCTCTGTTCCCAAAGGTCCCCTGCATATATAATGAGCCGATACCATTCGGCTAGTTCAAGCCAGTTAATCCTGTGGTGTCGTGCACTTGCTGAAGAGCGGTTTTTGTCGGGCGATTTGTCTCTTTGATGATTGACATCTTTGCCTGTCGCCACTCGTCCGCCCGGAGCGCCCAGCCACCACGAGCCATTCTCTGCAACATCTCCAAGCAGTAGGGTTTTGGCGTCAAGCTCGGAGAGAAACACATCATTGTCGAAACTCGGAGCCGAAATATTATCAGATAATTGCCGCCTTTGTCGCGTCCCTGAGCTCGATCGAGGCTTCAGGTTGGGCTCTTGTGGTGGCCTGGGCGTGAGGAATGAATGGTTCAAGACGGCACACCCGACAAAGCAGCTAGCAATATAATCCTCAACCAGGTAGAAAATATCCCACCTGGGACCGGAATTAGAACTGGTTGTCGGGCCAGTTTCCGATAGCTGATAGGCCCTCGCGTCACGATGCCTAATCGGCGGTGAGGTGGTGGAGGAAAAAGGGTCAGTTGACTGACCCTGAACGAAGGCTGGGCCAGCATTACGACCCGAGTGATGCGTTGACAGGGTTGACTCTTCGGACGGGCTTCGTGGATTGATACGCGGACGAGGAGATGGCGGTGGAGAGTCCTGTTCGTCGGTGAGCTGGTTATAGAGGATACCCTCGGGGGGAGATCCCTCCATCAGGAACGAATCGTCGGCCGGTGTGTCATTCTCGCCTGGGATCGGACGAGCAGGGGTGGACGGCTCATCTCGGCCCACGCGAGACTCGAGATACTGCACGAGACAACGATCAAGCAGTGATCTTGTCCTCTCCACCGACACTGGCAGGATCTTGCGTTGAGGCGCGGGGCCCTGGGCATCCGGCCTCTTTTCCGGGTTGAATTCCAGGTCGTTGATGGTCAAACAAGTGGTGCAACGAAAGACCTTGAGCCCTTGCGGCCATCGTACAGTCGAGTCACAAGTCATGCATCTGCCCGTCACCGGCTGCCGATCGTCGCGTGACGAAGAGCCTTCAGCAGCTGTGTGCTTGTTGCCGGCTTCTTCATGTCGCGCATCCCGTGTGCCGTCCAAGTCGCCGCCATGTTTATTCTTTTTCTCCGTCTTCCTCGAACCGAAAATAGAGGGAAATGGGTGGCTGAATGAGCGACTGTGGTTGAGCTTTGCGGCTCCAGCGTCCGGAGGTTCGTTGGGGACGGGTTTTCGGCGCAGAGTTGGAATCTCGTAGGTTTCAGCAGCCGCCGTCGCTGGTGGTGGCGGTGGAGGAGGGGGCAGAGGTCGATTGAGGTCGGCGGCCGGAGGGGGCTGATCGTGGCTCGCGCTCCTGGTGAGCTGAAGGTTGCGAGGCCGAGGCCGGCTGGGATGGTGATGATGGGAAGCAGACGACGGCAGCGACGCCATTGCAGTTCTCTACAACGCGAGGCGGGCTTCAAGTCGTCGTGATGGGGCAAACTGGGGGAGGCAGTAAGCGAAGGCTTCATAAGAGTGGGCTGCTGAGTCCGCTGAACGGACGCCGGTCGTACTGTCTCACGACGTCGCAGCTCAAGCGGCGCTCGCAGTGGCCTGCGTCCTTTGGCGCGTTCGTAGGCGGGTTCGTTGCGGTCGTAGTCGGCTTAGAAAGCAAGGCGAGTCAGAGGAGGTCGCGTGGCTGCCGGCGTAACACTGTGCGTCCAGCATTCAATCTCCCGGACCGGTGTCACGACAGTGTTGATAGAAGTGAGCGAGGAGTCCCAGCATATTGTCCCGTCACGGACGCCGACAATGTCTGCGAACTAGGTGGCAGGCGCGATCGACATGGCCAGAGACGAGAATCAATCACGTTGGCGTACTGAGGACAAATGCGAGCTCAGTGGAGGTCAGCCTTCCCGATACGAGGAGGCTGTGGAGGCATTCATTGCCTTGCATGGCATCTGCTTCGCATTGCTGGTCGGTCGTTTTGCGAGATGCGAGGGGAAGCGCGCCAAGGTTCGGCGTCAATGGCGGTGGTGCGAGTAGGGGTCCAGGGTCGACGGGCACGGCCACTGGCGCCGTCTAGGGGAGTTGAGGGGCGTCTCGGGCAGGACGTGCCGGGCGCCTTCAGGGGCGGCACTGCTTGATTGGGAGCAAGCATTGCCCCGGAGGCCCCCAGCACCGCTCGAGTGGAGGGAGTTGCATCATATCAACAGGGATGATTACGCAGCCGTCCAAGCGACCTCCAGAGTACTGCTATTTTTGACACAGGTCTCTCTCCATGTGGATCGTCCTCTTTCATTGTACCGAATTACCTGGTCGCATATCTACGAAACTGCCCCCCCGAGCACCAGGTTACCCCATCGCTCAAATTGCTTCTTCAGAGTAGATGGCTACCGGCAGACACTCACGATAATGGATCGGCCAGCTAGGCGTCGAGCCCGTATTCCCGAACAAGCTTGTCTGCGGCTGTGAGGCCGGTGAGGTACGCGGTGGTCTGAGTGTGGTTGCTGTCGGAACCAGTTAGCATATGTCTCAGCTGAGGCGTCGAAGAGGAGGTAGCGTAGCAGCACTTACTTTGAGACAATCGGAATCACGCTCATGTCGGCGACTCTGAGCCGCTCCACTCCAAAGACCTTGAAGTTCTTGTCCACCACGGCACGGCTTTCGTCCTTGCCCATGCGTGCAGTTCCCATCATGTGCCATGTCGACTCGCTACGGCCCCGCCAATACGCCAGGATATCTTCCTCTGATTCACTCTTGGGTCCATCGATGGTCACGGTGCCATTGTGGAATTGGGGGCTGTTCATGATCTTCAGTGTCTTCCGCGTAGCCTCCACGGCCACCCTTTTGTCGAAGGGATGAGAGAACCAGTTGGGGTCGAAGATAAGTGGTTGCGCGGGATCAGACGACTGGAGTCGCACGGAGCCACTTGATTTCTGGTTGAGCACGAAGACGAAGATGCTCACTCCCGTCTCAGCGTTTTCTGGGTCGATAAAGTGTGGCAACCACGGACCGTTGAGTAAGTATTCATAGTGCGGTACGGTGGGCTCCAGTAGGTGATCTTGCTCTTCCTTGGGTAGAGCTTGGAACTCTGGGAGCTCAGCGATATGGTCAATCTTTTCATAGGCGATGCCAAGTGTCGTAGCATATTCGGACAGTGGTCCGTTGCCATCTTTCTCCCACAAAGCCCGAGCGGCTGCTTGTAGCTCCTTGCTCTTGTAGAACTTGGTCCTTTCGTCTTTGGGGTTTGCCCGGATGACTGGGATTGTGATGTGATGGTGATCCTTCAGGTGTGCTCCGACATTGTCATTCGCCTTCAGGACCGGAATGTTGAAAGCTTTGAGCTGTTCAGCAGGACCGATCCCGGAGTGCAGCAGGATCCTCGGGGTATCGAGGGAGCCCGCGCAGAGAATGACCTCCTTGTCCGCATGGATCGTCCGCCCATCAAGGGTGCGGATGCCGCTGGCCTTTGTTCCCTCGAACACCACGCGCGCCACCTGCGTATCGACCAGGATGTGCAGGTTGCTGGGCGCATCCACCAAGGCGTCCGCTGATGTGGACCTCACGCCCTTGTATGCCGTTGAGATGCACAATGCAAGACCGATCGGATCGCCTGAGTTGTGGTCGAGATTGCGTTTGGCACCATTCGCATACCAGATGTCCATCAGCTCTTTGCCCTGAGGCTCCCAGACCTTGGGGAAACCAACGTGGATCGGTCCATCGTAGCCATGGTTCTTTGAGTCAGCGTCGCGATAGTGTCTGACGCTGTCTACATCATCTCCGGCATCTCCGTGGTAGGTTTCGAGCCTCTTGTATCTTTCTTGCACGTTGCTCCACTTCCACTCCTCATCACCGACGAGCCGTGCCAGCTCATCGTAATCACCCTTCGGGCCAACCGTCCAGACGGAGAAGTTGATGGCGGAACTTCCACCAAGACCTTTGCCGCGGTCGTATGCGATCACTCTCCCATCAAATCCCTTGACCGGGGCTGTCTGATAACCCCAGTTCATGCCGGGTACCATGCGGTGAAGCCATCTCTCCGCGTCAGCACGCAGGGCTCTGGAGTCGTTCTTTCCGCCAGCTTCGACGAGAAGGACTGAAGGCTTTCTGTTGCTTCGCGCGAGTCGTGAGGCGAGGACTGCGCCAGCAGGGCCAGCACCGACGACGACGAAGTCGAATCTGTCTGGCAGTGTCGAACCCATGCTGAGCTTTTGGGACAATAAGGTAGTATAGATCCGAGTGGGTAAGGTACGAGTGAATAGCTTGCACGTTGCGAATATTCTGTGTGTGAACTGGTCCGCAGGCCAGCTGAGTGATTTCTGGACGCATTATATAGGCCGGTCAAGAGGCGAACTCAACAGACTGTGAGATCTGGTCGCCTAAGCTGAGGACACAGCGAGGCGGTCCCATGCTGAAAGAGCAGACTGCGCGGTCGAGTGGTACATAGGACCCATCCTGGTACATCCTCACGTATAGCAAAAGTGGGGGAAAGTGCCAGGGTGTTCGGGCTCGGATAGACATTCCTCTAGTCGCCACATATGATTGCATCAGCCAACCCTGTTCGATTCTCGAGATGGACGAGGCTGATATGAAGGCGGAGGAGCCATGGCTGCAGAACTTGGTCCACACCGTGAGTACGGGCTGGACGCTTGCGTATGAGGGAAGGGAATCCCCGTGCGAAACGGGCAGGTGGTTGGTCTCTGCTAAGAAACAGGCTGCAAACAGGTCCGGCGGTGGCCTGCTCGCAGATGTACCATTGGTCAAGGCAAAGAACCACAGCTTCGCGCTCGCTGCCGTGTCGTGTTGCCGTCGTCCCAAAGAGTGTCGGGCTTTCTTACTCGAGTCCATACCCCTGCGAATAGGGGAAGTGACTATTACGAGTGATTACCTCCGGTGCCTCCACCGCGGGGACCTGGACGAGTAGGCTGAATAGAATGGAGCAGTAGAGCTGAGTCATGTAGATTGGGCAACTCTAGGCCGCAACGAGGGAAAGGTCGTTACCCAGCTCGATCCTGGACTTGGCAGTTGCAGGGCATGCCTCGTGTTGAATATGCAGGCGCCATGTCACCGTCGGGCAACTGCGCCTTCTCGCCTTGTCCGTGGAGTAAGCAGACTACGACCAATCAGAAGACGTCGTCCCGACAGCCTTGCGTAGCCTCGGATCGTTCCAAATCTTTTCACTGACACGAAATTCTACGCCACTGGGCAGCCAAGTAACAACCCGTAAACACCACGCCTCCTCGCCTATGTGGTCTGGTGCTTGAATAGCGCCTGCTGAAAAGTGCCTGGCGAAGAGTACTAGGTAGGTACCTCACGTACGGTGTCAAAGAGGGGCTTAGTGCTAAGAAGTACCACAGTGCCTTGGTACTTTTGCCAAATCACCCGCATCAGAACTCCTTCTTGTCTCTCCCTCGCTATACAATAAGCCTCGGCCCCGAAGGTGAAATCACCATGTATTTGCATTTTGCTTCTGCATGTGTTTACGACTTTTCAGATCGCAACGTCGACTATGCCTTCGTCATCTTCCACTCTGTCCGCCACCACATCGCACGAGCACGCGCGAGCTTATCGCTGAGTTGGCCGAATGCAGGCCTTTGCGCGCGTGATGAGAAGATTTCATCTGAGTTTATTCAAAATGTGTTGGTCGGCCCAATAGCACCTTTGTGCGCTACTTGGCTCGTACGATCACTTTGTGTATCTCAAGTGTTCCGTCCGTATCGTGTAAGCAGAGGTGTACGAGGTAGGATTAGCTCAACTCCTGAGCCCGACGGTTGTTTGATCGCCATCACGTCTTGTCGGTGATTACTCAAGGGCTTGCGACCACTGCAACATTTTGGATAATGTCGCTCGTTTGTTAGCCCTCACAGCCGACTCTAGCTATGTACCAGGGCAAGTATCACTCGCCGAACGTATCGCTCGCCGACCGTCAGCCATGTCAGAGTCAGTGCGGGCTGGTGGTAAGAGACTATTCCCCACTTAAGCTGTAACAGCCGTCTAGGCCTCATGCCCGCAGGCGTGCTATTTCAACCACTTGCGGTTGATCAGGTAAACACGAGCGGCAGACGCATGCCCGTCGGGAAGAATGGACCAAGCAGAATGCAGACTTGCATCGAGGACGTCCAGTTTCGAGATGACCGCGTTTTCAACTCATCTCACTGGGGCTTCACAGCTCCAGCTGAGCCCCATCGATGATTCCTCCCGCTGCTTTTCGCATGCCCTCGAAGAATAAAATTTGGTCCTTCAGGTGTCGCCGCGTTACTTCCGTCCTCGAACACTTCATACATTGCGCCTCCTACCCCAGTATCTCTTCTATGGGTAGCCTGCTTTGACGTTCGCACGACTTCAACATGCTGGATTTTGCCTTATTTGATGCCCTATCTGAATTCATGCATTCAACGGCACAAATTTTCCCTGCCGCCTTATACATGGAGCGTTACAGCATTAATTGCATTAATGAGCTGAATCCTACCAGCGGAGTCTGGAGTACTCCGTACAGTACAGAGTAACTTGGGCGAGGCCAGAGGCAAGGGTTGTAGTCGTACATAGTACACACGTCCTCGTACTGAGCGCCACAGTGTCGGAACAATCCGATGAGCGGAAACCAGGACCGAAATTTTAGCGAGTTTCATTGTCAAAAAGTTATGCACCGCGTTGCATTTTCCATGAGCGACGCGCCCACCGAGTAGCCATCAGGATGACATGAACCTCAGTAGAGCCCGGAAGTTAATGCGATCATTGTATTCTCCCAAAGCACTATGGCGTGTCCAGGCCCGTGCCTATCCCCGTGGGCTGATCACGCCGCGAATACGGTCCTCTGCGCGCTCTCTTGTCTCCGTTGCAACGGCTGAATTGGAGCGACCTCGATCTGAATCCAAGCCTCTACATCCCCTGCCGGCAGATAGCCACCTGCAAGAACCGCTGCATGCTGTTCCCTCCACTTCCTCGCCTCGAGGGATTACGCCGGACTCGAAGTTCCTGCCCCTGGCGTGCCCAGGATGCGGCGCCCTCACGCAGGACGTCGATCCTGGCCTGAGTGGGTATTACACACTGTCAAGGAGAGCGGTGAGGAAATATGTCCGGCGCCTGAAGCGGGAGGAACGTGCGGATGAGGGGGAGGATAGCGGCGAAGGAGCTGATACCGAAGAAGCTGGTAGACAAGTGCCAATCCAGACGGAAGACCAAGACAGCCGGCACCACGAACATACAATTGCTGACGCTGAAGATCCATTGACAACGCCATTCTGTGATAGGTGTCATTACTTGGTCCATGACTGTCGCGGTGTTCCAATTGCGCATCCCTCTATCGAGGCGATCGCAGACTCGATCGCAGAATCCCCCTTCACCAGAAACCATGTCTATCATGTCGTGGACGCAGCAGATTTCCCCATGTCTGTCATCCCTTCGATCTACAAGCATTTGTCTCTCGCGAATCCGCGCACCCAGAATCGCCGGTCTCAACACTCCTTCTCCTCCAGACCCTCTCTTTCATTCCTGATCACCAGGTCCGATCTCATCGCCCCCACCAAAGAGATGGTCGACAGCATGATGCCCAAATTCGTTGCGATTTTGAGAACTGCATTGGGTCGTATGGGGCGGAATCTCAGGCTCGGAAACGTGCATTTGGTCTCGTCCAAGCGAGGATGGTGGACAAAAGATATCAAAGAGACCATCTGGAATAGAGGTGGTGGCAATTGGCTGGTTGGAAAGTTCAATGTGGGCAAATCCAACCTCTTCGAAGTGCTGTTCCCCAAAGGTGCGCACAACCAAGCTCCTTTCCATGCAGGGCTCCAACAACAGAAGGGAATCGACGCCGCTGGCCATCGCTCCGACACCTTCTTATCTGAGAAGAACTTGCTGCCCCCGCCTCAGCCGCAAGTGGCTTTCCCAACCATGCCCTTGGTGTCTAGCCTGCCCGGCACTACTGCTTCCCCGATCCGGATCCCCTTCGGCAATCACAAGGGAGAGCTCATTGATACGCCGGGTCTGCAACGTGGTGGGCTTGACCAGTTCGTCAAACCCGAGGACAGGGCTGATCTCGTCATGGTTCATCGTCCTACGGTTGCTCAACATGTTCTCAAACCTGGCCAGTCCTTACTCTTAGGAGGTGGCTTAGTCCGCATAACACCGCTTCTGAACGAGCATGACCGCAGCACCACCATGCTGGCATACCCCTTTGTCCCGCTTAAGGCCCACGTCACTTCGACTGCAAAAGCAGAGGGAACACAAATCCAGCAGCGGGAGAGCGGCATCGAGTCGATCCTGGCAGAGGAAGCAGGAATGTCCATATCGTCAGCTGGGCGGTTCGCGCTACGAACGGATGTTACGAGGTCCAGGGCAGGGTCAATGATCAGGGCCGGAGTCAAACCGGACAAGTTGCCATTCCATGTGTATGCAACAGACATCCTGATCGAAGGAGTTGGCTGGGTAGAATTGGTCTGCCAAGTTCGAAAGAGTAAACAAACAGCCCGAGCAGATGGTCCTCCAGGAAGTCCTGCTGAGTCAGACACCATCGCCCCGACCGCGGAAGGCCTTTCCATCGAGACAAGCACTTTTACTCCCTTTGGCGGAGAACAGCCGGCCTACAACCAGACATCTCTCTCCCACTCCGATCTTCCCGAAGTCGAGATCTTCACACCTGGCGGCAAATTCATTGGGCAAAGAACGTGTCTGGACTTGTGGCAAATGTGGAATACAGGCAAGCCCCAGAAGACCACGCGAAGTGCACGGCCCCGTAAGCCTATGGCTGGGGCGAAGAAACGAGACAAAATTGCACGAAGAGCCGCCTTGAAACACTGAACCGCAGGCTGTATACACAGGCGAAGCTGTATGAAGTCCCCGGCGACACGGAATTCCGTGGCTCAGGAGCCTTAGTCGCGATCTCGAAATTAGGCAAGGCTGCAATCCCCTCATGTATCGGCGACTCGCCTGTCATGCGCTTTCTTGCTAGGCTAGTCGAACTGCATACCTCACGAGGCATAGGCACACATGATGACAGTCCTCGACACTGCCTGGGCGATGTTTACTCCTTCCCCGTCAGCACGACAATCTTGCCGATTGAGACAACCTCGCAGTATCCCTGCTCCGTGATGACAGCTTCCCTTTTCTCACCCGGGCAGTGACCGAATATCCTCGTTGATCACTATACGAAGATCCGCCGTTCCCTTCAACAGCTCGAGAAATAGTCACCTGTGTACTCTCTGCTGCTTGAAGGGTGAGACGACCAGGCTTCTACCGATTACCCCGATTCAGTGGGTGCACGCCTCATATGCTTGCGATTACAGAATCAATGGCCGCCTCCCACTCCCTAAAACGCAAGGTCTCCTCAGTAGGTGGTGGTCGGATACGCGCCATCGGACCGGTTCGGCGAGACAAACCAACGCTATACCGCGGTGAGGCTCGTCAGACGAAAATGGTCACTACGCGTGAGAGAGAGGGAAGACGATACATAGATGTACGGGACAAAGATCTCGGGTCTGCCGAGGCAAGATAAAGGCCGAGCTATTCAATGTTGAGTGTTCCGCTTGTGGAGGAGAGGACGTTGGAGTAGGGGTATAGAGTATGCAACGGTGAAGGATCTCGTACTCGAGCTGGGTCAGTTACTCGCGGCCGACCTCATAAGGTGATTTTCGAGACATACATTCTCGTCCTAGCGAAAGCGCCTATTGAGATTGCTCTCACACATCCGGCAAGCAGTGCAGAAGGAAAAATCGACAACAGCTCGTGAAGGAGCCAGATTCGCTCTTGACTGACTTGTACCTCCAGCTGCTGGGATATTCCTCCTTTATATTGTGGACATGGCGTTCCACCCAGCACGATTGTCGCATGAGGGTAAAGCACCGTGAAGGGCATATAGACCCGACTTCAATTGCGGTTTTCGCTTTCTGTCGAGGCACTCCGTACTCCGTAGTCAGCCACATATTTGGGCGCCACACCAGTGGCTGTACAAAGTACAAAAGTACTTGGGGATTTACTACCCTGCACGTGACATTGCCTCACTTTCACCAATCATACTTGACGCCAAGCCATTAGCGTGGACTTTTCGTCCGATCCACAAACGCAGCTCAGCACTTCGTGTCGAACTAACTGCAGGTGCTTTCATTCGTTCCTCTCTCCTACAGACAAATTGCATACGATGAATTGCCTTGAGGCCCTTTGCTCGGGGCTGTCATCGTGACGCTTACGCTCCTGATACCGCAACCATGTCTCACGTCCTGCACCAAACCAGCCTGCGACTATCGACATAGTCCAAGAACTTCAGTTCAAACATAGGTCATTCATACTTCGCATTGACACTTCCGAACTCCCTCCCCTTGACTTCCAAGGAGAAACGCATCTGCGCAGATTTGACCGTCACCACCAAGTCATAATTGACGTCAGTGTAGCTCTTCCCGTCCGCTCCGATCTTTTTCTGCAGCAAGGACCTGTCAATTGAACGGAGATCCGCCGTCAGCATACAATTCTTCTGCACGGCCCCTTCTTTCGGATATGGGTTTGCTCTAGCAGAATCATCCGAATACAAGGCGTCGGTGAAAACAAGCTGCGTATCCCGAAATCCTTCGGGGAGTCGGCGGAAGAAGGGAAAGACAATCTTATTGTCCCTTTCCAGGTCCTCGCCTTTCTCGATATACCATGTCATCTAAGGCTGCGTCAGAAAGCTCCTCGAGCCAGGTCGCAAGAGGCTTACCTTGTTCACCCTTTTGTGTCCCAATGAAGCATCGTGCCAACAGTACTGCCCCGCATCCCGCACCTCATCATACGCCGTATGGGCAGAGACACCGTAGTGCCTTGCGGAGACAACAGACTTGACCACGGTCTCGTGAGGCAGCTGGCTTAGGACAGCACCTTTGACGATAGCAGACCACGCATCATGCGGCTGGATTACCTGGATGTCCGGGTGACGACTCTGGATGCTTTGTTTGAGGTATTCGCTGGCACCAAACCCGCCAACCAGGAAGATCGCTTTGACCTCGTCGCCCTTCCTGTGTCCTTCGGCAAGGCGCTTCTTCTGTACGAGGTTGACCTGGTCGTCTACCATTCGTCCAATGTCCTCGATCAAGGGTCTGAAGATCTCTTCAACCACGGAGCTCTTCAACTCCCAGGTATTTCGCTTCAGGTTCTGGCTCCGGTCGTCCTTCAGATCCGCCATGGGGAAGTTGACATACCAGCTATCCTCATTCCCGGCACGGAAGCCCCGCTTGACCGTTCTGTCAAAGAATGTCACGGCTTCCTGGTATGCTCGGGTTTTGCGAAGGTGATAATATTGGTCCTCTCCAACCAACATCTTCACTTGGTCTTCGAATCGTTTGTTCAGCTGGAGGGAGCCGGCCATACCACCCTTGGGCGGCACAAGCTCTTTGAGCTCAAGCGTGGGTTTGGTTCGAAGGAACTCGTACGAGATTAAATCCACGGTCCCTCCTCCTGCATCGCAAATGACCAGCGCATCTCCCTCTTCCAAGCCACGGTCCTGCAAGTGATGCAGCGTATACAGGGCAGCTGCCTCCGGTTCCTTGATCAGAGTCACGGGAAACATGCCTCCGAGCTTCGCCGCACGCTCTGTGGCAGCTTTGGCCTTGTCCGACCATACAGCTGGAACGGTCAATACGAACTTCGGTCTCACGTCATTCTCGAGATAACTTTCTGGAACCTTAGTGGCAATCCGCTCCCAAGCATGTTGATACATTGAGCGTATATAGTCTGCCGCGACTTCCACCGGTGGTTTCCCGAGTTTGGTGATCTCCGCTCGAGTATTCGTTGTCGGGACATAGATCGGCTTGCTTTGGTCGGGGTCCAAAAGCAATTTGATCGCCTCGATTTTCTCGTGCTTGTGAGGTTGCGCCCCCCAACTATACTGCCGAGGATCCTTGCGATCATAGCTGAGGACCGTCGGGACTTTCGGCTGCTTTTCACTCTCAAGGCCTGTTTAGATGACACTCAGAACGTTGTCCGATTGCGCACAGAGCCGACTTACCCGGCCAGTCGAGGATTGAAATCAATTCCGGCTTGGTCTCGGTTTTGAACGCAAAAGCAATGCCGCTGTACTGCCATTTGCAAGGTCATAGGTCAGTCCATGCCCCCAGGTCGAAATATCAACTAAAGCAAACTGTCTTGCCGTGGTTCCAAAATCTAGCGCGATGATGATCTGATCATCAGGCTCTGACAGCCCGAGGCTGGTCAGATCCAGAGTCTGACTCCAGACCGTTGAGGCTTCGTGGTAATGCCATTGCTTTTAACAGGTATGTTGTCCGACTTCTGAGAGCGATCTGCCGGGTAGGGTTTTTCACCTTGGAGATGAAGGCGAAGAGCAAATGCTGTTCTTCTTACATCAGGCAAACGCCCAGCATAGATATCTTGATGGGGCTCGCACCAGGTCAGCGCCTAGCTCTTCAGCCTGATTGCAATTGTGACCAAAATGCTCGCATCAACCTCACGCCCCTGCAGGAGGAGGCACAGTAGCGCGTCCCTTGGACCAGTTTCTGCCCATCCCAGTCCTTTTATCTATGCCCAATGGATTTTGAACCGTGGAGCACGCACATGAGGCTGAGCTGAAGTGGACAGAGAATAGCCCTAGCTGATGGTTGGGGAAGCTGAACATTGAGCCGATCCTGCATGATACACGAGGCAGTGGCTAGCATGCCGCCCATTATGCTCAGGCTGCATTTCTTGCCTCTGAAACAAGGCAATCTCTGCGCATAAGCGAGGCAGGAATTCGTATTGTCCACCACACCGCGGGGTCAGGCTGAATTCGCCGGTTGTACGGAGTACCGTGGGCGACATGGTCTGCATCTCTGGTCAGGCTGGCGCTTTCTTCTCCCGGTTTGCTCAACAATTTCCCGTTCCTCTGTCATGTCCCTTTCATCCCACTGCGCAGCAATTCAGTTGTCGAACTTGTCCTCTTGAAAATCGAGGTCGGTGACTTTGGCTGTTTGGACAGCTATTCTCTATCCGCTCCGACTCTGTGTCTCACCCTCCATGGCGCAACCACAGCCCACAGAGGCGGGATCACTTCAAGACCTGTATCTTGCGTTATCCAACCTGTTTGATAAACATGTGGTCCCTATAGGCGACCACTTGCAGACAGGCATGGCTCAGACTTTATCCGAAATCTCCTCGCTCAAGCATGAGACCGAGGCGGGCAGATCATCCCTTGAAAGCCGTATCGAAAGTTTGGCAAATATCCTGAATGCCACGAAGAGCCTCGCCAACCATGTTGAGCCGACATCTCACAGACAGGTAAGTCGAACTCAAGAAGGCGATAATCAAGGTGCAAGCTTCCGCTGCCTAGCTGGCCAAGAATTGGGAGAGAATCACTCGCAACTTGACGCTGACGTGGACTCGCCGGCAAGCAGAATGAGCACACCGAACATTCGATCGCGGCTTATGCCAGTCTAGAGCAGCGTTGCAACACATTTCGAGACGAAAGTGAGCGCCTGGCAACCGAGAATGAGCAATTGACGCAACGGCTTGAAGCAGAGCAGCAGAGGGTCCGAGATCTAGAGATGAATCAGCAACTCTGGAAGGCCAAGCTGAGCCGACTCCAAGCCGTCATCACCAAGGCCGCAACGAACGCGAACGAGGTGATTGACTCGGAAGTGACGGCCAAAGTACAACGTATCAGGGCGCGGATAGAGACGATCGTCAAGAAGTACTGCGTCGGCAGCAGGGCCGCGCCGCGAAGAGAGCACAAGGAACTAGAAGAAATCGACAATGACTGGGTGCGGAAGCTCAAACAGATCCCGACTCGCTATGAACAGAGCGACCAAGACGTTTTCCTCACCTATTGGGTTAGAAGTAAGGTATACCTGCTGCTGCAGAGGCGGATCTTTAGCCAACCATGTTTCGGATTGGACAAGGACCTGGAATCCAAACTCGGAGAATTCGAGACCTTGATCTCGAAGTATGCGCATGGTACGCATCCTGTCGAAGCCTCGAAGGTACCCTATTTTGACACCGATGGTACTGACCTGGAAACTCTAGGAAAGAATACCAGCGACTGGCGCGCCCTCACACTTGGATATTGTAAGGCCCTGGGCATGACGAACGACGACACTCCGAAGAATGTGAGCCAGTACATTGCTCACCTGTTCGCACCGTGGGTCATCGGAAGACCGGAGAACCAGGTCGGACAGAAGCCAGTCGCTTATAGATGGCCTCCACAACTGTTGCACGACTTGGCCGATCTTTGCCGGGATGCGTATGACCTCACCGTCATGATCCGCCAAAGCACCGACCGGTACCGGTTTATCAGCATCGACGAGGATAGCAAGGTCCAATCGGCTGACCAGAATGACTTCCAGCCGGACGACATGCTTGGACCTACGGACAAATATGTCGGCTCCAAGGTGTGGATGACTGTCTTTGGCGCATTGATCAAGGAGACTCAGGCTGGCGAGCGCTACGTGATGGAGAAGGCTCGTGTGATTTGCAAGGCTGCGCCGCCCTTGGCTGATCATCCGAAAGAGTGAGACGAAGGGGGCCGAGGCCGAATGCGTTCAATGCCAGCCATGTTGCCAGGGGCGGATGTCAAATGCCTGTGGAGGATGGTTCGAGCCGTGGTTACGCGGAGAGTGTCCCGAATGGGGCTGAGGGTGACGATAGGGCATGAGAGAACAATTACAGTTAAATGATTCTTTCGTGAAAGAATGAATGTCAGTGTCGGTCATGAGGTTAAGTGCTTATCCTTTCATTCGCCTTCAGCCTGATCATCGGACGGATGGTGCGTCATGCTACTGCAACTGCGGCTCAATATCGTCTCCACATGATCGATGACTGGATGCCTAATTAATGAACTTGTTCCTCCCCGTACGAGTACCTGATCTCTTATATTGGGAAAGCTGAGACAGCAGGGGAGTGAACGCTGACTAAGCAAGAGGCGAAAGTCTCGCATCCCACTCGTCGCCTTGTAGAATTAGATGAACCAATAAAATGAGGCCTTGGCGGCCGAGTGGAGCATCCCGATGCCGAGTGGTGTCTGTGCTTTTCGATCACACACACAGCTTGTCGTGCTTTAAGTATTTACTTACCTAGAGAACATCCCTACTCCGGTCCCCGTGTCCAATGCGGCCTCGGTGCTTGAGATCTCCAGGCTCGGTATCCAATCTCGCTTGGCGATATTACCTGACATAGGCGCCACCATGCTTCGCTGTCGGAGACCTCATTCGCACGGTGCAAGCTGCGCTGGTCGAGGACCGTGAAGCTTCAGAATCGGTGGCCGCAGTCGTTTGACCAAGCCTTATGAGGAGACTCGTCAAAAGCTTGGTCCCTTGGCTCTGCAAGGCCCAAAAGGATGTTTCACGTGGCGCGGATTCATGAGGGACGTCCTCAACGGGCTGATCTGGTGCAGCCCGTTTGTTTTCCCGGACCTGGAATTTGAACAGCGCTTTCGCAGCTCGGTGCGTTCAGGCCGCCGTTCATCACAGGGGACTTCATCTTTGCTGATACTGGTTTCCGGTCGACGTAGCAATGAAGCGACCTCGACTATATCAAGACAATGGGTTCACCCGGCCTCATCTCAATCCTTGTTACTCTCCCCGCTAAAAGACACAAAGTCAGGCCACAATCGCTGGTGACGATGACTCCCCCTCCTGCCACTGCTATCATGTTCATCACCGTCCTTATATATTGCTGTACTGCCCTCTCTGTGGCGCAGATTGACTCCTTCTACACGGCCTCGCCTGACTTCCAGATTATCCTCGGCTCGAACCCGAAAGTGACCCTCCTTGCTGAATCCGAGCAGCCATTGTTCCATGAGGGTGGCGTCTACTACCCGCCGACCAGGTCCCTTTTCGTCACATCTGACGTTGTGCCCGATCCATCAACCGCGAACGGTACCATGCAGATCATCTCACACGTCACAGGCAACCTCACGACTGCTGCCACCGTGCAAGTGACACAACTGAACGCCACAAGCCATGCCATCCCCTTCCCACTGGGCGGCTACCGGTACCTCGCAGCATCGAATGTCCTTGTCTGGGCCGGGCAAGGCTCTCCCACACAACCGGGGGGGTTATGGTTCCTGAATCCCGAGCCTCCGTACAACGCAAGCCGGATCCTCTCCAGCTACGGTGTGTACGAGTACAACTCGCCCAACGACGTTGCAGTCACCCCGTCCGGCGAGATCTACTTCACCGACCCGATCTACGGATCCGAGTACGGCTTTCGGCCGGCGCCCCAGCTCCCAAACCAGGTGTACCGGTACAATCCGGCAAGTGGGACCGTCAGAGCCGTAGCAGATGGGTATATTCGACCCAACGGGATCGGCATCAACCAGGACGGAAGCATAGTCTATATCATCGACACGGGTGCTCAGCCTGGTGATGGGACCATCGACGCCACTGGTCCGCGAACGATCTACGCTCTCGATGTGCAGGGCCGAACCAAGAATGGAACGGGCGGATTTCTGGGCAATAGACGTCTGTTCTCGCTGCCCAGTTTCGGTGGAGCGAAAGGCGTCAAGACGGACACTCTGGGCAATGTCTACGTCGGCCTTGACGATGGTGTGTCTGCGTTTGACGACGGCGGCAACCTGCTGGGCAAGATTCTGATCGACGACGTCGCTAATATCGGGTTTGGCGAGCCGGGCGTGCTGTTCGCAATGGGACAGACGAAACTGTGGAGGATAGATCTATCCGGTGCGATAGTCGGATCGTCCTTCTCGATCTGATGTCCCGAGGACTATAGCTTGAGTCACGCCGTGACTGTGACTGTTCGGGCCGTTTTATTCTGGATCTTAAGTATAATACTACAAGGAGGTCAGGCCGAGACGGGCAAATCGAATATATTTGGTGGCTAATACCCAATCATCGAGATTCATCAAGAGGCCATTTCATCTCTCTTGTCTGCTCCACTCACTCGGTCAGAACGACAATCTTGCCGCGCGCCAGGTTCTTCTCCATAGTGTCGTGGGCCTCGACGATCTGATCGATCTTGAAAACCTTGCCGATCTGCACAGGCATGGTGCCGGCCTCGATCTGCTTGAGCAAATCATTCAGCGGAGTCTCCATGAACTCGTCCGGCCCGCCGGAATAGACTGTCAAGCCGACGCAGTGCGGGATCACGTCCATGGGCGAGAACTCTTTGAGGCTCCAGCTGTTTCCTGGGCATGGGTGTCAGTGTCATGCCAGTGTCCTCAGGGATAGCATCAGCGGGCAGTCAATGTCATGCCAGTGTCAGGGTCAGCATCAGTGGGCAGTCAATGTCAACCCGCGCCAGGGTCTATCCCACAATACGGTACCGTGGAAGGGGAAAGTGGCCGGTTTTGATCCATGACAACGGAGGAGTAAAATAAGTACTGAGCCAAACTCACCGACAATGCCCGTCATGCACACGATGCCGCCCTCGACGGCACAATTCAACGAGTCTTTGAGAGTTGTCGTCCCTACCAACTCCAGCACCTTGTCGAATTTCTTCCCGCCCTTGACCACCGTGTCCGCGACATTGCCATCATCGACAATGACCTGCTCGACTCCGCTCCTGCGCATCAGCTCGGCCGTGTCGGGGCTCGCGCTGCGCGTGGTGCCCGCGACGAAACAGCCGTGATTGCTGGCGATGGCCGCGGCCGCCAGGCCCACGGACGTGGTCCCACCACGCACGAGCAGACGGTCGTCGGCGCGCAGCTTCAGCGCCTTGAACAACGACCCGTACGCGGTCTGCAGCATCTCCGGCACGGCGCCGACGACGGCCCACTCCAGCCCCGTGGTCAACCGTTGCGTGTTCGCCGCCTTGGGGCACGTGTACTCGGCGTACCCGCCGTCGAAGTCGCGGCCCATGCCGGCCATGGCGGACGCGACCTTGTCGCCCGGCTGGAACTGGCCGGACGGACACGCCTCGACGACCCCGGCGGCCTCGATGCCCAGCACGCGTGGGAACCGCACGTTCGGGCTGTGGCCTTGGCGGGTGAACATCTCGGAGCGGTTGAGCCCGAAGGCCTTGACGCGGATGAGCACTTCGTCGGCCGCGGGCGTGGGGATGGGCCGTTGTTCCAGCTTGAGCACATCGGGCCCGCCGGCCTCGTGGATGACGACGGCTTTCATGGACATGGTACGGTGCGAGAGGCCGGTGGGTGGGTGTCCCGGCTACAGTATATAAGCCGAGGTCAACACAGTACGATGTATGGACGTCCGAGGAAAGGTGATCTAGGTTTTGACGCTGCTGTTAATGCAGACAAGGCGGGTCTCGTGGCAGACCCGTGAACATATACATACAGTATATATATATGTTCTCACACTGTCACAGGGAAGAGCACGCGTCTACCGACCTCGTCATGCGAGCGAGCTTCTTTCCATTCGATCCAGCCCAGGCTTCAGCTGCGGAGTACGAGCGGGAGCCTATTAATTCAGCCGTGTAATGGAGCAATACCACAACCTACAATCCACAACCCACTGTTGGGTGACTGTCTGCCGCATCGATTGCCCTCGTCTGGAGTTTGCGGTGCCATGTGCCGTGTCCTACGTCGACGGAGATACTGTCCCTTGCCTCAATAGGCAGGTCGTCGGCCACGTTTGCGTGAGCTCGATGCGCGCGACTTCAAGTGACTGGCTCTCGAGGTCGGCGTCCGTTCGTTAGCCTGATGCCTTGCATGAATGCGTGGTGCTTGTATTGCATAGACATGTTCCGAGGGTCTGATTCGTCGTGAGGTTCGGGTTCGCTTTTGGACATCAAATGGGATGTGCTCAGCCAGCAGCCACAAACGTCGGCTTCCAGAGCTTGTCCGTCGCCTTGAAGGGGCAGTCAGTGTCAGGCACATGTTTTCGTTGTAACAAAACAGAGACAATCCAATCACGCTGTCGGCGCTTTCACCGAGATCGACACTTCTCGCCGGAAGGATATTAGGATTAGAGCGCTGCTGCACTCAATGAGATATGCCTAACGAGGGAATCCGCTAATACCGAGAACCGGTGAGCTGTCAGAGTATGCCCAAACGCCGAACCTGAAAAGCCCCATGGTCTTTGGCTCAGGAAGGGGTATAGATGCGCATACTCCAATCCAAGCATGATGTTTCCTCTTCATTCCACGCCGCGTGTCCGACCACACCCGGGACAATCGATCGAAAAGCCAGGACGCCATGCTGTTATGCAAACTCATCTGGTCTCCACCCCTCTGTACTGCTGGGGAGAGCGTCCCCGATCACTATCGCCGGAGCTATCTTCCTCCGGCTCTGGCGAGGTGGGGGAAACAACCGGTTTCCTCTTGGTGAACATCTGCTGGCTCTGTTGTCTCTGATGCTTCGCTTTGAGATGCTTCAGCTTGGTGTCGGCTTCGCGCAGTTTGGTCTCTAGGTCTTCGAGCTCGTATTTCCGGGAGTTGACTGTTTCCTTCCTGCACCAGCCGAGGCTTTGTTAGCGTCCATCGAACGGAATCCAACCACTGGAAAAAGAGGCCGAGGGATAAGAGCGTACTTCTGCTCTACCGATTCCTCCAAAGCGTCAATGCCATTGAGCTTGAAGAGATCATCAAGCGCCGCAGAAAAGTCAAGGGCGATTGTTCTGCAGTGTCTCGAGTCAGTGACTGCGCTCCGCTATTGCTAGGGATGCCCGACGTACGACTGAGGACGTGCATTGGCCTGGAAGCCCGCGTCGGGGTTCTGTTCGTTGGCCGTGCTCATTGTTGGAGGTCCGGCGTTGCGTCTGACTGTAGTTGAAAAGGGACTGCGGCAAGAGATGCGAGATGGACAGTTGTCGCCGTACGGACTATTGTATCGATTATATTCGCGAGGTATAAGGCGACAGGCAACAGGATGCGAGCGGACGAGTCAGTTGACCCAGATCAGTGGACAGTTTCCAGAAGGCGTCAAGCACAGCCCAGGCAGACTGCTTCCTGCTCTCATACGGTGCTTCCTGGTGTTAAATCAAAGATGTGGTTGCCATCCGGGGCAAATGACTGGCACATTCCTCCCAAATTGCGAATGCCCAGCATCCCAGCAAAAGGGGCTCGCCGGTTCGATGAGGTGCAGGACGGACCCTGAAGCGAGAGTTTGGGGCGCTCACGCTACCGCCTCGGGTGCCCCTAGGTGATTGGGCGGCGCCGATCTGCCCCCAACAATTGGCGGCGCCCGAGGCCAGCACCACAAGCGCCTGAAACTGACGAGTTGGGCCTACGGGGCACCTACGGGGGGCAGCGACGGGGCCGCTACAGTAGCTTAGCTGGTAGCCACAAAACTCGGGTCTTGGCCATACCGAGCACAGTAGCCGCGACTTTTCGCGCTCGCTGCGCTTCTGCTCTGCTGTGTCTGGCCGTTGCTTCGGTGTCCTCCAATTTTCGACCGTCAATTTTCATTTCACCTCGACGCTCATCACATCTCCACCACCACTCATCGCGTTTGGACCTGTGATCCACGCGTCGCGTCCCTGGACTTTGACTCTTTAGTCCTGGCTGGCTTGAGGGAAGCTGTCGCATCTCTGGGTACGGCGGCTTCGTCCACACGGTATTCGCTATGATGGGATGCCTTCAATAAAAGCCTACACCCAGTATGAAACCCTCGCCTTCTGCCAGTCCGTCGCCTATCATGGCTCCGATACAGCTGCCTTCGAGGACATCTCGACCGCCTTGAACGGCAACCACCTCATCCGCGACAGCGACACATACGATCAGACTCGTCTCACCGCAGCTGCTCTGCAACAGCTATACTACGACCTTCTTGCCGAGGAGAAAAATACGCAGAAAATTCCGACCGTTAATGGCGACGATGGGTCGTCAAATGGCACAAACCCGCGAAAGCGCAAGCTGTCGCGGTCGCCTGCTCCCGAGGACGCGGCATACACAGACGAGCAGAGGTCACTAGAGTCCCTGGTAGACAAGCTCTACGCTCGCTTTCGAGAGCAGATGATCAAGGAGGTCAGGCAGGAAGAGGAGGACTATTTGAGGCTGCAGGCTGAGATCGCGCAGCTGGAGCACGAGGAATTCGAGGACCAAATTCAACAGCCGCCCGCAGGAGAGTCCGGCAACAACCAGGCTCAGCCGCAGTCCGAAACGTCCAAAAAGACAGAAGACATAGTCGAGAAGGCGCACACTGTTCAGGCGAGCTCGCAGGCAACACCTGCCTCAGCCGCGCCTGGCACTGATGCCGCCCGTCTCGTGCAGGTCGCGTCGACTGCGGCACCTGCAGCCGTCGATGTGCGGACGTCTCCCTCTGTTCGGACTGGCCTGCCGCCACCTCTGGCGCCCTCGCATCCTCCACCTCCTGCATCTCCTGCTCTGCCTCTTGCAAGAGCTTCGCAACCGCCTCCAGCAGCCCCGCCGCCGCCACAACAATCGCCGGGAGCCTTTCATCGCACGCTACCCATTCCGTCGCCGCAACGACCTAACTATGGCCCGATCAACCCTCAGCATTTCCAGCCCGGACCCCAGGGTCAACCTATGCCCGTTCTGCCACCGTATACGGGCTCACCGCATATGCTACCGCCTACCGAGTATCCCCATCAGAAGCGTGGAAGTGCTTCACCCGCTCAAGGAAGAGGTTCTCCCGTCCCTGGCCTCCAGCACCAGCACCAGCAACCGTATCCGGGTTACTCTGGCTACCCTCAACAGCCTCCCTGGCCGCATCATCCACCTGCCCAGCAACAGTATGGTCAGCCACCACATTTTCCAAATCCACCATATTACGCTCAATCACCCACGAGCCGTCCTCCCATACAGTACCAGACACCACACCATCCACAATATGCGCCGTACCCCCAAAGTGCCCCTATCCACTACCAAGGCCAGCCACCGCTTCCTCATGCCTGGCCACCGCCTCAGCCTGGTCAGCCTTACTATGGGTATTACGGTTCGCCAAACGTGACTCCTGTTCTGCGAAGCGACTCGAGGCGAACCGTACCGAGAGCGCGATCATCCACGCCCTGGAAGCGACGTGTTCAGCAGCCGGGTGGTGCACGGCCGTCAAGTCCAATTCGACCAGAGAGAGAAGTTAGTCCCATCTCAGATACAGAGTCACTCACTCAGACCAAGAAATCCCGGGGCAGCACAGAACGGACAGCAGAGAAGAGCCAACGTACTCCGCGAGCCACCGCACCGCCGGTCAGAGGCCGCCAGCAAGCCAGTGCCACTCCGTCGGCATTTGCAGGATCAAGATCTCAATCGATAGCATCGTTTGCATCCGATGTGCCTACCAGCAAGGGCAAGAAGGCTGGGGTTTCTCACAGCGTTAAAGCGGAACCACCCGGTACACCTGCGCCGATCCCTTCTGACACGGAGCAGCAGCAGCCACAAAGGACTACGGGCCGGCGCGGAAGAGCTCGTGCAAGCACGTTGACTGCCAAACCAGAGCCAGCTGTACCGGCTCTTGGTACTAATAAGCGGAAGCGCTCAGGTGGCCATGACTCGGCAAGCCCGCCACCATCAGTCGCACGACAGCTACCTTCTCCAGCTGCGACGGCTTTGACGCGCGTTCAGCCACCTCCATTACGCCGCCAATTCTCGCTGTCTCTCTTGGCTGATCCCTCGCTGGTCGCAGTCACCAGGAACTTCAGCAAGACTTCGCAGCTGCTTCTTAACGAGATCAACTCGCACAAACTGGCCGGAATTTTCGCTAAGCCGCTTTCCGAAAGGGATGCACCTGGATATAAGGACCTGGTGTTGCGACCGCAGGACCTGAAGAGCATCAAGGCAGCTATCTCGAAGGGTGGGAAAGCGGCATTGGCGGCTATTGAGGCATTCGAGGAGAGAACAGGCAATGCAAATGCAGGGTCAGAGGATGCAGACGGCGACAAGACACCCATGCAGAACACTCCGGCGTCGACTACGGCAGGCGTTCCGCTTGCTGGTGAAAGAGCTTTTGGAAACGGCGTCTATCTGGTTAGGGCGTCAGAAGACCTTGTCCCACCAAAAGCAATTGTGAACTCGGCTCAGCTTGAACTGGAACTCGTGCGAATGTTTGCAAATGCAGTCATGTTCAATCCACTACCAAGCTCTGAGAGAGGCTTTGGACGCTCACTCCGCCTACGCCGAAGAGGAGGAGACGTTGCACCTCAGCTCACGGCAGGAGATGAGCAGCACGCCGAGAGCAGCGAATCGGACGATGGTACCCCATCTGAAGTAGGTGGCATCATCTCCGACACCAGGGAGATGTTCGAGGATGTCATCGCCATGGTGAGGAAATGGAGAGAAGCCGAACTGGAACGTCTCGGCGATGTGGGCGAGGCGGACATGATTTCTTCGACTCCGACAGCCGGGCCGTCCAAGCCCACGACGCAAGCGAGCGGCAGCGGCAATGTCAGCGCCACCGTCAGCGCGAATCCTAGCCTGAGACAGTCCGAGAGCGAAGAGAATGAGGACGAAACCGGTGGTGCGCCCAGTCCACCTCCCGCCTCCGCCACGGGGACGGCAAGAAAGAGAAGGCGTATAGCGGAATGATGGTCCTCGATCATGCGATCATGTGCCGGCCTAGTTATGTGGCAAGCACACTTGGTGTACGAGTCGAGGTCTGAGGTTCTGTAGCACTGAGTCCAAAGCGGATGAGCATGGGCATGCAATATATGCCCTCAATGAATACCCCGGTAATTAATTACCTGACAGCTTACAGCTCCTCCCGTGTTGTCTCGCCTCTTCTCGTTTCATGCTGAACTAGTGTCATTGCAGCGGGGCGGTTTGGTCTATCCAATTACTCCCGTCACGTAGTCAAAACGAACAGCGTTGCACCAGTGATAGCAGTACAGAGTACCAGCACGGCAATGTTATTGTCATTGACAACAGGGTGTTCCTTTTTCCTTGATGAACCCTCGCGAGCACGAGTGAGTTTCTTACTCGACGTGTGTACAGGACCTGTAGTGTATCTCAACACCATGGTGGCTCAGTACATAATACGTATATACTTATACAGTAACTAATTAAGTAGTACTGTACGGAGTTCGGAGTACGGAGTATAGTATATACACTCCAGGGACCCATCCTCACCTATATACATACCTAGGACGTCCCACGCCGTCGCCCCGCTAAATGCAATTAGAGATTTATCTATTCGGCTCGGGTGCTTGTTCTTCTGGACACTCGACACTCGACACTTGGCCTCGGAACCATCACTTACTTACACGTCAGCGTTCGGAGTACGAACAGGCAGGGAGGGATTCCACAGTAAGGTAAGTAGTCATAGCATAGAGTAGGGAGAATCTCTCTCTTCCTTTTCACATTACATGACCTGGCCATCCCTTTTCAACCTACAGTATCTAGTCAACTTAATCAACTCACTTATCGCGGCGCGGCGCAGTCGAGGCGAATACCATGCATTTTCCTCCCCCCCTCCCCCCCCACAAAGTTCACGTCCTTGTCCTTGTCCTTGTCCTTGTCCTTGTCCTTGTCCTTACTGCTTGCATTCTATGCCCCAGGGCAAAGGAGGAAACAAAAGGAGAAAGAGAAGTCTTCGCCGACAGGTGATGGCCGTGCGGTGCGGTGCGGTGTAGTGCGGTACATTAAACAATAAAAGACAGGACGGCCATCAGCGATAATGACAACAACATTGATGGCTCTCCTTTCTCCTTGATTACCCGTACCCATACTCATACCCATTCCCATACTCATACCCATTCCCATACTCATACCCATTCCCATACTCATACCCATTCCCATACTCATACCCATTCCCATACTCATA